ATTCTGTAGTCTATAAATAGTATAGTTTATCGCTGCCATACTTTATTTCAATTAGAGTTCAGTTTTTAATGTTCAGTAATTGCAACTTTTTGAAAAGATAAGATAACAAGATGATGACTACTCTCCGACCAGTCAATAGAAACAAGCGATAGATTTTTAGCACAATACCTTTATCAAAAAATAATGATTCTATGACGCAAGTTGAGCTTGGTACCGAGGCAGCAAAACGAGAACGTGCTACACCAATACTGATAGGAATCAGTGAATTCAAACAAAGTCCAATTGAATTCCGTACAAATACAAGAATGGTGGATGCTGATTGATCTATGCTCATCAATAGTAACATATTCTCAATAATCCAGAAACACATTGTCATTCAATATGAAAGTCAATCCACAAATGTACCTAAATTGAATTATGGTCGACCACCTGCCCAGTAGTGCAAACAGCATACAAATATCAAGGAAAAATTGATGCTTTGCTGCAATTCGGATTCTTACCCAGCGATTCTCGAATGAATTGATCTTCAACGTGATTCTAAGTAATCCAAATAATAGTCTGTAAATCATCCTTTTAGAATAAAGACTAAACTATTTTAGTCAATTCAAGATAATCTTGGACAATTCGACGCTAAATCAAGCATACAGGGAGCCTAAAGACCACATAAAACACTGCTTAGGATATAAAGACTCTGTACATACAACAGGAAGGTTTCAAGTGCAAAGATACCAAGCCTTTATCAACTCGACAACTAGTAGTCAGTAAAGTATCAATTCTACCTTAAAGAAGCCATCTTATACAAACACCATCCAACAGAAACTCTATTGGATAACCCAATGTCCACATAATGATAATTCAAACAACTCTCTCTTAGATACCCCTAAAAAATAACAACGTATATCAGTCTTACTATCAAACAATTGATTTTGAATGGAAACATTGATTCAACTTTTGTATGCATCGAGTTGTGCCGTTATCTTGTCTAACACATTCACTCCATTAATTACTAGGGCTATATTTCAATAGACAACTTTGAACGGTTCTAACAAGCAACGCATTAAAATGCGAATACTTGAAAAAAAATGAATCTGACACCTGATTCTTATCTGCCAAATGACTATACCGTACCCAGTAATGCATGGTTGGAACGAAATGATATAACTGAAGGTACTTCAAAACAAGTAGTTATGAATTGAATCAAATACAGTTTGACATATTTATATCCGAACAAACAACTAGTCAATATCAAAATATATAAACCAGTAATAACAGATTCGTGGCACTGCAAAGATACATTACAATTCACCGCTTGAGTCGATTCGCGAAGCTATCTAAAATGAAACGATCAAGAAAAAGTATCCAGTATCGCAAATAAAGTGCAAGCAATGCAGAAGAATAATTCGGCACTCAACCACTACCAAGTTTTTTTCAAACCAAGTATTATTTAGCTAAGCCTCTGTATCCTTAGTAATAATACTACTATTAATACTATATGGAAAATCGTTTTTCTCGGGATAAGGACTAACTCGTTCGATAAATTCAGTATAATCTCTAAGAATTCAAAAGTTGAATCAACCATAGACGACATTTCATTTACTTATGAAACAGAATTTCTTCTTGATGAGATATTCGACTAGTAATCAACAAGTGACCAACTCGAATATAGAATGCTATCTTAAATGAGCAATACCAAGAGGTATCTTACTTTATTTCCAATGAACAGTAAATCATTGAATTCAGTATACAATTCAAGTAATATAAAACAGTAACCAGTTTCTAGAAACGTTGAGAAGGAAGAAATCAAATAGACCTTTTCTTACGTATCTAATAAAATAATTGTGCCACATCCCGTTGAGATTTAACTAGAAGTGGTAAGATTCAGAGTACTCTAAAGCAAGTGATTATTACTTCCTTCAATACAGCTATAACCAGAATTGTTTCGGATATCACACTAAAATAAGATTCAAACTCAACTCATCAACAGAAACAAGATATTCGTACGGCATAAATAAATTGTAATTTATCACTTGAATCAATTGTGATAATAGTCCAAAATTAACACCAAAGAAAACCAAAAAAGTTCAAGCAACAACGGATAAACAAATAGATCCTAAAATTAGAACAAGACTATTAGTTTGTGTTTTGCTGCTACTTGTGTAAAAATCACAGAATTGATTCTGCTTTTTGTGAGAATCAACCTCAAAATCTATAAATCATAGGTCTGATATTCTAACCCTGTGAAACCAGGGAAGCATTCATTTACTTCTTTTCCTTGAAGTTCTTTCAACTGACCTTTCTATATTCTTTCATTGACAAGTATATACTATGTAAAACATAAATTTTTGTCTTTTATAACAATTCATAAGAATAAGGGAAAACAACCAGTAGGTCGTACTAAGACAAGTTCAATTTCTATTCCCAACAAATCGTTTATATAGAACTTTGACTGCAATCTTGTTGCTTCTCTGAATTTACATCATCCCGCAGTCTTTGGTTACTACTTTCTATCATCTTCATCCCCTTTCTTGTACAATGAGCATTCAACTGTTTTTACAACATATTACAACTTTAAAAAACAAGATCTTCACCATTCCACAATTAAACCAATAAAGAAGAGAAAAAACGAGATAGAAATATTATCTTATCCTTATCGACTAGATGACCACTCCATATCAAGCTGGTCTTAGGGTCGAAGAAGTAAGGTGGAAATATTCTGAAGCATAAATAGTCAAAAAGTGTAGTTTCGACATAAGAACAACACAATATATCAAGATAAATCAGTAGTAGATTCTAGATCACAGAAAACACTATGTTGTACACTTTCATGATACTGCAAGTTCACTTGTCAAAGATTACTTGATTCAACGGAAGAAATTGTCTCGAATTGATCATTTGGAGTTACCCATCCCTGCAAATACCACACAACTATCACGGGACAAAGAGATTCTACGTGATTGAGATTTCCAATGAAAAAAGCTTCTGAAAAGTTTTTACGTCGACGTTTTCGGAAAAGAAATGACGACTAGTTGCTTCATCATACTACCATGAGATAAGAAATAAGTTCGTTCCAAGAATCAAAAGATAAAGATTAGTCTCAAACAGGTACAAGAAAAATCGAAAATCGACGAATAAAGCAACTCGATACTCTATTTGTTGTTCAAAATCAGGACCGTATGTAGTTATACTGACATCAAGGTACAGGAGTAGCCTGTACGTGTGCAAATGATACCCTTTTCTTTTGTAAACTCGACAATACAATTTTCTTTTATGGTAAAAAATAGGTCAAATTCGTACTTTTATGACAAAAACTATTATTAATATTCCATGTACTACTAACCAGTAAACTATAACTCTCTCTTGTTGTTGTTGTTGTCGTTGCTGTCATTTTACAATTCGAAGTAAATAAAAAAGTTGCAATTCTCCACTCATGCCAACAACGAAGAAAACAGTAAAAGATAGAAGCAGGAATCATTCTCTTTGTAGAATTGATGACTATACCATACTGTACTAGGCTCGGGCTAATATTTGTTGTTGTTGCTGTTCTGGTTGAATTTCAAGTAGTAACGAACGGTTTGATTTTGCTGCAATAATCGAAAAATGCTTTATGGTCCGTGTCAATGTATTTGCAAACCACTTTGTTCGTCTGCATATGCTTTCTAGGAATTATATACCAAAAGCTGGACTTTATCTTCAGAGTCAAACCAAAAGCTCTAGTCGGACACGATGACATCAATATGTGCACTCGTATAATATTGTACAAGTTCAACCAATCCTTCATGAGTTTCTTTCAGAGCTACTTTGTATACTATCCAAACGCAAGCTGTTTGCACAAAATGTGAAGTTTCCTTTTCACTTTTTGACAGCTACAACTACCACCACTTTCAACAGCATGACTTTCAGTGTGTTGAAAAGAAAAAAAGATCAGCAGCACTCTTAACACGGCAAATACTGTTACACACAAGTCGCCTTGTTTCCCATTCACACCGTACACTGTTACCCTCCTATTCAACTATATAAGGACCAAAGACGATTTGCAATAGATGCCTTTCAGAAACACCGTCAATACTAGTTCCAACTTTATCACTCTTACTACTCACATATTCTTTTAGACAAACTTAACTTTCGGTAAACCCAGTAATTCATAAAAACAAAGGCGTCTTTCAAAAACGGACTAGTATCTACAGTCGCCATCGTCAAAACATTTTACCAGGTGGACACAACCATGACTATCACCAGTGCTCTTTTGCTTCTTTTTTTTAGTGGTTCCCAACAAGGTGAGTCTATTTTGAACTGAAAACTTTTTCCTTGCTTTCAAAAAGCAAGTTTATTCAGCTTTCGTTTTCACAAACTGTCAAACCTTATACGTGTCGTTTTCCATACTCGAATCAATAGAGAATTGATCTAAAAGCACAACAATACAAACAGCCATTAAAAATGTGCAATGATGGACTCAAGACTTTCCTATGCTATTCTGAGAAATGCCTGTTGCAGAGTTACAGACCGATTTCTCCATCGTGAAAAGAGTCACATAGAAGGCAAAAAAACTAACATACAAAAAATAACGCTGTGAACTGAACAAAACACTCAACTGAGAGTCTGACTGGTTTCTTGTTCTTGCAGAATATCTTTGAAATATCAACCCAAAGACTGTTTCTCAACAACAGACTACAGGACTTTCAACTGCTAATAAATACGCAAAACTGCTCTGTAACAATTATAGATAGAAATAAACAAACTTGTGAGACAACTAATTGACCAAAGTACCAACACTCAACGACAGCTTAAACTCCTTTGTCTTTGCTCTCTTCTCGACAACGCTAATCTCAAATTTCCATACAAGACCAAAAGTGAAATAAAAACAAGTGTTGCATAAAGTACATAAACTACAAAGAGATAATAAAAGTTGTAAATACTAAAAAGAAACTACAGTCTACATGGAACTCAGAGCACAGGAATCGATGGATTGTTCTAAAAGAAACATTTGAAGGGCTTAAAAAGAAACGCAGATAATAGAAATTCACTTGTCCACCTAAAACGAACGAAGAATTTGCTTTAGAAATTAAAGTCTGGAAAGTTTCACTAGCAAACTTGAACCAGATCCACAGACTTGACAACACTCACTGAGCCTTCCCTTTCATCCAATAATCAAATCATTGTGTTTAATTGGATTGTTATGAGAAGGATCGCTTTGTATTCTCTCCTCTCACTGGAGATATATTATTTTGAGTGACTAGTGAGTTTTATGAAAGAAAATATTCCACTTGGAGATATGTAAAAAGTTTCTGGAACAATAAGTGTGCTAGATACAACCAGTCTCACTTTCAGTAATGTTGTGAAAAGAGAAGAACAGTGTCGTAACAAAGGTCCTCGCAACTCCCTAGCGACAGTGTAGCCTTGTAACAGAGTTGAGTTTGTTCAATCTTGTCTCTGCAAGGTAAATTTTAAACTACTTGTGAGCCTATTTTGATAACAAATCAAGAACGGTTTTGCTACAACTAGTTTTTGACTCGTTCTCGATCTGAGAACCTTTCTTTGTTGGTCACTCAAGATTAAGGAAAACTCCTTAAAGGTGTAAAACGATCATTTTCTAATTTTCAATGACATTAACTCTGTTTGGCTTGCATTGTGAGAGCTAGAACCTTTCCTTCTATGCAAATTACGCTCAAGGAGCAATCTTGTTCGATTACGAGTNGTAAAGAAGAATAAATCATATATTCAACCGTAGAATTGGAAAGTATAGAGAGGACAAGGCTACAACAAAAAACTGACCAAAGGTTTTGAATACTTTTGTCTATGTACAAATACATAAACTACTTACGACAAGGAGGATCGAGCCTCAAAAGTTACAAGGGTCTCGGTTTGATCTCTTCATAAACAACTTCTAGAGAGTTTTGACAAGTATAACAACAGTAAAAGTGGTGATGCTTTCGCTTCTCCTTGCACATGTATTCCAAGATTCACCTTTCTTTATTACTTTGCAAAGAGGAGAATGAAAGATTCTTATTTTTCCATTATTTCTACGTTTATATTCTTTTCTTTTCACTAGGAGACGAAATTAATCTAGTATATTTAAGAGAGTAAGACCTTTACCAGTTTGGATAATCACAATATCAATTTGACTCTGCACAATTTTATTCTGCTGAATAATACAAAGTTGAAAGAGACATTTTCCTTCTTTTTAGAGCAATTTGGATAAGACTATATCTTTTCTTCTTTCTTTATGTTTGACTTGTCCCTTATGGAAATGAACGTTTCTTGTATATATAGACAGTTTGTTTATACAAAACTTTGAGTTGTCTTTGATTCTTGTTACAAATATCTAAAAAGAAGCCTCCACCAGTGTATCCATCTGTTTATATTTCGCGAGAGTCTTCTGCCTAGTGTCTAACACGAATAACTTTTGTATTATGACTCACTTATTCAAGGAGCTGATGTTTGAGAGAGTGGGAAAAGAATCGGAAACAACTGGAGCTAAACAAATCTTTCCTTGAATTTGCAGAGCTTTTTAAAGTTTTGTTTTCTTCGTACTGGAAGAAATAAGAGTTCTCTTGGAGTTATCCATGCCCTAAGGCAGCTTTGTACTTTATATAGTTTGCTTTCTTATATATGTTGACAATTTGTGGTTTTTACAAAGTTCAAAGTTGATGGTACAAGAGAAGGCAGTGAAAACCTTTAAACCTAAACAGTCAGGTTTACCTTCAAAAGCACCTCAACTATATAGTCGACTACTTGGAAGAGACAATTCAACTATGATTTAAATGCTATGATGAAAAACGAGAAGAGATTCGATAGAATAGACTCAGTTGGACTGAATTGAACTTTTTTGAAAATAAGTTTTCTCTCAGCATAATCCACAATATCAAATGTCACTATTGTCTGCAAGTATTTTCAGAGGAGAAAGAAACAGGAGTTGTTGACTCTTACAGAAATTGGACATTGATGATATGCACTTGTGTGCAGGAGAATGACTCGATCAATACACTAGTGCAATCTTTCAAATATTTCGGAGATACCTTTGAACAAGTTTCAAAACTAAAAGTTTTTCATTTGAAGGCTATTTTTGGTGTCAATTTTGCAATATTGCAGAGATGTAGCAATGATTCAAAATGAATAGACTATACATACATACATGTCGAATACAACTAGAATGAAAAATATCCTTTCTTGTCCAAATGGTTACCGAAAGAATATCTCAAAACATTCTTCAAGTGTCTGCTATGTTGTCTTTCTAGTCTGTTGAAAAAAGACTAGTAACTCCTTTTATTATAATTCTCAAAGACTGAGACAGAAAAAGGTTGTTTGTACATTTCACTTGGACTGTCCTTCCTGTCTTTTGTTAACTGAATAGAAGAGAGTTTTCCTCGGTTTTAGACCAAACGAAGGGACTTGCAGCAAAAACTTGAGGCTTCATCCAACTTGAGAACCTGCACTGCGGTCTTAAAAAGAGTTTTAGCTTCTTGAAATTCCATAAAAGTTTAGATTCCTTTCGTTTTTAATAAGTTTTTTTCAAACTGCATTTCTAGCCTTGGAATTCATATGAATGGCTCCCACAAATATGAAACTTGTTGGATCCAAGAGAAAATATAGCAAAGGTAAGAACAAATACTAAAAAAAGTATTTTGGTTTGCAATTCAAACTCTATCTCAAAAGTACTAACAACACTATATATCCAAACTCTGTTTTAGTGAATTAGACTGAAAACTCACCGATTCTCAGACAACGAAAGTAACCCGGTTGCAAAGATGAAAAACTTTGTTCAATTATCGATAGTACAAGAGACATCTTAAGTGACTCTACCCATTTGGACACTGAGATAAGAACTTTCTATTTCAGACAATTACTATTTACATAGGAGTTCTATTTATATTGCATTGCAAAGGACAACTTTGAGAGTGGAACAGAATTGCTTCTAATTAGTCAAAGAAAACCATATCCAATCTTGAAGTATTGTCATTCCACAACAATCACTTGACAGATAACTTAGGAACTACAAAGTCTTTCAGCCAAGAGTCATGTTGGGTAAAAGTTCTTCAATATGGAGTGGCTTTCAGTTGGAGAATTGCTGAAGCTTTCAAGTTGGTACACTACTCGACCTTGACTCAAGTATAAAAGGCTTCTTCTTTAGCAAAATAATTTTTTGGCTCAATCTTTTACTCTCTTTTCAGCATCGATGTGCAGAAAATGAACGGATTATAGTTACTATATTTGAAGCCTTAATTGATATCCTTATATAAGACATATTCACAACTTGGTAAAAGTCGAACAAAGGATAGACAACTTGTGTAGCTATTATATCAATAATGGCTTGTATTTAATGATAAGTCAGTATGACAATCTTCATTATACTCTTCTCCAAACTCATTTAGATATTTTTGTATTTATAGACTGCTACGAACGGTTACAAACTAACAGACTTCCAATTCATTGCAATTCTCTGTTTCCCACTGTATTTCGTCTGTAACTTACAAAAGGTTTGTATCTTATTAGACTTGTATATAGGAGTTTGCGTGTAAGATGGTGTGGAAGATAGTAGAAAAACTCTCTTACAGTATACAAGCCATAGAAAGAGTACCCATCAATCTAATTTACCACAAAAACTCATAGAAAACTATTTCTTGTCTATTGTAAAAGAAAGTTTCTAGTTATGACAAGCAAGAAAATATTCCTGCTTTCTCTCTGTTGTCATTGTGAGTCTAGAAGTGTCAAAGAGATCAGTTTTACCAATCACCAAATAAAGCAACCGCTCGAACAATAAAACATACACTCCTTCCAACTCCTTTGTCCTCCTCCAAGTGTTTTGTTCTCGGCTCCTTTGAAAGCTTTTAGGTCATCGCTTTCATCACCCTTTTCTCATCATCACTCATTCATTGATTTTGGATTGGCGGCGTGGAAAATGACTAGTCAAGAGATACGCATAAGTTTGCCTGGAATGACAAAAGTACCGTTAATAGATAGAAAAGAAGATATTTACTCTATTCTTCAAACTTATTTCCACCAGTTTTCTCCAGTTGGGAAAAACTTTAACATACGCCCTTCAGCTTCCTTTTCTCCACATATTTTTGGAGCTGGCAAAAGCTTTGTAGGTCAAAATTTTTTAGAGTTTTTAAAAAAATTCGCCGAAGAAGAAAAAGAGCAGAAGGAGACGGAGGTTTTCAACAAGAGCTCGTCGGGAAAAATTGATGCGAAGATTTTTTCTTGGAAGCACTTTGCGGAAAACATTTTGTTGGTTTGCTTTGAACTAGGAGAGAGTTTTTCTCGTGCTCCTTTTCCAAGGTTTCGAAAGGCTTTGATGTATAACATAGCTATGGCTACAGCCGAGTGTAACGGTATGACCGCCCGAGAAATTGTAGAATTCACGGACGCAGCAATGAAGCAACCTCACGTTTCGACATTTGTCCAGTATCTTCTCGAACAATTTCAGAAACAATATTTATTTTTGATGATAGACGAACTTAGCCACCTGAGTTACCTCACCAAATACTATAGTGAACTCGACGAGAAACAGTTTATCGAGTCTGACCGAAAATATGTACCTTTTCGGAAGTTTTTCCGCGTTTTGCGTGAATTGTTGATTACAGGAAAGGTAATCGTCTATTTGGCAGGTCGAACCGATGAAATCTCAGCCCGCCGGACTGATGCCCTCTCGAGTGGCTTGAGTCTCCATATGTTGCGGTTGAATCCCTTTAACCTCAATGATATTGGTGAATATCTTGAGGTGGCAACTTATGATGGAAAGTCTTTGAAGGACTGGTTATTGCCCTCAGATGATTTACGGTATCGATTCGTAGAATTGTTGAAAAAGAAGACAGGAGGTATGCCGTTGATTGTGAGGAACACTTTATTAACACTGATAAGAATGCAACACGAAGCCCAACCTGTTATCAACAATGAAAATATGGAACCCTTATTAGATAGTGTCTTTCAAGATATACTAAAAGAGTCAACAACCTTTATTATTCCAGAGATACAAGATTCCGCAACCCTTCTTCGATATCAATTTGTCCTTTTGAATTATCAGCTCGGAACAGTTTTTCCAATCGGATTTGCAATTACTCTATGTGGAACGACAACTTATTTGATGGACTTGGTTGCAACTTTTGGGTTTTACTGTGAATTTTGTGGAATTGACGGGATTGATATGGGCACCGAATTCAAGATTGGTTGTTGTGAATTTATATTGCGAGCTCATAGCAGCTATAAATTTTTCCGTGAGGCTAATGAAATCTTTCCTTTATCTCCGTTTAGTTATATTTCCGACATTGCAACAGCAAAAGGAGTCTTCTTTGAATTTATATTTATGAAGATCTTTCGCTTTCGCTTATTAACTTTTCTTCATTCTAATTCCTCGCCTATTGTACATTCTGCTATTCCAGGAATTTTCCAGGATTCCTTTATTGAACAGGACAATATTTCTTATTCTATGGAATCAACAAAATCTTATGATATACCCATCTTGAGAGATGTCCCTGGTTCATTTTCTGACTATTATAGAAAATATTTACAACGTTGTGGTATTTTTGTTCCAAAGGAGGGCAATTCGAGTGGCCCTGATGCATATGTTGTATTCCAGAATGGACAAACACGTTATGTTGTTGGATTTTCATTCAAATTTTATCACAAAACTGGATTTTCGAAAAGCGATATTAAGGAGGAATCAGAACAATTTTTTAAGGGAGTTGTTTCCGTTTTGAATGACGAATCTCTTTCATCTGTTCAACTTTGTTTTCAGTTTGTGGTGGTAGTTTGTACTAGTTATGATCGATCTGTAGGTTTCTCTGTTGAAGAACAAAATATTGTTGAAGATGTAAGTTATTTGGTTACTAAACATTCTTTGAGGTCAACTTTGAGTGAAAGTAGTCGATCATGTCTGCAACTGGTAATTGTTTCCCAAAGGAACCTTGAACGATTTTTGGGAATAAAAAATTACGAAATTTTGAGGAAAATTGGCGAGGCAAGCCGAGGAGAGTTCAGTAAAGACTTTTCAGTATGGTGCAAAACTGTCTTTGAGTCGATGTGCAGTGCATATGTTTCATCTTTGGAAGCTGGGCAATCAAATGTTATTTCAAGAGTAGCTCGAAATGTAAGACAGAGAACAAGCAAGGAGAATCGGATGCAAATGAAAAGTTTTCAAAGTGCTATGCAAGTGGAATATAAGAGAGACGAGGTAACCACTTCTTCACTTAGTTCCGTGCAACAAAATCCTTTTGATTGGATGAACTTTTTGAAACTATATTGTCATTTAACTGAGGAGGAAGCTAGTAAATGTTACGAATGCCTTTGGACTTTTTCAGAGCGAGACATTGGATTCATAAGTTTGGGTGTATTACAGCAAGTGGGTATCGATGAGACTTTTTTGCAAGTCAAGGTTCTTGCTGGTTTGAGAAATTACGTGAAAAACAATCCTCATACTTGAAAGTGTTCTATTTTCCTTCTCAAAAATAAATATTCATATCTTGTGTATTCAGAGCATTTCTAACGCACGTATCGTTTAGTTGAATCAATTGAAGAAAACGTCATTCATTTACTGTAATATAAGAACAGTACTTAAAACTGCTTTGAGTTACTCTATTCTATACAACATGGACTCATAATTGGGTACCGCAAAACGATATAGAAATATCCATGAATTTGCAAGAGTGAAAATACTTTTCTAAGAGCACTGTTTGATCTCTCGAAAGAGCTTTGACTGTCTAAAAGAGTGATTGTGTAAAAAACTGGAAAATATCTTTTTTAAACTATGATATCTCATAAAGAAGTGAGCTCAATCTTTCATTTTTTGAAGATAAATGAAATATTCAGGGTGAGAAAGAACTGTAAACTATCTCAAAAATACTTTTATTGAAGTGATCTACCATAAGTAGCTTGACTTTACGACCTAAGGATATAAAAACTTGTGCCAATAGTTGGATGGACAATCTGTTTACAATAAGAAGCATTGAAGATCAAGAATTGCAATAATCTTGGCTAGATGGCAACATGAACAATCATATGACAGTTTTGAACTCAAATGAAATTTTTAAAAGTTTCCTTTCCTCGCACGGAAATTTCGAGATTAACATTCTTCAATTTTTAAAAAATTTCTATAAGCATTTCTTCTCTTAATCGTCGTCGAAATTCTGACGAAAAGCCAAGTTTTACCCAACAGGTCAAACAGCACACTAATTTCATCTGTTGACTCGAGTTCTTCCAAGGCTATATGCTTGTATTTGGAAGTTGCTTGTATATTTATTCTTGGACATACGCTATGATAGCCAATAACTTTTTGCCTTGTGATAATTGAACTATAAACTGGAGCTATTGTTCAGTCGAATGGTTGTACTATGTCATCATTTTTCTTAAATCTCTTAATATATACATATATATCATTGGTTGTCAGACAAAATGGATATTATGACAAGAGTCACTAGAGTTTCAACAACGCCTGCGATATAAATGGAAACTCCTTTCGGTTCTAAATATCCAAACTGAAATTGTGACAGTTGCATAGTATATCATAAGAAAAAAGAATCCAAAGCATAACTTTTATCTCATTTGCTACATTGCAACGGAAGAAACTTTGAATTTTCTCATTTGAATATCGATGAAGATCTGACATTCTCAAATCGTTATAGAATCACATGCTTCTTTTAGGTAAAAAATAATTTTGTTACTGATATCCTCAGTTTTTAGAAAATTGAAAAAAAATTGTATGCGCTTTTCACAAAAACAGTTGGAATGGAGAAAGAATCGAGTATAAAACTATCTTTTATTTGGTAAATGTTAAGGAATTCAAGCTTGCTTGCGCAGTGTGTCATACAACCAAGTAGAATGAAAGTTTCAAAACAGCTATTTGGTTGGCATATCACCGATAACCAAAATAGTAAATGAGGTGCTACATACGTCTTTTAAAAGAGATGAGAGAGAAACAGGTTCGCAACATACTCTGAAAAGCACTGAATACGAGTAGCAGAACACAAAGCATTATAGCTCATAAAAGAGCCTATGGTTACCTTTTTTATCTCAAAATTAATTTTCAATACTATTTATCTTTACATAATCAAGAATCTGTTCAAAGTCAAGTCAGTAGGTCATTATTTCAATAGTGAAAATGTCTGAAAGCAACGATTCTGCAACTCTTGTTGAAATTCAAACTTGACAATGGTTGAGAGGAATGCTTCGAACCGATACAATTCATATATAGTAGATCGAAAAAAGGATGCTTTTCAAGTGACAAAAATACTCTGTGATCTTTACAAAGGCCGAAAACAATTCAGCGTTGTGACAAGTGGTCATAACTATCGTTTGACCATTCCTTTTCCTCCACTTGTGCTTGGCTCAGCAAAACTAAATTTTGTCAAACCTATTTGGAGTTGGTGGGAAGGTTTGGTGAAAATTCCTGTCGACTTTTGTTTCGGACCTTTCGAGGAACACTTTTTTGGACAATTTGAAAAGGACTTCGTTGCTTTATGTAGATCTGAGGAAGTTGGAGTCCACAGACTTCATCGAGGAAAGACGAACCTGGATTGGCAGTGTACTATTTATTGTACCGATCAGCTTGTGATCAGATGGATCTACCGTTTATGAAGCCTGATGAAGCTTCAGAGTTTAGGAAGGCTTTGGGCATTCCTTCCGATCAATATCTTCTGGTAGCTTTTGATGAAGTTAGTGTGTGTATGTTGGATAAAAGGGAACTTTTTTGAACTAGAAAAGAGTGACAAAGGTGTGGTTTGTCTATACAACGACTTTATCGGTATTATTCGTGAGTTGTGTAAAGAACCGGACTTGTTTTTTATAGTTGTTGGGAAAAGTGAAGGCTTAAATATATACAATTACGTAGTTTCAGTCTCAAGGGTTCAATTAGTGTTTATTCCTCTTGCGCCGCTTGAGAAACATAGCATCGTGGAACATTTGGAGAAAAGTTCTTCCTTTTATTTAATTGTACGCACTCTTATGACAATTGTATTTCTTTGGGATTGACAAATCAAGAGTTGGAAACTTTTGAATTTTCTCATTTGAAACCAACATAGGCAAATATTTGAGAATAACAAGTTGTATAGTAACTCTTGTATTGTACGACTACGTTGGGTTGATAGTGTGCAATCTATTTTATTTTCGCTTTACCTTCTTTGTTCCAATTGTAATAGCTCCATCTGTTATTCACAAACTATCCAAACCTTCTACTGGATTGGATAGATAGACAAGTCTTTTCTTGTATCAAAATGAGTAGCTTCAATCTCCTTATTATCCCAACCTGCACAAATCTTGCGCGTGAATCAAGTAAACATTTATTTTTAAAACTTCAAAAGTCATTATGAGATTTATTGATAATCAAATATGACTCTCTCTTTTTTCTGAATAGACAAGGCAGTATTATTCTGTAAAGACATACTTGTATAAACATATTCGAGTTACCCAAACAAATCTTTGAACTGCGAGCCTAAGCAGGTCATGTATCCCATTTACTCAAGTCTGTCACACAAAGGAAGATCCAAATGCTTGAAAAGAACTTTGTGAATCATTATTTGGAACTTAATGAAAACACAGCTTTGTCCTGAGTTTAAAGCCTCAATCGGTATTGAATGACTAGTCACTTTACTAGAGAGAATCAAACTTTATATAAAACAATATTCGATGTGTTGTGTGCTTTTATATACTTCTTGAGATAACATATTTATTTTCACTAAAAATATGGGATTTTATTAAGCCAAAGAAAGAAATGTTGTTTCTTGGCTTTCCTTAAAAGGAATATTGTATAGAGAGAGGCTTGTATTACCTGTGATTGGTTTTTATCTTTCCTCGAGAAGTTCATTATGGACCATTCTATCCGAGAGCTTAGCCAGGCTACCTATAATTGTGTAGCGGTAGATCGTAACCCTAAAGTCACGAAACAAGTGTATCAGCTGAACCAAAAGTGAAAAGCAATGGTTATTTCTGGAACTGATCAAATGGAGCAAATCATTATTTGTTGTGGTCCACTTCTTTTGGTACTGTAAAGAGCACATTTGCCTTGAATGATCTGGATTTACTCAAAAAGATGGCGTTGACGGTGCTTTAGGGGGTTCTTCCTTGGATCCTCACAATAGGAACTTTTTGGAAACTTGAAAAGCGCCAGTCGTCTTTTTGTCATTCTGAAAAGCTTTGGTCAATAACCTCCTGAAAAGAGAAGCTTCAAGTGGGCAGTTTGCAGCGAATACTCCAGAGCCGAATCCATTCGAGCCGTATGATAATATACAACCAAGGCCTAAAGTGGTGTCTGAGAAGATTCGTGATGTGTTGAATATGAAAACAAATGAATATCTTTTTGTCATTTTTGACAGATTGGTGCTTCTGAAGGAAAGAACAATTTCTTTGATCTGAAAGACACAACAGGTGATTATCTTACGATATACAATGACTTCTTTTCTGTCATTCGAGAACTCTGTCAATAACCCCATTTATCTCCTCTCAAGTTGGGAAAGCAGAGGCTGACGTATACGCAACAACTTAATGGATTCCTCTAATGTTCGATTGGAGTTATTGTCACGTTCTCCTTTTGAAAAGAATCGTATTGTTAAACATTCGGAGAAGAGTCCCTTCGAATGTTTGCACTGGAAATAATTGTGTGGGTCAATTTTTATGTGATGAGAACTTTTCCAGGAAAGCCTTGAAAAGTCTATTATTAGAATAAACAGTCGGTATAGACATTCTTTTGCAACATGAAAGTCGAAACAAGAGTTGTTATCATCCAGAGAGAAAGTCATGATAATAAAGAATGATTTACGAATGTCTCATATTGTGTTGATCATTTCTTATTTCATTTACAATTTTCAACCAAGAAAAACGACAATGGTCCTATATTTTGTTATGTTTAGTTTTATTTGAAATTTGGTTTGATTTGTCCAACCAACTGATTACAAATGAAGGTGTTCCTCTATATGGTTTGGCAAATGGGATGCTTTTATGTCATCGCCAGTGCCTAGAAGAAGATGGGATCAATAATGTATGTGAAGTGTTGAGTCCAAAGCTATTGAGTGACTATAATATGGAAGATTGACTTGCTTCGAAAGTAATTTTCAGGACTATGTTGTCGAATTCTTCTAATGCTCTCACAAGTCTCTGCTTCATATTTTTGAAGATACATTTCGACAAAGTCGTACTTGGAGTTTTCACGTTATGATCCCAACAACATCCCATTTTCTACTCTTTCTTAATGATCTCCCGTGTTGAATTCATTTCTAAGAGAGTATCATTGGAAAAGAAAGTGAATGGGAAAGGATTGTGGACCATGTTTTAGAATTGGAAAAGACTTGTATTCCAATCAATTCAATGCGACCTATTCCGGATATATTGTTCAAGTTGCATAGAAGGGATATCGAAGAAGAGTCGTTGAATGTTGGTATTACATGCAAGCTCAATTGCAGTATCAATAGCATGACATGGAATGAAATACAATAAGAACGTCATAAGTTTTGAAATCTATTCAAGTTTTATCAAAGACTTTCGTACTGAGACTATATGACAAATGGCTCTATCGTTTTACTCTGATGCTTGAGTTTTGAGTTTCCATATTGACTGTTGTTGTTGCGTTTTTGCATTGATAAAGGCTTCCTGTTGTAGTTAGTTTTAGAAACGAGATGCATTGCAATTTATTCTTCGCTATTTAATAGGCTCTAATGGAGAGAAATATGTGGATAATAAGAGCTCAAAGGTCTAATCTTGAAAATTGTTTCGTTCAAAGGCAAAAGTCAAAAGTATTCATAAAAAAAACTTACACCAGTTCCAAACTGATTGTAACAAAGTTGGAAGACAACTAGGTTAGATTATGAAATTCACTGAAATTTTCTTGAACAATGTTAACACAAAAATGGCAGAAAAACTATTCTCCCGCAGTGAAGGATATTTTAACAAGGAATTCTACTTAAAAAATGAATAAAGAAGGCAGCAACAGAAAATATACTTCCATATTGGATATAAGAAGAGATTTAAACTTTTATGCTATTGAGAGCACAACTAGAACAAAATTTGAAAGTCGTCCTTCAACAAGAACAGTGCTTAGAAGCAATATTCCTAGTTATAACTCGTCTTATGAGCGTATAAGTGCAAACACATTGGTTTATTTCACTGTTTCTTTTTCAAAACCGCTTCGTTTGGGTAGTACAGCAGGAGAGTCACAAACCTGAAATTATCGAACGGATTACATTTTTTATAGAGACTTGCTCTCTTTATGCTTGGAAAGGAACAAACTAAAATAATATTTCAGGAACTATTCAACAAAAACCCCCGAAGAAGGAAAATATCTTTCGACTGGGCGGAACAAAGAACAAGCATGTAATAATATTCTTCAAGAAGAATTGCTGATAGCTTTGAATTTACGGAGCTTCATTTTCGTCTCAAGTCGGAGTGATTACTCGTTGTAGAGAAGCAAAGAACGAACCAATCAAATATTGTATTGATGAAACAGAAACTTTCGGAGAACTTTTTTCCGTTGATCTTCTGAACATGTCAACTGTAGTTCACTCAGCAAACTTTTCAGCTTTTAAAACCATTATTGCCTTGGACATGGACTACTTTTACTGCCAAGTAGAGTTACGCAAGCGACCGGATATAGATAGGAACCGCCCTGTTGGAGCTTTTCAAAGGAACTTGGTTGTAACCTGTAACTATCCTGCCCGAGCAGCAGGAGTAAAGAAGCTGATGTTGGTGAAAGATGCGTACGATTTGTGTCCAGATTTGATTCTTTTGGATGCTTCTGACTTGAAGGACTATAGAATAGCCTGTTCTGAAATTATATCTCTAATCAAAGATACCTTTGGAGTTGTCGCTGTTGAGAATCTGGGACTTGATGAGTTTTTTATAGATGTCACAAAAATACTTTGCGATAGAGAGGAAGAGTATTCCTGTGAAACGTCAATCAAGGGTTTTTGCTGGCCAGTTGAGGAGCGAGACTCTTGTATTTGTTTCGAAAAGGAAGAAGCAAAACCTTTTGTAGCAGCCTCGCACCTTTGCTTTGAAATTCGCGAAACTATAAAGAGCAAATTGCAGCTGACATGTTCTGGAGGTTTAAGCAATAGTAAATTGTTGTCAAAGCTTGCTGCTAGTATACACAAGCCTGATGAACAAACTGTTATTTTGCCTCAATGTGTCGAGAGCTATTTGAGCAACTTGAACCTTAGGAAGTTACCAGGAATTGGTTCTGCAACATATCAAAGTCTTGTTGATCATTTCTTGGTTTCGACTTGTGAGCAGCTCCGTTGTATACCAGTCGAGAGACTTGTTGAAGTTTTTGGAAGTCGACTAGGTATTCGACTATTTAATATCTGTAGAGGAATCGACGAAGAGTCCGTTCATGATACTTCCTTGGTCAAAAGCATTTCATGTGAGGAGCGATTCTCCAAGACAGAACGCTGGTCAGAGGTAGAGAGATATTTAGGAATTGTTGTCGAGAGATTGCTTGATCGGTTGGTTGAACATGCCACTGTTTTTGCAGGAAGATACGGGCGCTTATTAATCATTTCGTATCTCAGAAGTTCAAGCACAAGACGAGAGTCGATCTCGTGCAATGTTCCTTTCGATGTAATTCGACTCTGTACTTTGTGCAATTCGATAAAGTCGCCATCTAATGATTACTGTGATAAATTTTCGAACCTACGAAGATCGGCTTTGAAACAGTTGGAAGGTCGTTGTTTTGACTTACTCCGAGAACGCCTCGGAAGTGACTTTGTTGTGTGTCTAGTTAGTGTGGGAGTTGGGAATTTTGTTACTTTGAATGACGAAGAACCAACTTCTCGCCCCAACTCTATCGTTTCTTTCTTTCAAAGAAGAGCCCCAAATTCAACTTGCTCGTACAAGGTTTCCGAGGCATCATCGCCAGAAGCTATAAAATGCTGCATTTGTGATGCTTTGTTAAATGCGAACATGTCAAACGAAGATATCAATAGACACATTGACAAATGTCTTTCTATGAAGAGTTTCAACATAAACAAGACCCAAAATGCTTTGGATGGCTTCATCAAAAGTAGAAAGCGAAAGGCTTCGTCGTCATCTTCGTATCCTTTGGATGGAACCGAAACTTCTTAAGTAATATCGGAGTACAGTTCGAAACGATTGGATCCTATCGAAAATGCCTAATTATCCTTGTTGCACAAATGAATATGATCGCATGTTTCTAGGATTTGAGTCATTTATTTGATTAGATCTGAGCTAATCATCGACCACATATTCTTTACGTAAAATCTGTTTTCGAACTGAACTTTCTGTAAAAGGTGATTGACGGTTCCTCAAGTGGCCTACAAAATGAATTTAGTGTGAAAGAACTGAATTTCCTACATCTTTAAGAAATCTTGCAAATTTCTGAAAGATTCAAGGAAGAATGGAACGCAGAAACTTATTGAAGACTAATGAACTACAGTTGGAAAGCGCTGCTGCATATCCGGACGAAATTGAAAACTTTTGTAATGAACAAAGTCATTCAACCATCACAGAAATGGTATTCGAAACAAAATCTTAGAAAAGATGGAAGAAGAATCCTTTGACAAATAAACTTGTTCATTTTTAGCAAAGGTGATAACTATCGAAATTTTTCAAACGCAAGATTCTAACAATATGCTTCTCTGACGCTCCGTTGGTTTTCTTCGCTTTATCATAACTTTTGACCGACACAACTCTGCACCAAAGTAAGCCTAACTGCTTTGTTGTTTTTTCACCGATACGTGCGTCTTATTTGCAATATTGGTTAGGTCCTAATCCACGCCTAAGCGATAACCAGCCTGTTGATTTTAGAATGGTGGCGGATAAAGTACCACTAAACGACTAGGAGCCTGTTACAAGTTTGGATTTAACAACTTTTGTACCTTATATTTTACAGTTGCTCGATATTTGCAACCAAATATGCCGACATGACTTGGAGAATTATCTAACCTTACCCCTCGAGCCCGACATGGTGAGTCGATAAGTAGGAGTTGTCTTTCTTTTCTCTTTTTCCTGTTGGCATGACCAGGGAGTTCAATTTTTTAATACGTTAGAATTGAAATAAAAAATGGTTGTTGATTGCAAAAAAAACTTGCATTATTGAGCAGGACTTTTGACTGAATGCCAGTTCTCACTCGATATAAAGAAGAAATTGTATAGAAAAGATTAGAAATGAAATTCGCCATGGCAAACATTGCAAATGTCGTCTTAGTTCGCATTATTTGCACCATATAAAAAAAGTTTCTGCTATCAATAAGGGCTGTGCAACTGGAGTACTTTTCCAAAATTGAATGTTGGTTTACGCACATTACAGATATTGCCAGAGTATGAGGTTCCCTCAAGCAAAGCAAATGAATATTTACTTGAAAGCTTCTTCGCGCTTTGAACTACCGCTACTCTAGTCTAATTCAAATTACACCGCATGTTGGTTGTGTTGAGACAATATGAAGCACTCAAATAGCGCAACCAGCTTTTCTTGTTGACTCGGATGAGGAGCCAAGAGTTTGCTTACCTGGAAATATTGTCAACTTAAAAAGGTCCCAAAAAATAGAACTCAAATCTTAATGTACTCTTATAGAGATTTTTACTCATTTTCATTTCTTCCAGCCAACAAAAGAAACTCCAGTACGGCCTACAAGTTCCCTCATTGAGCAGATTTCGAAGGTAAGTTGCAGTGAAAAGATACTCGGATACTGTATGCTGTGTACGACTGTTTTGTTCCATTTTAATGTTTATTGTTAGTGAAAGACTTCTGAAATTGTTTTGAAAATGTACTGGTTTATTTGTTCCGCTTCCTATGGTATGTCTATACAGGAATTTCGAGTATTATCACTTTGGTTTCGGAGTACAATTTGTTGTCTGAGTGTGCTGCTTGATTGTCACATATGGCTTACAGCTATGATGCACATTGAAATGTCAAACGCTTGAAGTCATTTTGCAGTTACTGCAATTGCTTTTGTAGATTCAACAATATGAACCAAAAAAACTTGTCCTTATTTTCAAAGACTTCAAGTCTGAATAGTAAATGTGGCATTTACTCATGAGAATTTTACTTTAACAGGTTTGAAAAATGCCTCATAAAGCTGATTTTGGAGACCTCAACGAACTGCGCTGAATCAGTTCAATCCAATAGCTATCGTAATGTCTCGTTAGCATTGTTCATTTTTATGTTTTGAAGTCCAATTACCCGTCAGGATCTGATACAAATGCGATTTCACCGACATCCTATTGTTGCAGCTTTAAAATTCGAACTATGAACATTTCAATCTTACTTGAAAAGGACCTGGTTTGCGAATGATTTTATAACCGGCTTTCTGTATTCTATAACAGGCGCCATAGATATCTAGATAAAAGTGAGGTAGGGCTCGAAATGAAAGATTCAACAAATACCATCGACTGTCAAACCAATATGTCCAAATCCCTTGGGCTCTGAGTTGCCATTATGATAAGATAAGAAGGAATCAGACTCCGAGTCCCATAAATATTGAAGTGCCATTCTAGGAATCGTCCATTGGTAGGTTTTGAACTTGTTTATCATTGAGTAGATCTCATTAGAAGAAGAATTTGCATAGCCGTAATAATAGACTGTTGAGCGAGATGAAGGGATCTCCAAATGTCCAAGAAAGTTCATTCCAAGACCTTTTTCATAAAATTCTTTGCTAACTGCAGGGTCTTTGATACGAAGCATTGTCTTTGAAATGTCGATAAAAAATATTCTGAACCATAAGCATTATTTACCTCTGCTAAGACCGGGCTACTTTTAACATCATCGACACTTTTTGTATTGGAATAGAGATATCCTGTTTTTCGTTCTCCTGAAACCAATTGGATCCAATAGCCGTCTGGATCCGAGACGTATGCGCATTTTCCAATCTGCTCAAAAAACTGTAAATGTTGTCCAGCTTGCAGCTAACCTACCTCGGAATGAGATGGATGTTGTATTACGGGAACGCCTTGACTCTGAAGCTCTTCAACTGTTTCTTTTACATCATTCACAACAAATGTCACATGCACAAAACCTTTAGGATCTTCGTTACCGTTGTGATAATGAAATTCAGAGTCTTTTTCAGTTCCCCAGTTGTAAGTCAGTTCTAAGGTTGGACATTGAACGTTCCACAGCCATTTGGCAGTTTCTGCTTGTGATAAATGATCATTTGGAATCTTTTGCTCTGTACTTGCATAGAAGTAAAGTGAAAATGCAAGACTAGGAAAGTCAAAACGAGTTAAAAACTGCATTCCCAATTGTTTCTCGTAAAACGTTCTGCTCTTCTTCGGGTCCTTGATACGAAGCATAGTTTGAGCAAACACTGGTTTTCTTCCTATAAGAGAAAGCATGTCTTTAAATGTTATCGCAAACTTGAATCATGTAAACGACTTTTTTTCACATAATTGTAGAATTTCAAGATGAAATGTCTACAGGACATTTCTGCGCAGAAATCCAGATAGAATCCGGTTGCGTCCCTTGCAGCGGGATACTTCTTGTGTTGTTTGAAACTGATATGGAAAGGTTAGTCTCTGCTCCTCAGAACTGTTGTATTTGCTTTGAAGAGATACAGAAACTCTTACAACTGATACCTTGTCAACACAGTCACGTTTGTTCAAGTTGCATTTATCGACTTGACGATATGAAGTGTCCTACGTGTAGGCGACAAGTTGAATTTGTTGACCTGAATTTTTATTCAGAAAATAACTATCTTAACAAGAAATTGGAAGAAAATCAGACCACAGTCTTTCCCAAAAACTCCATTCGCATTCCACTGCAGCTGCTATTAGAGTACAGAAGGAAAGAAATAAGAAGATTGGTTGCGTCAACTTTTCAGGTTTCTTTTGTAGGATCCTCTGGTATTCCACTGCTTGGAAATGCAAATCAAGTTCTCGAGAAATTTGCTTATAAAGTGAGTTGTTCCGATAAACTGGAGGATGGAGAGCAGGAAAAAAAGGCTTCAGAGAAACAAATAGAAAGGCTGGATGGTTTTTTAAGCAGTTATGTGCAGAATGACAACTTTACAAATTGTACAGAAAGTTTATTTGACTTGCTGTTTGATATGAATGAATGGAAAAAGTACTACTCGGCAAATGCTTTTATAAAGGGGAGGTTGATTCGCTTTGGATGTTTTGCATTTTGGGAGTTTTTGAGAATTCTTAGAAGCGCAGGAGCACCTGATGGAATTCTGCCTGACGTTATTGTCACTTGTGTGGATTTGTGCAATGAAATAAATGTTCAAGAAACTATGGAGATGCAGGACATTATGACCAAGACATATAAGCAGTATGGCAGAACTTTATATAATATATGGTTGGACACATCAGAAAGTCAGTGCGAGGAAAGAAAGTCTACAGAACATCAGCTTGAAAAGATATTTCATTCTATGAAGGAAGCGGTCTGGCCACGTAAAGTAGTTGTTCTTCCAAAATTATTAAACCCGAAAGAAAGTTCCAAGTTAGGAGAAATTATTGTGAATGAATGTATCAAGAGTAGAAAATCCATTTCGTTTTATTATAGAAACGATATAAATATGGATTGAAGTTGAGAGATTCCTTTCCAATCTACACCTCAAAAATAAAACTGTTTCAGATTTCTACAATATGATAATATTTGTTGTAGTTTGATAAAACAATTTTATTTCGAGAAACACAAAAACTATCTTCTAAAAGGGCATTAAATTTTTGCAGAAACATGAGAACAAGAAGATGACTTGGGTGGTACATCCATTGCAGGGTTCATATCGAAAAAGTTACAAGGATGCAACATGAACCCAGCCTATTGCCGATGCGTTAATACTCTTCTGTATTCCTAAAATATTGTCAAGCTTACCTCAACCACAGGCATGACTGGCCAGTCTTCGGTTTGAGGAACTAGAGAAGACAATCAAATCAACTATACAAGGACGACAGGGTGTATTGCAAGCTTACCATGCGTAATGCCAAAAGTGTACCAAACGACAATATCTCTATCTAGCACTGATCTATTCTGTTGGGTCCACTTTCCCAAACCCTGATCTATTTCACACTGATTAGGAAACCTTCCTGCGGCATAACGTTCCTCTTCATCAAAGGATGTAACCCATAAGGCACGTTTCAGAAAGTTTGCTCTTTTAACTACGGCAGAATCCTCGTTTAGCAGAAACTTGTCAACTGTCACTGGTACTATCTTATAGCCCGTTGGTTGACCAAGGTAGTTTCGTCTTCGAGAGCTGCTCACCAACCAAGTTCTTGCTCTAGCAGCGTCAATATCTCGAGCAGCTTTTAGTTCATTAGAAAGAACTGTCTCTCGAATGGTCATTGCATTCTTTTGTGTTGTCTTTATTCCCAACTCTTCATCTGTTGGGTGAACTACGTCTATTTCAGTGACTCGATTCTCCGTTCCATCTATATCAAAGTCTAGTCGAACACTATAAAAGTGCTGATGATACTGTGCATTAAGACCTGGAGCAACAAGACTTCCATTTCTCATTCCATTATGATAAATGTTTCTACCACATATATTTAGCTGTCCAGTGTGCTTCACCTTCATTTCGATTTTTCCATCTTGATAGAGGTACCTAGTAAGTTGAATCAGTGCTCTTCAATCACACGTAACCATAGAGACTGTTATCTTACCAGAAAAATCCATAGTCATAGTTTACCAAAGTCTATTATTGGCGTTAAAGTAATCAAGCTTGTTCAAGGCTTCAACTTACTGCAATCATAGAGATGACTAGTCTTCTACTTCTCCTAGATTCAGGATGCCTCGTACGTAATTCAAGATGTTTCCAGAGCAAGCCAATATCTTCTTCGTGCATGCACACAGCGTTTCTTACAATCTGAGGCTCTCCTTTGGCATTTGTTAGACAAGCATCGAAATAATGAATGTGACCTAAACAGTCACATCCTAAACGGAGAGAGTTGGCACAATTTCCTAAACCATATTCCCCCTCATCGAAAGCTCTTTCTTATACTTTAGACACTTCAAACATTGTAGGAGTAACCAAACCAACCTCTTTGTATTATGAGGAGGATCAGGGTCACCATAAGGAACCACCATTTCTGAAACAGACGCCCTGTAAAGAATGCTTCTCTCCTCCTTTCCTTCAGTGTAACGAATATCATGCAGAACGAGGCCTTCTCTTGAGTTGAATCCAACATAGAAGCTCCAGTTTTGCCACTTAACATGATTACCATGGACCTGAAAACTGGGTCCATTGGATTGCATAACATCAAAAGGCTTAAGATCCTGTCGCAGAGTCCACTTATCAGCCCTAAAAGGATACAACTTCTTAGGAACAGGAGCATTTGCATAGCTTTCGTGCTGCACAATAGTCATTGTATTTAGGTCCACAATGGGAAGAAAACCTTCCACGGGATGAGAGTATTGATTCTCGTCATCCTTGTTCATACGACACCAAGTGAACATTTGAATTAGTCTTCGATTATTTGGATCCTTCCTTCCTACTGTCCAAGGATCACATGTAATTAAGTCAGTATCTGTAATGTTGTACTCTTCTCTCAAAATTTTTTGACACTTTGGATCCTTCTTTATCAAATTTTCCGCCTCGACGGCTTCGTCTAAAGTAATACTTGGTTGCACATTACGAAACTATATAGATATGTCTATATATCAGATGAGACACTTTCTTAGACTTAGCCTTACCTCATTTTTGGATAATACTTTCTTGTTCTTTAAAGACAAAATATAAACAGATGTGCACGTTGTCGAGGTATTGTAAATAATGACCTCTGCCTTCCTATCCAAAGGACGGTCAGAACTTCTCCATCTCAGGTATTCTTCCTTAGAGGGTTCTTTCAAGTCAATTCCAATTATTCGACAAACTTTTCCATTGTACTCGCTTTGTGCCTTACAAAGCGAAGCAGCCAACTGCACTTCCTTATCTAGGAGGGGTAAAAAAGGGCTATCCTGTATAAAAGTCATTAAAAACTTGACAGCATATTACTAAGTTGATACTTTACCTTCTCTAAATACCCGTTCATATTACTTGGAAAATACATATTTCATAGTCGCTTTGCGCTCTTTATAACTGAATGGATGTAGAAATATCCGTTGGACAATTCTACCGTTTTCCCTCCTTTCTGAAGAAATCTGGTTGACGAGTCGTTGATTTGGCACAGGACGAGATCGACTTTGCAAAGCTGCTAGTGTGGAATTGTACTCTTTTCATTGTATGGTGTTTTACCGCTTTGCTTTATTCAGTTGGAAATTGGAAAAATGTGTATTGGAGAGCTTGTTGGAATAGGAAAAAAGCGCTCACAGACAAAACTAGATAGCATAGTCAACCTTGATGAGTATAGTTGGACAAATTCCACTGGAGGGGACTTGGATGTTTGGAATAGCATTCTACAAAGTGCAGATACAGACTCTGTGCAGAGCCCCAGAGATATTGAGAGTATTCGTCAGTTGATAAGACAAGTATGTCGTAGAAGACGCCCGGGGAGACCACCACTTTATGTAATAAGTGAAACAGGAGCAGAATTGAAGAATGAAGAAGAAAGAAAATTTATGGAAAAGATACTTAAACGAAGAATAAGACAGAATAAGGCCTACAGACGCAGGAAAGAACGAGATGCCAAACAGAAAGCAACACGAGAAAGCAGCCAAGAAGTTGTAGAATATACAGCTTCCGAGACTGTTTCGAAGACTTCAGAAGCAAGTATTTTCCACTTTGGAGAACAATTCTTCGAGCAAGGAAATATACTTAGTTTCGTATCTGAAAAAGATGGCCGTTGTGATAATAGAGAAACACAAGATACCTCAATAGGTGAAGGAGCGGAAGAGCAGGAAACAGACGCAAATAGAAGAGTCTCACTTGAGGAAGATGAATGTCTTCAGCTGAGATACTTATGGAAAATGGAAGAGCAATGGAAAGGAGTTTCGCTTTCGGGTGGATCGTTGGCAACAATAAGATTAATATTTGAGAGAGTGCGAAAGTCTTACTTAGGACTAAGTATGTTTCTCAGAGATGCATATAAAAGTCTTTCCATATTGCCTGGCTACTTTGATTGGCGAACAGCTTGTTTCATCATTGGAATTTCTTCTACTAGCGAACAACCAGGCCACGGCATTCTTCAGTCTTTGTTGCGTGATCAAATACTTCTATCAGAGAAAGGCTTCTTTCTCATGGGACCTCTGGAGAAATCTTTTGCTTTGAATAGCTCAGTCGTGCGCAATGAACCCCAATATTTAGCTGTTATGAACAAAGCTAAAGAACGTTTTGTGGAGTATTTCCTTAGCAAATACTTTGACATAAACGATTATTTCTTCTTGCAGAGAGCAACGGCTAAGGATATCATTCTATCTATATATACAAATGAAAAAGTAAATATGGACTACTGCTTGAAGCTGATAGTAGAAAACGATATTGCTAAAATATTAGACATCAATCTATTGAATCGTTGTGTTCACTTCTTCCGATATTGTGCTTCTCCTGAGACCTTGATTGCAATTTTTAGAAAGGCCCTGCATCAAAATGCGTGCTCTCAATCTCTGTTATTAGAAACATGCACTGAAAGTAATCAGATTGCTATGACGACTTGCGATTGTGCAGATATGATGTGTCCGGATTCTTGGGAAATAGAAGCGATAGCAAGGTTAAAGGCAGCCATAGGAGAAGCCTATTGCAACATTGGCGATGAAGAAAAAGGAGAATATCTATTGCGTCAAGCTGTGGACTTGTGTGGTTTTCACAATATTATCGACTCTCCTGTGGTTGTAATGCCATTGCTGTATTTGGCAAATTTGGAGAAAAAAACGAACTTTTTATTCTACAGCTGTAGAAAAACTAAATACTGCGATAAATGTTCTTTATCGCTTGGGTCTACGAAATAGTCCTTTTGTTACCGTTGCACTTGTGAGTGGCATACTTCTTGACGTGCAGCTAGGCAATATGAACTTTGTAAAGGATTCCATTGCAGTGATCGAAGACTTGCCAATGACCAAGGAAATTCCGGAAGTTAATGCATTTCTAGGTTATTTATATCAATGGCAGGGTAAAGGGGATGTAGCTCAACATTACTTTCAAACAGCTCTTGAAGTTGTCCAGAGGAAAGAACTATCGAGAAACATCTCTGAGTTGTATATAAAACACTGCGGAGAATCAAATTTGGAGAGTGTCTTGCTTGAGGAAATTGAAGATAGCTGTGTTGAAGAAAATAAGGAAACTGCAACAAGTGTTTCGATAGGCAATTGCTCGGAGGAAAAACATCAAATATGTGCAACTGATTTTCAGGACATCCCAAACTGCAATGACGGCATTCGATGTTTCTGCTTTGATTTTGGAAAGATTGGAAAGTCATTAAAAAAGATGCTTTCTTTCGTTTTTTCTGATGAGGATAGTTCGGGTTACGACAACACTTGCGTTGATGATTTGTTGAAGGATGAGGATGACAAGGAAATACTCTTTAACCATCCTTTCTTTTTAGCTTGAATGTTTCTTTAGTTGCTTTCTTGATCGATATAAAATTGAACTTCTTTAAAAGTTTCACTCTATTTTGTTAAAAGGGGATATTAGAACTAGTTTAATCATTGGAGGTATCATTGAAAGGAAAAAAAAGTTATAAAATATGAACATCTATAAAAAGCAAGGTTTTACTAAAGCAGAAGACAATCCAAGATAAACAACTATTCATGCAAGTATTACTGGGAGCAACTGAAGGGTTTTGGAATCGCTCCAGAATCTGAAAGCATTTTGATATTATCAATGTTTGCATAGACACCGACACCAAGACTTAACCAAGAAAGGAGGAAAATAATCACGTTAATAATTGTCAAAAGTATAAACGGCCAGCGGAATAATTTGGAACGATGTTGATAACACCAGAAAAGGCAAGGAAGACCGTAGGTAAATTGACTTGCAAATAGAGCTCCTCCAATACCAATCAGATCGTCAAAGACAGGAATTAACTCTTCCAGTAACCAGGGAACCCACCAGAATGTTGCAACGAGAAACAACCATAGAGCCCAACTTTTCAAGTCGTTCTTATAAGCTGCGGTACGCTTAGATGGAAATCTTCTTAAGACATTCTTTGTCGCCAAATAGGCATAATTGACTCCTGCTATTAGTAGATTGGGAATTTGCAAGAAAAAAGTTGCTTTTTGAAGTTTTGGATTGACCAAATTGAAGAAATAGGGACTCTGCGCATAGATACCCGTGTATGCATAAATGAAGACTCCATAGAAGGTATATATGAAAGTGGTTATCGCGAATGCAATAATTACAGCTTTTCGAAACTCCATAGGATGACGCATTTCTAGAATCAAGTTGAAAAACACCATGTGTCCTGAATAGGCATAGACAATGTCCTGAAGAGAAAGAGTCATTTCCTTATATAGGAATTTTGAAATCTAAACTTACGTTGACTGCACCTACTATGTCATAAAAACTAGCGGAGCTTGCAATAGAAAGATGAATATTGGTTCCAGGTTTGACTCCCGGCATAGGAGCATCTTGTGTTGCCACTCCAACCATAGTTGGAATAACAGCAACTAACCAACTAATGATTGCTATAATAGATAGATAGCTGACTCCTCGAAGAGTCCTTGGAATGGAAATTAGAATTCCGAAGACAGTAACTACAACACTAAAAATGACATAGCACGTTTTCTGGTTTCCAAGGACGTATAGTGCATCAGCGGCAGGTTCGATAACCGATGCATTAAAGAATATCAACAGAGCAATTTGACACCACAAAAGCACTTCTTTTCCAACTCTACCAAATATAATTTCTCCAGCTTCATCATAATTTCTGATATGTTGGTGTTCTTTCCAATATTCGTGAAGCAACACAGCAGTGTAAGTTGCAATAACTCCCAGTGCTACAAACAGAATGGTACCGGGAACAAAGCCTACAACTGCAACAGCAGAAGGATTAGAAAGGGGACCAGAAGAAGCTGTTTCTGCGATAACAAGAATAGTTGTCATAAGCCAGCTGGTTCTATGGCTATCATAATTTTTACCATCTGGATCATATTCTGCTTCATCCGTATTTTCCTCGTTACTAAAAGGAACCACTTCGTCAGTTTGTTGTTTTTGTAGTTCTTGTTCTATAATAGTTTGAGTGTTGTCTCCTATCTCCTTGTCAAACGAAAACGATTGAGTTTTTTCAGTCATGCCTGTCAAGTATATACCAATATTGTAAAAATACCCTGTATCTGGAAACACCACGAGCTTTAAATCATTTTGAGTTTGCTGATTTCGGTTGATTTCATCGCGTTTTCTTCTTGAAGAGTAGAAATGTCTCGTAGACATTTCTATGGGTTTGCCAACTCTTGTCTATTTAGACAAGGGTTGACTAGTAAGAAATAAAATACATAATGCTGAGAGTCTGTAGAAACGCCTAGTTTTGTGAGGAAACACCTTGTTCAATCGTCGAGAAGTTTTAAGGAAAGATATCACTGCAAAATAGTGTGAATGACGAGATGACTTCATTTATCTTTATAAGCTGCACCTTTTTACTGTTCAAAGCACAATAGTCCAAACTATTCCAATATACAAAAACTAATTGCAAGCATAGCTTCTCTATGATTTCGAGAGGCGAAAGTATATTACTGGAAGCAACAATTCTTTTTTATCCTACAACTACAAGTACGAGAATAATGAGTTTTCACATTTAGTCCTTTTACTTTAAATTATTCTATTTATGTGAATCAACTAAACCAAAACTCTTTTAGCTCGAGAGTTGAATGTTAAAAGGCAGTAATTATGACTTCACAAAGTCACACGATTTCTGAATACAGAAATACACTTTCCTGTAAAGACTGTTATTTTTTAGTTTCTGACAATATTTATCCTAAGATGCAATTATTTGCAGGATTCTGTTTCATGCTCGAATAAGAAACCAATTTTTGTCTCAACATTCTCACAGAACTAGATTGAAGTCTATCAGGAAAAAATGTGGAAATAGGCATCACTATAAGATAAATTGGTATATGTCTTTATTCTTATGACTAGTTGAAACTAGAAAGCAGAATGAATGTAAGCGTTGTTTGCAAAATTAGCAGGCAACAGTGTCATGGTTCTGTTCTCAAGCTATTACACTGTTCTCGAGTTAGTTAAAAGATCTCTATCAAATTTCCCAAAATGAAGGAAAATGTCTAGGCATATCAACAGCCACTTCAAAGCTAAAGCCTCCAAATCCTGCCTCCAGATCCCATAAAAGTTCGTTTTCATTCCAAATGAATGTAATTATACTTCAAGTACTCCACCTTAGAGTCTAAAATTTGAGGGAGTTTTGACAACTTGTGAGCAAGTATTCATATCTGTTCGACATTATCCCCATATTTTGTATCTTCTGTATCACCATCGCCTTTACTAACTTGCTCCCCGAAACCCTGGTGATATCAACTAATGAAATGATATTATTGAGCGTCCACTGAATTCAACCAAACATTCAACCACAAAATGGTAGTCTGATGTATGCTATCAGGAACGATATCCTATTTTCTATATGTTCTTATAGATCTGCTATCATTTAACACAGTCAATGGAAAAACAAGCTGGTTCAAAAACCAAGAAAGAGAATAGCAACAGTGAGACATTAATATATCTCCATAATTAAATACCATTCTTATATTCTTACTAGGAACAAGAAGGAATATATATATCTCGCATTTTTCTATTACTATTCCTTGTCTCATAAATCTCGTAAAGAAAGCAGTTCTCATGTGAGGCTAATTAAAGAAACTTGTACAAAACAGTAAGCGATGTCTTGGAACGAGACTTGCCCAAAAGGTCTAAAACACTACGATTCGCCGTAATAAGTTTGAAAAAGTTCGTTACCAAAAGTGCAAAACAACGGTCACATTCATCCGATTCTATGAGCAACAATAAACTTTATATGAGAATAGTCACAAGTGACTGCGAAGTCAACAAACGAAGAATGAACGTCCAATAAATGCAAATGTCTGCCCGCGTTCCATTTCTCATGGAGTGAAATGCGAATCGGCATTGATTCATAGCCATCCTTTCGAGTCAGCCGAGCAATTTCATGCTTCAACGTGGCTTTCGCTAGTGACTGGAAAATTCCGTTTCGCATTATGCGTTCTTAACATAAATATGTTTCAGCGTTTAGGAAAGACCATCATCCTTCTTTTCGTTTTAGTTAACTTACAGTTAAACTTTGTTACGACATTGTTGGAAGAACCCAAGCAAAATACTCAAGAGAGTATTGCCGACGCTTTACAAGCTTTTGGCCTTACGAATTTTGTCTCACTACTATGTAAAAGCCAACTGCTTGGCTTATTTCAGGGAATTGTGAGTGAATCCACGCCGCCCGTCTTATGCTTACAAATGTTCACAAATTGTTAGGGTGACCAGTTCACAGTATTCGCACCAACCAACGATGCGTTACCTCAAAATTGCCGCCAGTTACTGGAAACAAATATCACAAGTCTAGAGAATTTGCTTCTGTATCAGATCATTCCTACTGGTGGTTTCACAACAGGAAACCTAATAAACAATATTCAACCTGCGAGAACTGCTAACTTCACGACTTTAGAGGGTTCGCGATTACCAATCCACTTATTGCACAATGGTAGGAATCAAACTGTAACTTATATGTGAACTAATCTCCAAAATCAGGTTCTCTTCGCATTGGATATAATAACGTGTCCATTCTACGAGCGAATATTGTTGCATTCTCTTCTGTTGTACAAATTACGAGTGGACTCACCTTACCGTCTTACCTTATCAACAACAAGGACGTTTTGCAGACATGTCCACGGACTGTTTCAAGTTGACACTGAAGAGAGTATCCTTCCTAGTAAGATTACAAGGCCGTTGACTGAGAACCTGCCATAGACTCGTACGTATCCAGCACGCTGTAGATGAAAGGAGGGACCTTGTTTAGGGTCTTAATGTCATCTGCTGAGCAAGTATTGGATATTTCTGGTAAACATCGTTGCAAATGCTCAATAGCCAGTTCACACATTTTACGTTCAGAATGAGTTTCCCAAAAATAAAGGTAGGTTTTCAAGGTCCAGTCTGACCGTTCGAAAACAAATATTTTTGAAACATTCCATCTGGAAATCAAATGATGTACGAGTAGGCTTGGATATATGCGGGATAAATAACTCATTGAATCCGGATTCTCGGTATAATTTAAGATTTGCTCCGTTTCGGAAAATAAAAGCATACGAAAAGATCGAAGGCAGTCATACACATTCTGATACCTAACTATCCATGTGGGGCACAATGAAGACAAAAAACCTTCCAAAGTAGCGAGATCGGAAAGTAGTTGGTACTTAACTTGATCTCTTAATGGATGCAAAACAGAGATATTTCGCAAGTAGCATAGAACAAACCTGCTAATGAAATGCTCCATCTTTCCTTTTAAAAGGTAATGATTTCTTAAAAGTTTGAAAAAAGAGGAATTGTACAACTCCAGAAATCTTACTAAACCTCTCACTGTTTTGGATACATTCTCAAACTCTTCTCTGTTTGTCATCAAAAATTGTGAATCTTTCCCAGTCGAAACACGAGTAACGGAACTGGGTTTCAAACCGTCAGAGTTGTGCATTAACAATATTAAACCAAGTAAACAATCGAATGCCTTCTCAAATACTTCATCAATAAATATACAGGAAATTGAAGATAACGATTCTTTAGCAGATTGTATATCAGGATTTAACCAGTTCGATAAACCTTCTGTTGACAATTTGTCATCAAGTTTTCCCTTCGAGTATGTGATCTCCAACTCCAGCATTCTCATATGTTTCATTTTCCGTTCGAGCGTAGTAGGGAAACGTTTGAGGTTCTCTTCAAAAAGAAGAATACCATTATAAAAGGAGCTCAAACTAAACAACCTATCCATAAATAATGACTGTGTAGGATCCCACTCTTGTCCAATCACTCTGTTCATACTTTGCTCTGCTTTAGCTACAAACATGTTAATGATCGATCCAAGGTTTTTCAAAAACATATTGGGCGACTCTATTAATTCCAGATTGGACAGAAATTCTGCTTCGATGAGCTTCACAAAACTTCCTACTGCATCTTCATCAAAAGAACTTTCAGCATTTTCAAAGAGTTGTTCCAATGGTAGTGATAAACGTGAAAAGGATTTTGCAAAGTAGTGCGCTTCGCAAGGATAAAACGTTGAGACAAGATCAAAGCTACCATACTTCGATGAAAGAAAAAGAGAATCTCCCAAATTGAAAGCTAATGAAATAAATGAGTCAAATATGTCGTCATCCGCGAGTTGCTCATATAGAGAATCTTCCATCTCCTTAAGCAACTGATATATATTAGGATACATATCCACAAGCATATCAAACAATTCGGCTCTTAAAGAGCCTCTCGAGGAGGTTGAAGTAGCCTCTACTTGTGATTTCAGACTGTCTCTGATGAGAAGATAAAATCTTCTAGTCAAAAAATGATGTGAGAATTCTTCAGAATGCCTTTCAGTTGACACTTGAACTAAATTTTTGCTAATCAAGAAAGCAGCAAGCGGCTTATGACTGTCCCAAGGATACTTCCTCCAAAGAATACTTTCTAGCAATAGAATAGAACGATGACCCTCTAATATGCATTCCTTTACAGATAGGAGTCTTTTCCACAAATCCTTTTTGGAAATACTTTCTGCTAGAATATTGTCGCCTTGATCCAAGAAAAACGTTTCTCTTATCTTCTGTGAAACCTTCAAAATGAGTTCTTGAGTCACATAGTCCAGGGTTACCTGAAGATTATCCAAGTAATAGGCACCAAATAGCATATTGCCGACATCTACTTGTGACCTAGCCTCTAAACGTTCCAACAACGTTCTTCTTATAGTCCAATCGAGTCGACTCAAGCATTGATTCACGTAAACAGCTTGTTGTCTTGTGATAGATATATGTGATAAGACAGATGAATCTAAAAGCTTCTGTGCCAACTTTGCCGTCTCACAGAGATCACATATCCCTTCTTCTTCTGCAGAAATATTGCCGTGGTCACTTGAAAGATATCCAGAAGACTCCGGAGTAGCTGCATCAGAAACGTTGGGAAAAACTTGCTTCAAGCGTGAGACATAACGTTCTAAGCATATTATGTCTCTAAGAATTCCTAAACATTGATAGACGGACTCCAATTTCAAAATGCTGTCTCTTGTTTGGGAAAAAGGAAGTCCCATAAGTTGTTCGATCTTCTCCACTTCCTTCAGTAAACTTTCTGAAGCCGTCATAATACCACTAATGTTGTTCTCTGATTTATCCAACTTGTCAATCTTTGAAATGAGGAGATCCTGATTTTTGTTCAATTCCTGCTCCACAGTTTTCTTCGACTGTTCAACGGCTCTTTCAACTGTCACCATAGCATGTCGAACACTTCTGTTGGATAAAGCATTTCCAACAAACGAAACTGGTGAGAAGCTTTCTTGAACGAACTCTTGGAACTCTAAACCATTCCAACCACCTTCTCGGGATTCCTCCTCAACTTTTGACATCTCCAACAATCCTTACCGACAATAATTTTGTTTAAGCATTCTTCATTGTTGTTTGGCGCCACAAATAGCGTAGCAATGTCGCAAGAAAAAACCTTTAGGGAACAGAAGAAGACCTCTCAAAATGAACTTATTTTCATAATAACTTGTATTCTGATAATAATTCTAAGTTTAGATGAAATATATAAAAGACAAGATGGTCAAAATGAAAGAGAAACCAGTCTACTCAGCTTCAGAATTCTTACATTTAATAGGCCTGAGTCCCTGCATAGATTGCTCCAATCAATATCGAACATGATTCTGAAAAAAAATTATAAATTTGTGAACCTCTATATTTACGTAGATTCGAAATTCGATGAGGAATATCAGTCTCAAAAGGAATTAAATAACATCATTCGAGTTAGAGAAGCAACTCAAGGATTTCAGTGGCTTCTTGGCAGAAAAGAGATTCACTACAGAACTGTTCATCATGGACTACAAAATCAGTGGTTAGCTGCCTGGTATCCAACTAATGAAATGGAAGCAAGCATCTTCTTAGAAGACGATATTGAAATCTCTTGCCGTTTTCTTGAGTATATTGAAAAAATTCTATTAGCAATGGAGAGTTCAAGAAAAAATTCTGAAAGCTTTGGAGAGTTTGAGCAGTGTGGCGGGATTGTTATGGAAGAATTGCAAATAAGTCAACATTTTCTTGCATCTAATATAACCCAACAATTCCTAAATTGCTTTCGGGTCCGCTTTACTTCTAGTTGGGGTCCTATTTATTTCGGTACATTTTGGAAGCACTTTATGGATTGGTATTTGACGGTTACATTGCGACCCAATTTTACACCTTATACCGAAACAAGTGACGAAAAATACAATTTATGGCTACGGCAGGGAAAGGACGTATGGTCTCCATGGTTGAAAAGATTCCTCGATGAAACCGACTATTGGTTCATTTACTGTAAACCACCACACAAGAATACAGTTTGGCTTCATAATCATGCCGAGATGGGGGTCAATACACACTCATATCAAAGGTCTTCTCTTCCACAATTATTTTCTGGAGATCTTTCCTTATTCGATATACCTTGCTTTAAAAGTAGTAAGTAGCAAAAATTCCGAATTTTTCTTTTCTTGCCATCTGAGAGTAATACAGTGCCCATCTTAGATTGCGATGCCGATGGAAATTGTTCATAATGCCATGGGCTTTTCGGTAAGCCAAAAAAGCAAAATATCTTTAGTTTCTCAGAAATCAAAAATACATGTTAACTACGTATCATTCATCTCAACTGGTATCGTGGCCGTGTGTATATAAAGGTCGTCTACAGACGTTTCATTTATAAACTAGTGCCTGTACGTCCTTACCAAAGAGCTCTAAAACCAGTACCATTACTTTGCGAACTGAATCGCACAATTCTCTAGTCATATTACTAACGGAACTTCTATAAACTAGTATCTGCGAAGACCACTCGGTGGTTGCCACTGAACCGGATGAGTCTCTTCGGTCGCATTTTCGTCTTCCTTCCAAATTTTTATAGTTTTATCAGCTTCTCCTGTGACAAGACGAGAACCTGAATTGTTTTTAACATATGCTCGAGTTCCCATTTAATTTATATTCTACCTGTTTGATCAAAGCAACATGTGAAAATGCCCGACTCAGATTCCAAAGAACCAGGTTGTCCAATAGTATTGGTTCGGAAGAATTCATGAGCAGCTCTATAGTCCCAAAAAACTAAGGAACCATCGTCACCAGCTGATACCATAACATCGTCCTAACCAATGCATTGGAATAAGAAAAAGTGTAATAACTTGACTTACTTCATTGATAGCCAACGAGTTGACTATGGTATTGTGCCCGTAAAAATTACGAAGAAGTTCTCCATTCGGAAATAAAAATGTCTGCAACGATTGTCAAACAAGAAACCATAAAGACAATTATACAATTTAAATACCTTGATGCGGCCAGCAGATGCTGAAGCAAAAGAAAATTCTCTTGGATGTATACATATAGAACGGACTCCTTTCTTGTGATGAGTAAGAGTCGAAAAACAACGACCCGCTGAGAGATCCCAAAGTTTGATCTAAATAATTCAAATGAATATTCATGTTTGGTATTCAAAATGTCCATACTGTGGCATCTGCAGAACTCGAGACAATTTGAGGATCAACTCCTTGGGTTTGGACACTATAAATGGCGTCTCGATGGCCACTAAGTGCAAAAATTTGCTGCTTCGTGCGAACATCCCAAACGCGAACAGTTGAATCTCGTCCACCCGTAACAAGAACATCAAGAGTTGGGTGTAAACTTACACAATAGACTCCTGTAAAGAAAAGTTGTATAATGAACCCATCAAGCATTGAGAAGAATTTCATACCTGATAGATGTCCATGATAATGTCTTATCACTTTATTATATTCCAAATCCCAACACTTCACTTGCTTATCATCGCCGACAGAAAACAAATAGGGATGACGATGCGATACGACCAAACCCCGAACAGTCCCAATATGACCTTGAGAAAATTTTTATCAACAATTTCTAAGAACTATGAAAAGATCAAACCTGTGAGAGTCAGCTTCAACTCTCCAGAAGCAAAATCCCAGAATTTGATCGTCCTGTCAGCAGAGCCTGAACAAAACCATTCGTTAGTTACATCAAACGCCACGGACCGCACCCATCTAAATTCTCTATAAGAAAACAAGAATTTGAAAAACCATCTCAATTACCCATAGTGCGCAGAAATCACTCTCATCAGTTTCCACGGTGGATGCCACTGAGGTCGATCCTTTTCGACACCTTCCATAGGACCCAAACTCCGCTGTCCCTGTACCAGTTGTTGCAAAGCTCGGTTTCGAACAGCCCTGACACGAGAAGCACCCGCAGAAGGTAGAGCTTTGTTTACTTCCAAAACTGCTGTTTGTCTATCTTCTGGAACTACAAGTGTCGTTTGTGTTGCGTAGTTGATTTTCTCGGTACTTTTGTGCAAACTTTCACCAAAACTGTTAGGCACCTTTTCAGTCAATGACAAATCTTCGTTGCCAACGCCGTTTTCCGACGAATCATCCCGTTTCTCCCTTGATTCTTTTGTTTTGTTCTCAACTGCTTTCGGAACTGTTTTCAAAGTTTCACCACTGTGTTTATGTGAAGCTTCTTCTACGAAGCCTAGAGGAGTTCAAAAGCAAGAAAGACAACAACAAGTTGAGTACTCACTAGCAAAACTATTCGCTAACTTATATTCACTTTCATACTTTATGCGAAGGAGAGTCATTCTTGCCTCGTCTGGTAAGGGCGGATTAACTGAACATACTGCCGACTCCGGTCCATATGTGTTGAGTGTTCTTTTTCTCAACTCATCCAAACTCGTAGAACATTCCATCTGACAAGAACTCTACCACCACTTAGAAAAATCAACAATTCTTTCTACAACATTTGTAATTCTGTAAATGTCTTTCGATAAGAAAAATTTTAGTATTCATTTTTTCACTACTCAAGTTTCGGATGTCAGAAAGATTTTTCTTAGTATTTTCTCATTTGGATATGAGACCTGAGTTGCTGATAACAACAACTATTCAGCTACTACATCCTTTTGTGTCGTATGCATTAAGAGTGCTCAGTCTCATCAACATTTGCAGTTGGATATTGGTTTGGGTTAGAAATGCGCTGGACCTTGCAGTCATATCTTGTGGTTGCTCTCACCGCAACAGTTGCCGCAGGTTTTACAACCATTCTCACTAAATATAAAAGTGTATTTAGTATGTTGAGAGCTAGATGGTTCAGGGACGTCTTTGAAGATTTGCGTTTGCGGCTCCGAGCAAGCGAAGCCGCCGCAATAAGAGAGAGATTGGATTTGCTTGAAGCCAAAATACTATCTTCGGAAACAAGTAACCTTGGTAGACTCTCTGTTCATTCGCCAAGAACACTTGCAGAAGAGAAGCCTACTCCTGAGTGGGAGCTGGTCACAAGAGAAGATTTCGTCACTCTCAGATCGAGAGTTGATAACCTTGCAAAGTCAGTAAACGCTGTAAAATCCCAAGCAAACAAGTCTCTGCAAGTATCTGAAGATATGCTGCGCCAATACCTGGAAAATGCAGTGTCTACGAAAGAGCAATTGACAAGTTTTTCCCAAGGTGCCTCATCGTTATTGGAAATGTTGCAACAGTTGGAGAAGGCTTTTAATTCTCTCTTTTACAAGCTGGACAATCAAGTAAGTTTGTTAGATTCTGATTCGGTTGTTATTTACAGTTTAAAGGATTCCAGTAAAGTTCTGAAAGCAATAGATGCGGAGTTGTCTAATTTGCGTTCCTTTGTAGAAGATGTGAACGAGGAAGTTAAGAGTATGAGATTGGTAGTGAATCAAGCCAATGTTACGTTTTCGAATTCTTCTGTCTTTGGGCGGGAATCAGAAGTTCCCGCAAGTTGGAGGGAACAGGAGAAGAAGGTTGACAGTACAACTTTGAACAAACCGAAGAACACTTTGAGGGAAACTTCAATAGATATTCCACACTTGGAGGCTGAAGGAGGTGAAGAGGATGATGAGGAAGAAGAAAAGGGAAGTTCCCAACCCTCTCCCAACGAGTCGGGTGAGACGAAAAAGAAAAAGAAGAAGAAAAAGAAGAGAGCCAAGACACCCCAACCGACTGACGCTACAAGCTAAAAGATGATAGACAAAAGGTAATATCGTCTTTTATTCGAAAAGTATTTTCGGAATAGTATCGCATTGTACTATTTGACTTTCTATTCATTTGTCGAATAAATACGTATCGAGTAAAGTTGAACAAAGCTCAAATCTCATTGGATTGGTCTGAGTTGCTAATCCATCCACATTCTTTGCATAGATAGTGATCTAAGCCTGGAATGACAATTGGAGCTGAACAAAGTTTACAAGTTCCGTATCGCATATCCTATAAAATTTTCGTGTAATTATAAAAATATAATTTCATATCTACCAACCTCATGAATGGAATCATTATGCTCAAAGAAGTCCTCGATGGCATATTCAGGAACGACAGGTTCCGGTTCCTTCTTCTTCGTTTTCTTCTTGGAGGCTAGGATAAGTCGTTGATATGAAAGCTTCATAAAAGAGAATAACAACTTTTCTTACTTTTTTTCTCAGAAGGTGCAGGTTCAACGTCTTCGGATTCCTTTTCGTCTTCTATTTGAACAGATTGACATGGGTCTTGAGAAGCGTCTTCTTTTTCAATCAGATGATCTTCTGACTGCCAATCAACGTTAGAGTTTGGCTTCTTAATATTGGCTTTCACTAGTTTCGTCGTGGTTGTCGAGCCTTCAGATTTATTTCTTCTTTTACTTGTATGGATAGTTTGTCCGGTCTCAGCATAGACTAAATCTTGCCCTGGACTTTTTGTAGGATTCTTAGATTTATTACGTTGTAGAAATGGACTCCAGTGAAGCCTCGCACGTTGAACCCGACAGGGATACTGTTAATTAGTTTAGTTCCCAATGTAGCAAAACACTTTGTAAAAGTTACCGATGACGTAAAGGATAAATAGCCATAATTATGTGTGACAAGGCAACTACAGTTGAAAGATTTCCTAAACACGTAAACCAAAACAAACGCAAAAGGTCGGGACCAATAACGATAACGCGATGTCAAAATCATTTTACGAATGTTGCATTGCTTTCCAACCAGAATGATGTTTCGTTATTTGCTGCTAAAGAAGACTTGGCTGTTTCGCATCCGAAGCTTTGTTTGTTTCAATTCAACCTTATCAACAACACTGAGAGATAGGTATGTTTTTATCTATTTGTATCCATCTTTCGAAAAGATTCCAAAGCTTATTGCCCAACAGGGAAACAACTAAACAGGAAGGTTTTACGGACACATTTGGTAGGCAACATACTTATCTAAGAGTGTCGGTCACAGAGAAGTGCAACTTTCGTTGTTTGTATTGTATGCCAGAAGAAGGGTATGTTATGTAGGCAAGTTTTTAGGTTGTACGGCGTTGATTATTTGATGTAGAGTTCAACTCAGTCCTTCAGAAAATATTTTGTCTAAAAATGAGGTAAAAAGTTTCCGAAAAAGATGAAATAACTGGTTACTAATAAGTGTATTTAAGATTATCAGATTATTGCAACTTTTTTCTCATTATGGAGTTGATAAGGTTCGCTTTACAGGAGGTGAGCCTTTAGTAAGAAAGGATTTTCTAGATATTGTGCAATCTACAAAGCAACAAACAAATATGTACGTTTATCTTTATCCACTAACTTGTATGGGTTTTCACTTCCCGTCTAGAAGTAGACTTGCGATTACCACCAACGGTATGATTCTGAATAAATATTTGGAATCATTGAAGGAAAGCGGAGTTTCTGGACTCAACATAAGTCTGGACACTTTAATTCCAGTCAAATTTGAGTTCATTACGCGTCGTAGAGTAAGAAATATCTTCAGTTTATCGAACATTCTTATTTGATAACTTGTCTTCAGGGTCACAAGACCGTCTTGGACTCTATTTTCAAAGCTGTCGAACTCGGATTTCCTTCGGTGAAAATCAACTGTGTAGTCATTCGGTAAGAATATCGTTAGAATTCTATATACGTATTGTAATTGTGTTCAGTGGTTTCAATGATGATGAAATATTATCCTTTTGTTATTTAACAAAGGATTGGGTATGCTAGCGTTTTGAAATTTTGCTCTTGTGACTTCGTTCTGATGAAATGTTTAGAACATTACTGTACGTTTTATAGAATATATGCCTTTTGAAGGTAATCGTTGGAATACTGGCAAGTAAGTAAGAGTTTGGCATAATGAATGAGAGAGTGCTTATGTTTGTTTTAGATTTGTTTCCTTTGAAGAAATGAAACAAAAGATTGCTCTTGAGTTTGGAACATTGAAACCTGAACAAAACGGCATTCATGATACCACGAAACATTTTAGAATACCTGGCTTTGTTGGGCGTATAGGTGAGACTCTTATTATTTCATACTAGGGATGATTTGAACTATGTTAGGCTTTATAACTTCCATGAGTGAACATTTCTGCGCTGGTTGTAATCGTTTAAGAATAACTGCAGATGGCAATTTGAGGGTTGCTTTCTATTGTTCTTTGAATTTATATGTATTGAATGAGTGCTTAGGTTTGTTTATTCGGTGACAAGGAAGTTTCGCTTCGTGATTATATGCGACAAGGTGCTTCAGATGATGAATTGGCTGAAATTGTGGCTTTCGCTGTGAAAAGAAAGGACTTTGCTTTGGGTGGTTATGAGGTTACTTGTATTGTTTCCATTTGAATGTATATGTGTACCAACCATTTTTTTTGTTTGATAGGACATGACGGGAATTGCTAGTAATCCTAACAGACCCATGATTCATATTGGCGGTTGAACGAGCACAAATGATTATCCGGATGCCTAACTTGTACACTATTATCTATGTAGTTTTATTTGTTTCCTGTTTGTACTGCAAATCATAAAGTAGAGTTTTGGAAAAGATACGCAAACCTGAAACGCCTCTAACTTCCATATCAAAGAATGGCATAGAAACCAATAGCAAGGCATTGTCCTTGGCTTTGAAAGAGTTTCAACTATGACTCAAATAGAATTCTCTATCCTACCTAACTGTCTCAATCGATCCAAATATTTGGTTTGCACTCTCACCACCTCCTGAAAAGACTCATCTTCGAGAACAGATGAAATGACCTAAATGATTCTTATCATTTCGATAAACAAAAATGAAATGGCATTATACTAACCTGATTAACAAACACACCAAGTACCTTGACTTGAGAAGAAGACAGAGACTGTAGCAAACGCATAGATTCCTGATAAGACAATTCGGTTGGAATAGTAACCACACAAAAAGATGTCAATTTTTCATTGACTAGGATATTCCTCAAGAGAACCTAATGTGATGACATTACAAATCAACTATTCAAAACCCAAACGAGAGAAATTATACCATGCGAGATCGAAAGTTTTCTATTCTGGAAACTGCATCTTGAATAGAAGAATTGACATCTGACCTACGAAATAGGCTGGTCACCATGCCAATAGTACCATCCAAACGTTTCTTTAAAGATAAAACACGTCCCAATAATCTTTCAATAAATTCTGGAAACGCTAACAACCTAAGAGTATGTCCTGTAGGGGCTGTATCGATAATGACTAAATCAAACTGTCTTAAATCTACCAATTCAATTACTTTAGTTAAGGCGACTAACTCGTCTGTTCCCTAGACATTATCCTTGTTCATATCTTTCTATATCGAATATCTTCATCAATACATACTGGGGGAGGATTATCCAATATATCCATAAAATCTCCGAGGCCTAAAGTTCGAACAACTTCACTTCCCCAACTATTCGAATCTTCCATTTGCAAATCCAACAATAACTGTCTAAACTCTTGAATAGATTGTTCAGGATCGATTTCCATTGCATACAAATTATCTAATCTTTCAGTTTAAAGGACAATCTTCTTCCGTTGCAATTCTTCTACCTTGTATGAATGTAGGTGAACCACTGAGTTTGGTTTCTAATGCATCTCCCAAAGAATGTGCAGGATCAGTGGATACAATCAATACTCGACGCTCTTTTTGTAACAGTGACTATTCTTTTCCATAGTATAGAAATTGATGTTCATGCTATACCTTTTGACATTAGAACTGATAAGGAACTACTAATACTTGTCTTTCCTACTCCTCCTTTGCCTCCAACAAATATGTATTGACTAGGAAAAGAGTTCCAATACTCCTTTGCAAAAAATTATAATTATAGACTCACCATCCGTTTTCCACTAAGGATGATGTATCATCATCCTCTCGATTCGAATTCTTCTTTTGAATAAGCCATTCATCAAACACTTTATTTTCTACTTGATGTAGTTCGTCATCTAAATAATTGGAGAGCTGTCGGATTCCTATGCATATTATTATTATTATTTGAAGTTGCTCCTTGAAGAGATAACTGTACCTTTGAATCCTTCAATTTCTGCCCCTAAATAAGGAATTTGTATAATAGGTTTGTCAATCACATTTTCTTTGATACGACTTAGAACACGTTGTTGCCCTCTCATCAAAGATTGCCAATAAGCTGCTTTAGTATCCGCAGAAATCAATTGATTTACAATCAGTCGTTCTAAGTGAAACTGTTGTGTTTTCAAGTAATAAACCAGCCTATTTCATTTAGGAATCATAACCAAGCTTATTATATATTATAGATTGACCAACCTTGTCGATTCCTCCAGAGATAAATTGCTGGCAATAGTTACTACAATGAAATCTGTCCTTGATGTATCCCTAAGTTGATCCTATCGAAGACCTCACATTTTTTTTTCATTACAACAACTAGAAAATCATATTTACATGAAACTGTTGCATTTGTTCTTGAAATTGAGTAATTCGTTTCACTGCATTAGAAATAACATTCTTATTGAAGCTATGTTTATCTCTAACCAAAGAAAAGAGATTGTTAACTCTATTCAAAGCACCATCCAATTTTCCACGAAGAGCCAAAGCCTGAATGGCAAATATTTGTAAGCATGATTATCGCTTGTAAGTTGAAAACATACTTTGGATAAGAATCGACTAAGAAAGTCTGGAAATGCTAACAGTCGAATGGTATGTCCAGTGGGTGCAGTGTCAATAACTAAATAATCATATTTCCGATTGGAAGTCGTTTCAGAAGATACAAATACTTTTGTCAACGCCTATTTCCATATTAAAATATTCGATGAGAACTCATACGAATGTTGTACATACAATAAATTCATCTGCACCGGGAGGAATATTATCTAAAATGTCACGAAACTCTTCAATTCCTAGTCGAGAAGCCCAATCCTGTAACTCTTTATCTACTGTTTGATTGATACTGGTCAGAGAAGAAACTGCATCTCTAAACTCTCCAACTGCAGCAGTGGTATCCACTTCGAGAGCCCACAAATTTTCACAACCAACAACAGGCGAGATTTCACCTTTCTTGAGATCAATATCTAAAGAATCTGCTAGAGAATGTGCAGGGTCACTGCTTACAATCAGAGTTCGATATCCTCGTTCTAAAAGAGTTTGTCTTATTGACTTGAAAGACTGTTCTTCAATATTACCTGCTAAATAAACGCCATAAGCAGCTGCACAAGTAGTCTTTCCTACACCGCCCTTTCCACAAACGAATTTGATACCAGTGGCTTCCTCTCTTTTGGTCACTGCCACTTTAAACTGTCCATAACAGTCATTCAAAGTTTGTGCACTAAAGAAACAGCTTTACCAATTGTTCATCCTTTTCATGAACACAACAGTGATAGCAAGGACTGGAAGACAAGTTGCGTCGAGTTTTCAAAGTTCTTCCATATTGCTTCCAAAATCTTTTCGGTCCAAAAGATATTACACGCAAATGTCTAGAATAAACCGAAAATCTTGCACAAGTTGAGTCGAAAGAGTGCACAAAATAAAGTCTCTTCGAAACTGCAGCTCTGGAACAATCTGAAGACATCAACATTCCAATTTTTATTCGATTCACAAATAGCATATTATAGTGGTTATCCAAAGTTGGTTCTTAAACATAGCAAAACTTGTTTCAACAAATAAGGATGAAGACTATTGATTCCATAACGTTCTCTTAAAACAACTCGAACAGATTCCACTTGCTCGTCAGTCTCTAAAAGTTCCAATTGTTGACATAAATCTACGAAACGCTGTTCTACTGAACCAGTTTCGAGTGAATCAATAGATTCGAAAAATTGACTTGAAATAGGTTTGGCTTCCAACCATGATAACAAGGAATCAATATCATGCATAAGACTAATACATACATCAATAGGAATCCCCATTATGGACTTGTCTTCACTTACGGAAAGAATACAATAGGCTTGCTAGTAAAAACGAAAAATGTTTCCAATAAAATACCAAAATCCTTACATACACGATTCAATAACTGTAACGAAAGAATATTAATGAAATAAGAAGAAGCAGAATGAAAGCTCATTTCAGACAAGTCCATTTCCTTATCACCACAAGATAAAACAATATCGTGAAAAAAGAAACGATCCAAAGCATAAGCCAAAGGACGCCATATCTCCGCACTGACCTATGCATAATATCCAACTCGTATAAACTATCTAATCACTTTGGAAAGTTATAGCTACCTTGGTATCTTGAAGAACAGAAGAAAGCAAGTTGAAATGTGTACGCAAATGAGAAAAAGCACTTGTCAACTCTGGACTCAAATCTTCACTCGACAGTAGTCGTAAAACCCTAAAGACAAAATGATTCGAACCCTACTGAATTCAAACCTACTTACCAGCTCCTTTGGTCTTCTCTAGAGGAATAATGATATATGGCAACGTAAGTCTTTGCATTTTCTCTAAATTGCCGTTCCAATATTCTCTGCACATGAGATACAAAGCTTTTATGTAGCCTAATGAATCAATGTCACATAGCTTACCCAAGATTAGAATAGACTTGAATATTACCTTGAAAAGTGTTCAACTTCATCTTGGATAATTGTTTTTGAGAGCATATCCAGTTCCAAAGCTGCACCATTAGGTCTCTCAGAAAAAGATGGAGCGAGATAAGGAACAAGTTCCAAATAAAAAATATCATTCTCTATCATCACAAGATCAGTTGGAATTCAAAAATAATAATAATATAACTAACTCCAATCTTCTAAATGTTTCTGAATATGATTGGCTGCATTCAAAATAAGGATACAACGATAAAGATGGTCTTCTATTACTTGATACATATCATCCTTACAATAGTCAAAACAAGTCACTTTTCCTTAAAAAACTTACTTGTAAATAACTCAAAAGTTCCATTCTTAATGTTTCCAAAAGTGGTATTTGGGTCAGTCGAACAAACTGCGCTCTCAAAGATAAAGATGGTAATGCCTTTGCTCTTTCACACATGGCAACTAGAGTAGTGAGAATTTCTTCCACAGCTCCAGAATCTCCCTTTACAAGCTTTGTTATTGCTTGTTGAACGGAATCTTGAGAACGAGTCAACTCTGCAGCAGTCCATGTCGCCAAAAAGGCTGGATTCTGATGATGAGCTTCTTCTAGACTACTAGGTGTAGGTTCCAATATGAGACGATCCTGAAGAAACTTTCTCAAAGAATCATCCAACTGGATACTATGGTCAATAAGGTGAAAGAAAATTTCCTGGGAATCGATTGACAACTGTGCATTCGTTGCAAAGCTACCAAGACTTGCAACATCTCTCGCGATCTTCCGTCCAAAAAGATGTAACAAATATCTTGCAAAGACAACTACAGCATCCTCCAATTCTTCATCTCTTCCTTCTCTTGCTCTATCTAGTGCCTTGATAAAATGTTAAGTTTCTCAAAATATTATCTTAGAATAATATCTTACTCACTTCTTGAATCCCTTCTTCTAATACAGGCTGCATTTCATGCCATCTTTCTAATAAAAACGTAGATGCCCATTCTGGTTTGTCTATTCGAGCAGTCTCTCGATTCGACAAAAAGTGATACTCAAAACGACTAACAATATTATGACAAAGTGGAATCAAATACCAGCGAACCCCAAGCTGTTCGATAGTGGACATTCCTGAGTAGTCAGTTATGGAAGATTTATCCACATAATATTGCAACTCGTCTAATTGAACGATCATTTTTTGAATCTTCTTCCAACGTTGCGCCTGTCCGTGGAAACATAACACGTCCTTTTCGAAACCAAGTTGTTCAAGAGTCTGCATAATTCTCCTTTGAAGCATATCACGAACTTGAGCAATCGAGTCTTGCCTCCTTGATGCAACGTCTTGGAGATACTTTCGTACCCGATCTGAGCTCAGTTCATCTAACAATTGCTGTACTTGTTTTTCTTCTGGAAAAGAAACAAACAACAATTCTCGTACATATCTTAAAGCAGCATCGCCATCTTCCTCCTCCAAAGCCTCCACAATCTTGTTATACGTCCGCAAGCTGTCGACTGCTATTTTCAAAGTCTTTTCCTCGCACTTGGATCTCTGCCACTCACTTGCAATATTGGCTGCTTCTCTACAGATCCCCAATAAAGACTCCATTTCAACCTTAAACTTCTTTGCTTCATCACTTAACCGTTGAAATTCAACTCTGAAGTCGTATATTTGTTCTTTCAAAGCAGGAACTGATGACTTCCAATTCTGTTGTTGCTTTTCCTCTTCTTTATTCAAATCCTCCAATTCCTTTGCACACTTTTGACACAGTATGCCTGCCTTTTGAACGTCGTCCTATTCAACACAAAATAGTACATTCCAATCCAATCTAGAGAACAAAGTCATTTGCTTACAACAACAACAAATTCATTATCGAAAAAAGAAGCGAGTCCTTTTGTTTCTAAAAGGCTGCTTATGTTTACTTCCATTTCTTTACGAAAATTTCACACCAAGTCCATTCCATTTTGGTTAAAAAGGAAAGGTCGGAGTGATCGTGTGGTGCTCAGAAGAGCGTTTGTGATGAAGTTTCGAATAGATGTAGACTTGAATGTATCTTGCGAAGATTTTTGGAAATATCGTTCACACTCAAAGTTATTATCTTATCAAGTTGAGCGAGGTGGTTTGGATAGAATAGAAACCATCGAGGAAGGTGTTTTGGAGAGCGGAACACATTTCCGGCGAATGCATATATTTCCCAAAATGGAGTTTCTTGAGCTTTCGAAAACTATTAAACATATTGTTGAACAGAAGTTTACTGGTTTGCACGATTATCAGTGGTGGGAAGAAGACGGAAGTCTTATACAGTGCTTTGAAACTAGACCCTTGGGGTTTTTGGCCCATCATGTACTTACTGAAGGAAAGATGGAGTTGACAAGAATATCTGATACTATTTGTCGTTATAGTTTGACAGGAAGTGTAGATGTTCACTTTTTAGGATTAGGTCCTATTGTAGAAGCAGCAGTGGTTCATAATATGAAGAAATTCTACAAGGGAGGTTTCAGAGACTCTGTCAACGAATTCTTTCAGCGCACTTTTTTGGGGGGTGAGGAGTTTTCAGCTCTTGATTGCAACAATACTATTCAGAGTATGACACCGAAGACAATCAGGAGTTGTGAAGATGTATAAAGATATTCTTTTAGCCTTATTTCTGTATATTCTTATCATGTATATTTGAACGTCACTCAAAGGCCCAGATGGTTTTGTATCTTTTGTTTAAAAATGCAAGCCGGACATGGCTCTGCACCGGTGGATGTTGGAGTAGAATGGTTGAGAGCCAAAGGAGCCTGGAGCTTTTATATTCTATTAATAATAACAGTAAGAGTAATAATAGGAACTATTCTAGACCTGGAGCCCTATCAGTCTTGGTCCACCATTAACATTCTACACGCTACAGTAACCTTTTTTGTGTTTCATTGGATAAAAGGCAGTCCATTTCCAACCAATTGGACCGAAGACTACAACGTAGATAAATATACTTGGTGGGAACAAATCGATAGAAAAAGACAAAATACTCCAAATAGAAAGTTCTTTACCGCTGTGGTGATAGTGCTGTAAGTTGGCTCATAGAGTTGTCCAAGTCTCTTCTGACAAAGTAAACTAGTTATTTACTTGCGCTTGACTCGACACCAAAGGAATATGTTGCAGTACATATTGCAAACTTTGTTGCTTTTATTATCGTGTTTATAGCCAAAATGCCGTGGATGCATAAGGTTCGTATATTTGGGATAAACAAATGAAAGGGGAGAGGACTCAAATACTTGAAACTTTTTCTCACTTTTGTGTCTTTACAGTTTTTGTTGAGAAGAATTGTAAACTTTTATTTCTTTTGCAATTTTCGCTATACTTTGTCCATGTTTATCAACTTTCAAACGTGTGTAGACTCGTGAAAAGTGACTCTTATTACTCAACAATTCTTTCATTGGTTGCAGTTTATGATTGACAAAGCTTGTGGAAGATAATTCATCTAAAACTTTAAGGCTACTAAAACATAAAGGAAACAAATACTGAAAAGTCTTCAACACCAAACTTTTAGTAAAACGACATGAATACTTTCTCATTTTCCATTTCATTTGGCTTTTCATTTTGCTAAAGGAGACAATGCAGAGGTCTTCTTCTTCTCAGTCTAGCCCTCCTATAGGCACTTTTATTCAAGGTGTGGTTAAGGAAATTATTTCTGGAGACACTCTTGTTATCACTGGGAAAGCTTCCCAATCTGGTCCCCCACCTGAAGTAAGACTTTCTTTGTCCTCGCTAACTGCTCCCCGATTCTCGACAAGAGCCAAAAATACAAACCAAGAAAGTGAAGAAGCGGAATCACTGAAAGAGGAAAATAACCCAACTTATGTACAACTAGAGCCATTTGCTTGGGATTCTCGAGAAGCTCTGAGAGAGTTGACTATAGGCAAACCGGTTATCTTTCGCGTCGACTACAAAGCTGACATAGCTGGAGGGAGATTATTTGGTTCCGTTTATTTAACTGATAAAAGATCGGTGAGTCACTTTATGGTATCATCGGGTCTTGTCAAGGTACGCAGACCTCCACCTTCTTCGAACGAAAAAAAGGCACCAGATTTTGACCAACTCGTGAAATTAGAAGATAAAGCAAAAGAAGAGAAAAAAGGATTGCACGGCGAGTTGTCCACTCAACAAGTCATTCTTGTGACTAGGCAGCCTTTTGCAAGCCAAGAACTGCCAAAGGGCACAAAACTATTTGGTTTGGTGGAGCAAGTCTTGAACGGGAGTTTATTTAGAATGCTCGTTCCAGAAAACTTGGAAGAAGCCAAAGTTTCATTTCATTCAGAAAGATGTCGTTATAGATCGATATTAGTTGTCCTTCCTGGTGTTCAAAGTCCAGGTTTCAAGGTGGAATCACATTCAACTGAAACAAAGCTAGTTCCTCAACCTTTTGCGTTAAATGCGCGATTATTTTCTGAACAAAGACTTCTCAACAGAGTTGTAAGATTGGACGTAGTTGGCTTGGATAAGAACGGATCCATTCTTGGAGAAGTTTTCCTCGTATCCGATAGAAAGGAAGGAGAAGATGTTGAGCACTATATTGGAGAAGATCTTCTTCGTGCTGGTCTTGCTCGTACAAACAATTGGGGACTTGAGCTATCTCCTCGTTCTGGTCAACTTATGAAAGCAGAAAAGTGCGCAATAGAACAACGTTTAGGTGTTTGGCAAAACTATGTTCCTTTTGCCAACGCACCAGTTGTGCTCTCAGGATCTTTTAAAGGGAAAGTTGTAGAAGTAATAGCTGGTGATACAATTGCAGTATTACCACAAGGTCAGAAGGACCCAAGAAGAGTCAGTTTTGCTAGTTTACGCTGTCCTAGACTTGGCAAGGGACGCGAATCGGATGCACCACTGTCCTTTGAGTCTAGAGAGTTTCTACGAAAACTTTTGATAGGAAAGACTGTGAATGTTGAGATGGACTACAAACGCAAGATTCAGTCGAGTGGTAATTATGTTAGTTGATGGTTTTCTTCATCATTGATCAAATATGGATAGGAAGTCAGGATTCGGGTAATCTTACCATAGAGTTTGCAACCGTTACATTGAATGGCAAAGATATTGGTGAAATGTTGGTTTCCAATGGGTTCGCGACTGTAATTAGGCATAGGAATGGAGAAGAGCGAGCAAGAAACTATGAACACTATATTGAATTAGAGAAAGATGCAGTTTCAGGAAGGAAAGGAGTTCACGACATGAAGGGAATTGTATCAAGTTTTCGAAGAATTAACGATTTATCATCCAAAGAAGCAACAAGACGAGCCAAAGAAAGTTTTCCCCATTTCCAGGTTGAGTTACTAGCTTTAATGATACTATTTTTCTAAAATTTTATTTAGAGAACAGGTCCATTTCATGGCATTGTGGAATATATTTTATCTGGTTCGCGTTACAAGATTCTGTTACCGAAAGAATCGACTATGATTGCATTCGCACTTGAATATGTTCGTTGTCCACCGTCATCGAAAGCAACGGCAATGAGGAACGATATTGGAGATGCAGCTTTGCATTTTGCTAGAGACAACATTCTTCAACGAGATGTGGAAGTGCGTTTTTCGACTGTTGACCGAGTTGGAACTTTTATTGGAAAAATGAGAGTCTTGGAACGTAGCAGTTCGGATGATTTGGAATGGGAAAGAACCCTTTTAGAACAAGGTCTAGGTTATCTTAACGAAATGATAAGAGATAAGGCTCCTTCTATTCTTAAAGAGAAGGAAAAGATTGCAAAGGAGAATCAGAAAGGCCTCTGGTCAGTCATTTCGGAACAAAATGGTTCCGAAACGAAAAGAGCAGACACTTATATACAATTTTATGGCAAAGTTTCTGAAGTCGGTGGCGGAGGTCGATTGTTTATTCAATCTGAGGAAGCAGACACACAAAATATATTACATGCTGTCGAACAACAGCTTTCGGAACTGGGAATCCATGGCGGAGGTAGAGAAATTCCGTTTTCTGCTTTGAAAGTTGGTGATAAAGTGGCAGCAAAGTATTCTGTCGATAATCGTTGGTATCGGGGAGTCATTCGTGAGAAGGATGCATTAGAAGAAAAGTTGCTTGTCCAGTTCGTTGATTATGGAAATGAGGAATGGATAGCGTATGATGAAATTCGTGGTCTCCCCATTTCATCACAAAATATTCCAACTGCTGCTTATTGTGTGTCACTCAAAGATGTCGTTGTTCCAGAGTTAACGCAAGAATATGGTATAGAGGCAGGAGAGGCGTTGAGAGATTTGGTTTGGAATACTCGAGTTTTGGTTCAAGGAACAAAAAGGATGGATTTTGCAACTAACATACCACAAGTCATCGCAGACGTGTTTGTAGAAAGTGAACAAGAGAAGAGAAATGTAGCGGTAGAATTGCTTCGAAAAGGACTGGCGAGAATATTACGACGCAAAGATGCGACATCTCGAGCAGCGTATGAACGATATGGACAAGAAGAAGAAGTGGCTCGTCGTGCACATCGTTTTCTATGGAGATTTGGAGATGCTTATGCTTCTGATGAGGACATGGAAACGTAAATAAACATACATCAGCTTATAGACAACTATAGTGACTTTCATTTTGTAGTAGTATTATTGTTTCATGCACTTATTCCACCGTAGAAGACAAGGAACCACTTTGCCTTGCTTCCAATTCCAATATCTCCGACGAGTAAACCGAAGGAGAGAAACCTCCATGCCTCATAAATATGGAAGGAGAAGATGAGTAAAAGCTGGGAACATTCTTTGGTGGATTCTTCGAGCCAATAGTTATTTGACTGGTTCCTTTCCTATGACCAGTGAGAAGACGTTTGTTATCATCATACTCACGATACTAACTCGTTGATATGACTAACAACTGGTTCCTTCCCAGTGACTTGTTTCATAGTGACGTTTCTAGGAACATCTGTAACAAGAGGTACTTTCTCCTCCTCTTCAAACCATTCTTCTTCTGATACAGGCAATGTTGGATATTGAGAGTACTGGAAAGTGCCAATGACTAGAAACATAAAACCAATGACTTGCAGAAAACTATATTGTGTCCAAGGCTCTCCAAATTGCCCTTGCGATATGAAATAATATCTAAATGACTACCATCCAATTTCATTCGGTAACTTTGCAACAAGACTTACAATAAAATGTCCACTATCCAAACAATCATTGTTCTCATCGTCTCCAAAAGTGTTCGAAACATAGAGCTACTCAGCTTGGTAACATTCATAGAAAAGTAATTAAAGAACAACATGCAACAGACATCCATCAGCAATATTCCTTGCAATATCCAAGAATGCTCAATCATGATAAAGGAATCCAGTATGTTTTCTAAAGAACCAGAGTCTTGTCCAGGAACCCAATAAGCCAAGGGAAATACGATCAACAACATCATAGCAACACCAAAGAGGCCTTCATAAGTCACCACACGGATGGAGGGCATATTCAAGTCTTGACAAAAATATTCTTCCACAACAACCTTTCTAAAGTACTTAGACACACTCACTTTGTAAAACTCAAACGTTCCTCCAATACCTGAGCTGCTTGAGCACATTGTCCAAAAATCATTAAGATAATTCCCATAACCAGATTGCCTCTCATCGCGATGTCCTTTTCCGATAGAATGTTCGCAAGACCTACCAAGGAAATACCAAGAATGTTCAAGAAGATACTGACATAATGATGGAAAGTGAGTTTTCGTTTCAAGAATAACTTGTTTCTCTATTCAACGCTACAAAATGACAAGCTATCACAAAAGCACTTACCACTGAGAATAGCGCTGTAAACACAAGCATTGCTCCTCTCAGCATTTGATATACTGAGACAGTTGTATAAAGAAGACCGGTGCACATACAAACTGTGGCAATAAGATCAAAAGCTGCTGGAAACCTAAAACCATCCAGTCAACAGAAGAAGAACAAAGCATGAAAGGAAAATACCATATAACAAGAACCGAATGGTGACGACTTTTGGCGTTCTTTTCTACAAGTTCTGACTTTGACTCCAATTTTTGGCGCTGTAACATATCCAATACGAAACAGAAAGACCTGAAAACATAAACAACTGGATCATTTCTTGAACCAATCTACTGACTGCGACATAATTACATTCCATAGAACATCGCAAAGGTCTCAAATAAGGGTTTTCGAAACTCCTTCAACTGACCATCTATTCCTAGGGAAGGAACTCCAAAGATTATCTGCGCTACTCAGATAAAGTCACCGGAAGAGAAAAAGATCCAAACCTTTGCAAGTAAACTAGTAACAGTCCTTAAAAAAGAATAAGAAGCTTTATAGGAAATGTATATTTTGCATACCCAAAGGTTAAGAGACCCAAGACTCCAACAGTCACGCTAGTCATGCTTTGTCAACGGAAATTTCTCAAAAGAATCGGACTCATGTTTGCTCGTTTACTTATTACTGATAGGCTATGGAAATATAGTTTGCAAAACATGAGACGAACTTTGTACAAACCTCAGCATATATACACAGTTGTCGATAGATATTTTCAACTGCAGCCAACTCCAAGCTTCACTTCTTTTGCGAAGCAATTCACCACAGGCAGTTTTACTGCACCAGACAACATTTGTCGTCAGTATACCAACTGCCTTATAGATTGTATCCATAATTTACAAAGAAACCAAGAAAGTTTCCACAATTTTGTTGAGTTGGAAAAGCAACGTCAAGAGGCCTCCAAACAGTTGTTGAGAAGTTTTCAGCAACTTGCCGAGGAGCCCATCCTTATGAAGAGATTCTCGACGGAACTAATACAACTACTCATGAAAGTGTATTCTTCTACAAGCGCCAATCAATACTTTGTCATTTATCTTGCTCAAGATTTGATCGAGATAGCTGCTTCGTTACAAGGTTCAAGTTCTTCGGAAAGTTATCTCAGGGATAACGTCGGATGGTATAGAAATGGTCAATCTGAGGAGAATGAAAAACAATTTCAAAGTTTGGATATGAGAAATTCGATTAACTCGTTGCAGTCTCAGTCAGTATTGCCACAAGTTCTTAGCCATATGTATGAAGTAGAAGGAGCACTGGCGTTTCTTTATGAGATATGGAAGGACGTTTCTTTGCAGATAAAACATATTGGACCTAAAGATCCTTTGTTAGTGAAGCTTTCTTATTTTAAAAGTGTTTTAGAGACTGAAATTGAGAATCAATGCTCACCCCAGTTGGTTGAGATTGTGAGAGTTCTTCCTCGTTCACCAGACCACATCTTGAACTGTTATCTAGAAGAAATGAGTTGGAAGGGAAGTATGAAGCCTTCTTCTGATCGTCAGTTGAGCTTACAAAGATTGGAGAATGGGCATCGGTGTTATGCCTTGATGCATCCAACTGAACCTAGAAAACCTTTGGCTTTCTGTCAGTTGGCTTTTTTGCCTTTTGTGCCAAGTAATATGAATGACATTATGGCATTTGCCAAGGAACCCAAAGAAGAATCTAGTCATAGCCTTCCTGTTGCAGTTATTTATGGCATCAAAGCTATTTCTTCTAGTTTTGGCGAAGGTGTGTATAGAGCCTTTCTAAAGAAACTATTTCAAGAACAACTCCGAGCTATTTATCCTCCAATTAAAGGAATCGTGACTCATTCTCGTTCTCTTATGTTTATTTCATGGTTACAAGATCAGCTGTATATTATGGACCATTTTAGTGCCTTGCCAAATAGACAACGTCAGTTGGTTGTGAAATGGGATTGTTTAGATCGATTGAGACCTGTTCTACAGTTGTGTTCTGGTACTATTCCAAGTTACATTCCACAAACAGAATGGATGAATAATATCACCAGTGAGATACAGCATCACAAGAATGATTTGTTATCCTTGTTTGCATATTTTGTGGTTCGTGGTTGGAAATTCTCGCCTTTTATGGACCCTTCTATATTGTTTCATATACGATGTGGAGCTGAACTTTACCAAATCAATTGGATGGGAGAAAGGACATGGGATGCCTTGAGAAGTTGTGCCGGAATTACTTTTAACTTTTTGTACAATGCAGATGATATGGAATCGAATTTGCAAGCTTATCTGGATAGAGGAGAAGTAGTGGTTTCTGAGCAGGTTATGGAACATTTGAATAGAGGTGTGGTTGTTGAAAAGATTGTAGATGTGGAGAAGTAGCAGAGAGAGACAACGAAGATACTTAGTTTCGAAACAATAACTTGTGACATGGAAAGAGTAGTTCGACGAATATGTTAATTTGGATATTGCAATATTTAGAAAGTAGAACGAATGAATTAAGCATTTTATCCATTTTTTCTTTGTCTAAACTTGGCATCCCTTTTTGGGCGCCACGGTAACTTTATAACTTTTATGTTCATAAACCGGAATGTAACTTTCCCGTGGATGTTCAATTGGTTCAAGACAGCTCCCTCTTTTTGTTTGGAAGAACAAAGGCTGAGTCGGCTTACCAAGGTCAATAGGATTAACTATTGTGTCTTTGTTGAAGACGAACGAAGAGAACTCGATTCCAGGAATGACGTGAAGTCTTACATTTTGATCGGAAAGAATTATCTGGAAAACTTGAAACAACTTGCAGAAGCATACCCTGGTACTCAACGTAAGCAAGTTAAAATCGTCCAGGCGCAACGAGATTTCCAAAGACTTTGTGAAAAAAGGGAATATCTAGTCAATAGTTTGCGAAAGTGGTTATCAGGCGTCTCGACTAGTGGCCCCAAAAAGTTTGGTGAATATAGAAAGGGAAAGAAACAGCTCGTTATGGACAAATTTGGACAGGAATTCGCGAATTGTTTGTTGGAGTTAAACTTATCTATTAGAAAGCCGTTTGTTACAATCTTATTGGCGGATTTCCCTGTTACAACTAGTATTTGGAAGAGAATGCAAAGGAAACGAAATTTGGATGTAAACAATTCTCAATATGCGATTGACACTTGTGAAACAAAAGATGGCAGTATTAGCCATCAAAGTAATTTCGTTGCAAGAAAACAAGAAGTTATGTTGAGTAGCCAAGAAGTAGAGGAACAACCTGATTTATTGAAGTTTAGTGAAGGATTAGCAGATATGCAAACTAGAGAATTTTACGAAGCACTTTTCGAATCCATGAGTTTTCATCCAAAAGGTGTTGTCGCAAGTTATCGTCTGCGAGAAACCTTAGAATGTCTTCTTCAGCCATCTTTTGAAACTCCAGCTTTTATATATTTTGGAAACTCTACGTATGACTGGGAATTGTACAAAGATAGCCTAGAATCCTGTTTGCAGCAGCTTTTGCGTTATGTAGAGCTATTCTACAGACAGTGCTTTCTTGAAGTGGGAATCCTTGAGCATGGTAATCTCCAAAGACTGCTTCCATTCTATCGAAAGAGTTTGGAGATATCAGCTTGTTCAAGTTCTGAGTCATCTCGGGTGGCTATGGAACGTTTTGTACAATGTGGTAGAAGAATTTTTCATCTTTACCACAAACAATTTCCATCTTATCCATTAGCTTTCGCAGATGTGGTTGTCACTTCTAGGATTCCCCATTCAGTGCGAGAAGTGGTAGATTTGCAGTTGGACTGGAATGATGTTATGAAGAATCAGGAGAAAACGTCATTTAATATCGTTGTACTGGAATGTGTACCTTCCTCTGATAAGCACATACGAGCGGGATTTCATCACGAATTATTGTCGCTTCTCTTGTACGATTGTTTGCCTCAAATTTTTGGTAACATTGGTAGGCGAGTCTACTCTTTGAGTCATATTTCTGGCTTTCTTTCATGGCTATGCTTTCAGTATGAAATAGCGTTAGGTCTAAGACCCCAACACCGTTCATTGATTCCTCATGACTCTGTGCAGTTGATCGGCGAAATTATTCGTAGGATTCAAACAAGTGGTTGTAAGGAAAAGGAAATGGACAAGGAAATGTTGGAAAAGGCAAAGAGTACAATGCTATCTCTTTGTGCTCACTATCTTTTGATTGTTCGTAGACGAGATGGCCTACCCGTAGACCCTAACTGCGCTTTTCATATTATGAATGGGGCAGAATTACATCAACTATTATGGGCTGCGGATGAAGGAATGAAAGGTTTGACAGAAAGTGCTCATATCATGTCTATGTTTTGTTATCATCTAGAAAGACGTTTAACCACAGCCTACAAATTTGCATCTACCAGTAAAATTTCTACTAGTAATGAAATTGAAAATTTATTGCAGCTAAAGAGTACGTCAACTGATGATGATAGCAAGGAAAGATGATCAACTTTAGAAATTTTGCACAAGTAAGTTCAGAAAGAAATAGTATCTAAAAAAACGAAACTGCACCAGCTTTTACAACTTCAAGGAAATTATTAGAAGCTGGTAATAACTTCAATGCTGAAATTGACTTCTTTTACATGATGACTGAGTATGCTGACTTTTTATACAGAGATTTCTTATGAATAATCTTCTCGAGCCGTTTGCCAAATGATAGAATGAGATTCCTTGGTAAAAGCATTTCCTTTAAACCTAGGAAGCCGTTTGATTGGCTTTCTAACTGCTCGTATTCAAGAAAGGCTTCTTCAATTCTGTACCAAGTCAGCTCCTTCTCAGTCTCATCTACATAAAGGACAAGGGCAAGAGCGTTTTGGCTTTGAATTTGAAAATAGTCTTGGCGAAGGCTTTCCAAGTCATGCTGCAAATGTGGCAGTGACTGTATACTTGGTGATGAATATTCGTCAGTAATTTCTTTGATAAAGCCTGCAATGTCTCTTTGACGAGATATATTCTCACTTCTCTCTAGATACTGATTCACATCTTTCATAGACTCCTCAAGATTAAGTTTCAAATTTTGTAATGAGTCATTGAATTCCTCGAGTTTGGATTCAATCAAGGGGAGAAAGACCGTATCATTCTTCAGTAAGATTGGAAAGACTTGATACGAAATATCGATGCAATTGACTATTTGTATCACCTCTTCCATCATTTCTTCTAAAATGTTTTGAGCTTTCATCCATGAGTTGACTCCTCTAGAAGGGTCTGTCGCACGAACGATTGGTGAAGTTTGGACAACATGATTATGACTTTGCCTCGTTTTCTTCGGTGTCCATTCTTGTTGGTTTGCCTCCAGTTCGTTTTCCTTGTCAAGACTAGATCTTCGTAAAGAGTCCTTCACGTCATAAAACGTTAAATTTTCATTCTTTTCAACTAAAGAATTGCTCTTTCCGTGTTGTCCTACTTGTTTACGGCTTTCATCAACAGAGTTTACTTTCTTGAGTTTTTTCAACTCGTTCCTAAACAAATTAATTTTCCTTCGAGGTGGATGAGACTCTCTATGAGTTTTTTGCAATTGATCTTGAATATCTATGGTGTTTTGACTATTCTTTGTAGGTTCTGATTTGTTTGAATAGCCTGATTTCTCAAGAAAATCTTGGAAAAACCGAGATGGTGAAGATATGACGTGAACAGGTGCATTTTCTCCAATCTCTCTAGGTCTAGAAGACCGAAATGGTGTTGGAACCGCATTTTTCATCTTCTCACAGCTCTCACTCAATGCGTCGTTTCCTTCACAATCGTACTTCAATTCATCTCGTTCAGTCATAATAGGTCCCTGGAGATTGCTGAGTTTTTCCTCTAGCTGTGAAGCAGACGAAGAACTGGTGTCTGCAATAATGTTATTATCATCTTTCATATGTTCCATCACATCTACTGACTCCTTGTCAATTTTGAAGATTCGTTCTTCGAAATCATTTTCCTTGCGCAACTTTTCCTTCTTCTGAAAAGGTGAGGGCACGTCATTTTCCTTTCTTTCGTTATTTATGTGGAAATTTGATTCATTTGTATTTATTTCTTCGGGCAACTTCTGAGTCTTGCCTGAAGAAGGTCTCGGAAATTGACCGTTTTCTATAGTATCCGCTATGAGGTCTAATACCTTGAAAAACTTCTTCCGGTTATGCTCTGACGAAATTCTCTTTATCGCAACAATATTAAGAAACCCTTCGAAATTGCAAGCTTTCAAAGTCTTCATTACATTTGCAGGACCGTTTGCTTTTCTTGACTTCATTTGCTCTGTCCAAGCTAGTTCAGGACTTAACTTTGGGGCGAGGTACTCAAATATGCTCACCACATAATCTGTGTCCAGGTTTGTGCTATAAACAAATCCAGAAGGTAAACCAGCAACTTTTTGAAGTCTTTGTAAAACTTTTCTTTCATATTCGTCGTCGTCATCTAGTCTATGTTGCTTTGAAGAAAGTTCCATGTATTCTTCAAGCCCGGGTTCACAATTTTCAAATTGAATTTTCAAGAATGTGTTGCGTCGCAAAAGGAGTCATGCGAATAGAAGTAGAGTTATCAGAGAAAGAACTTTTTGTTTCTCTAACAAATCCATAAACAAGCACTCTGTCAAAAAACCACTCTCAAGATACTTGTAACTTAAAGAAACTTGTTTGAAACGTCCTTTACTAAGAAACAACTTGCGGAGTAATCCATTCACCGTTTCTACCAATTTCTAATTTGTTTCAGCCAGCGTACGTCACTTCGTTCTGTAAAAAAACCATATACTTCATTCATGCTTCTCATATGCAAAACAGTACTTTGGTCCAGAGAAGAGACAAAACCAAAAAAAACTGGGATCTTCTCGAAGTTTTGCGTGTCATCCTTGCGCAGGGGCCATGCTAATCTTCTCTGTATTTTTCCAATTTTTGCGTATGTCCCGAAGGACTGTAATATAATGGGCAATTTCGATATTTAAATGAAATGATTCTTGAAAAATTTTTGATGATGGGACAATACATCGGCTGGTTCTCTATTCTTCATATTGTTTTTTTGGGTAATAGAAATGATAAAGCTTCCTTTGTTTTGTCAACGCAGGGAATTGCAATAAAACAGCTTTAGCTGTCTTTTACGAGGTAGAAGAAATTGTTTTTGCTCATTGTGGTATGGGTTCTCAAGCATTCATTGTTTCTTTGTTTGCTTTACGCACAAAGGCACTGGTTTCGAAAAACTCTGCAGTTTATAAAAGTTTTGGCACCAGTTCTTTCTTGACAAAAAAGTGTTCTCGAAACACTTCTTTTTTTAAAGCACCGTATGTTGTTTTCCATCGTTTGACCGTTCGTTTGTCACACGATTCAACCTATAATAACGTTGCAGTAGAGTAAGCCGAAAAGACTTGTTTGTTTCTTGGTTTCACTTGTATTAGTTTGCAAGTACGCGGTCAACCAAACTCGCTCGAGTATCGATTATTTTTTTCGCATAACCAAAAGCGCATTTCTCCCTGGCACGACATACCTCTTTTTCACAATGAGAAGGAGCGGATATTAAACTTTGTGAACGAGATTCCTCGTGGAGAAACTGGCAAGTATGAAATTGCTACGAAGGAACATTTCAATCCCATTCGCCAAGATGTCAAAAACGTAAGCTTCAAGTTCTGTTTAGGATTCGTTGTTCACTCTATACTTTAGGGAGCTTTAAGATTTTACAAATATGGTCCTTCGTTGATAAATTACGGTGCGTTTCCGCAAACTTGGGAGGATCCTAAGGTTGTTGATCCTGAAACTGGTTTTGGTGGCGACAACGACCCGCTGGACGTTCTTGAGATTGGAAGTGAAACTTTGAAGACTGGTGGTGTTTATCAAGTGAAGCCACTCGGAGCTTTGGCTCTGATAGATGGAGGTGAAACGGACTGGAAGATATTTGCAATTCGGACTGATGACAAGGATTCTTCCAGAATTCATGATCTGGGTGATGTAGAAAGAGTATATCCTGGTGTTTTGGACAAAGTCAAAGAATGGTTTAGATTATATAAGACTGCTGAGGGTAAAGGTGAAAACAAGTACGGTTACCAAGGGCAGTATTTGGACAAGGAAAAGGCTTTGAAAGTAATTAGAGAATGTCATGAAGCTTGGAAACAATTGAGAGCCGAGCTATCGTCTCAAAAGGAATTAGTGTAGTTTTATGAGACAATGGAAAATCGTGTTTTGGCTTGGTGGTTATTGGATTGCCCAAAGGCCATATAAGTAGTAGTCTTCAATAAATGGAAAATCGTCTGAATGATTCTTATTCGGTTTCGTTTGAAGACAACTATGTTTTGTATCAGTATTTGGTTTCAGACGAAATGTTTCGAATATTTCATCCAAGCTTTGTCTTCAAAGTGAGAGAATCTCTACAAGTCTTATTGGGTGCACTTCGTTTATATGGAACAGAGTCTCTTGCACTGTCGTTCAACGGTGGAAAAGACGCAACTGTCGTTATGCACCTTTTGAGAGCGGCAGTAGGCGAACATTCTCAAGGAAGGGAAGATTCTTGTTCCCATATCAACGCAGTATATTTTACAGATAGTGATTACTTTGAACAAGTGGAACTTTTTGTGAAAGCCATGCGGGAAAGATATCACCTAAACTTGATCCTTCAAGAAGGTGGATTTTTGCAAGGTTTGAAGATTATTGTAGAAGAAAGAAATATGAAATCTTTTACAATGGGAACAAGAAGAAGTGATCCAGATGGTAAGCACTTGGAGCACTTTACTCCATCATCACAAGGTTGGCCACCGTTTATGAGAGTGAATCCCATTCTTTCTTGGAGTTACGGAGAAGTGTGGAAGTTTCTCTTGTCATTGAAGTTGCCTTACTGCGATTTGTATGACCAGGGATATACTTCAATAGGAAGAGTGAGTGACACTCAACCCAATCCTCTTCTCCGAATAGACAATAGCAGTTTTTGGCCTGCATATTATTTGTCTCATGAAGAAGAAGAAAGAGCTGGTCGAAAGTTGGATAAGAGAAGGCTTTCCTTATCTCGAAGAGGCCCTATAGAAGATGGTCCCAGAACTGCAGCTCTTGTAGTTATTGGGAATGAATTACTGAAAGGAACTACACAAGATATCAATGCGCATAAAGCTTCTATTGTTCTTCGAGGTTAGTTTTCATATCTCTACATAGAGTTTTTGTTGATTGGATTTCAACTGTTTTATCGAACATATATCTAGAAATGGGCATTGACTTGCGTAGAGTTGTGTTTATACCTGATGAAGTTGAAGTAATTGCTTCCGAAATTCGTTCAGCGTTTGCTTCTATGGATATTGTTATTACTTCAGGGGGGATTGGACCAACTCACGATGATGTTACCTTTCAAGCAATGGCTCACGCTTTTTCAGTACCATTAGAAAGATGTGAGGAACTCGAAGAAGTTTTGATTCGCACTTTAGGGAGTTCTTTTTCATCTTCTTGTTACAATATGACAAAAATTCCTCAGGGTGCTGAGTTGTTATATGAAAGAAGCTGTTGTGACTGTGCAGAAGAATCCCAGTTTCCAATCGTAAAGCTTTATAGTGTCTATAATTTACCGGGAATTCCACAATATTTTTTAAAGTCTCTGCAAATTATCAAACCTTATATAGAAACAGGTTATCATTTTTGTGGATTGCGAATTGAGCTGAATGTCGAAGAAATTGCCATTGCCGATATATTGGCAGAATTTGTTCAAAGTCATCCCAACTTGGAAATCGGTAACTATATATAAGCAATCTTCATGAGAATTAGCTTTGATGAATATTTCATAGGTTGTTATCCTATCGTTTCTTATTCCAATGTGAAAACCGTTTTAATCTTAGAAGCACATAACAGAGAAACACTCGAAAAGTGTTTTATAGAACTGAAAGCACAGCTTCCTTCAGATGCTATTTTGGCAGAGAGAGGTTTATGAAAAGGATCCAAATGTTGCTTTAGTATATATATATATATATATAGTGTCTTGAAAGTGTACATTTTTTATTACAAGTATACCTGAAGATCACGACTAGGTGGTCTTCTTCTTCTTATAGGAGCTTGATTGTTTCCGCGTCTTCTACAGGGCTTCAGTAAAATGAAAATAATTAAATAAGAAAGACTACCTGCTGACTCGTAGCAGCTCCGAACAAGTGCACCCCCATCAATGAATTAAGCTGCTGTTCAAAGTCCACACTCTAAGCTCTGAACTGAGTAAAGTGAATGGTCGAAAAGTTAAAACTTGCCTTGGAAGAACTTGTTATCAAACACGATATTTTCTTTCTACCATCAGTCGCTCTTATCAGACAAGCTGATTCTTTGGGTTGTTTCTATAAAAAGGGGCTAGTCATTCTCATTACTATACTCAACGAAACTGAGTTTACTTTGCCTTCCCCAACTCGCTTCATGGTAACCCAAACAGTTCCCTGATCCTTACTAGAGAAAGATCGAAGGTGAATACTGCTATTTTGAATTGAAACCAAGTTTGCCTTACTTTTCCTCATAGAGACTTGAAAGCCTCTTGATGAATCGATCCGGACCCAGCCGAACCATCGTAAACCAATGGAATTATTGATATATTCTACTAATCATTGCCAGTCTTTGAACACGTTCATATCGAGAGTAATATTTGTTAACAAAACATTCATAATTTTACACTTATCCTCTGAAGTTTCCATCGGTTGAGATAACATAAGGAAAAATTGAATCATCAAGGACTGTGTGTGACTTGAATATCAATATTTATTTATTTATCCATTGGGCGCTAAAAGTTGGGAGAAAAATGCGATCTTTGGAGTGAGTGATGAATGCTTTTGGGTTTCCTGATTTGAAGATAAACTTGAAAGCGCAAAATATAAGGAAGCGAGTTTGTAGAAGAAACTGCTTACGTTACAGACTTACTGCTTCCTCAAAAAACACGAATGACTCCTCTTTTTGGGACGGTTGGAAACTAAGCCATTTATTTCGACAGTTTTTAAAGAAAACAGGACATTTCCCTCTTCGTGAACGACAATTGTATGTATTCCCTCAACCTGATAGCGTTTTAAAGTTACCTCCTGCAAAAATAACACCGGAACAGGAGTTTCAAAAGCTATCAGAGGATGTACGTTTCAAACAAAACTTTGAAGCAACAGAACAGTCTTCTCCAACTGACAAACAGCAACAACTCGTATGCATATCCAATGCCAACGCCACTCTATTTGGTCAGGTATGCAAAGAAACTCTTTATATGAGCCAATTAAAGTCTTCACTTTTCAGCTTATTCAGTATTCTCAAGACAAAAGCAAGGTATGGGTACGGCCTCTGCTTCTTATGGAGGAAGAAATAGATACGGTTTTTTTCGAAACACCGGGAACCACGCACAAAAGCTACTATAGCTTAGTAAACTCCCAGGACTTGCTATTACCTGCCCAGCTGGTTGTGCCATACAACAACGGTTTAACAGGTCTGTTGAATATTCTACCTGAAACCGTTGCCGAAAAATTCGACAGCTTTAGTCAAAAAGAAATGGCCTCCCAAGTCTTGTTTCGCTTTCTTCAAAGTTTTCATCACTAAGTTATGGCAATAGAAGACTTCATATCTGTGAGTCATCGGGCTTGTGAAGAAAATTTCAGTGCTTCTCTATACTATACAGTACATAGTCTTTAAGCGAAATAGTTTCCGTATTTTCCTAAAAATACTTTTATACAGTGACTGGTGTAAAGATCTCTTTTGACACTTCTATCCACTTCTTTCTTGCATCTTCAAGATTTTTGTCCTTACAAACACTTGCTATTTTCTGAACAAGATAATAATCTTCCATGGAATAACTAGACTTTGCGAGCAAACGCTCACGCAACACAAATGAAGCAAAATCAACTTCACCACTGTTTAATGCATCCAGTATCAGTATCTTCGCGTCGTGCTTATCTAAAATGTTTCTTTCTACCATCAGATCAACAAATGGTTCCGGATGCTTAAGGAAACCTAAAGCCAACAAGCGTTCTTCCAAAATTGAAATATGTATTGTAGAGCTGGATACAGCAGATGGTTTCGCAACTCTCACCGCCCCACGGAATAGAGATAGAAAACAACTAGGTCGGTCATAACCAAAGCGTACTATTTCTCGAAACAGTTCCAACGCTGCGCTGAATTTGTCTCGTTCTAAACTCAGTTCGAAAGCTCTTCGTAAATTTCCTTCTCTACTAAAATGCAGCGTTTCACACAAGAAAGCAATAGAAAACGGATTGGTCGAAGTTTTAAAAAGTAAATGACCAGGAATAGCCTTGGAATTTTTCTCGGAGAATACAACCTGCAATGATAAATAATGACCAAAGGAGCAGATTTGTCCTCTTTGAGCTAAACCAATCGTCAGGTTTTCTAAAAGCTCTCTGTTTTCTAGTTCCGGAAAATGTTCACGAAAGATTTCCAAGGCTGCATAGGCGCAATGATACCCCTTACTCTTTGCCAGTTGTTGAACAAGAATCAGTGCCAACTTTCCTGCTATTGACTTGTCTCGATGTATGTATTCTTCACATATCTGCAATGCTCCTTCCATATCAGAATGTTTCAAAGACTGGCGTAACGAATATTGTATGGCAGTCTTCATTCCTGTCACCTTTCGAACGCGTGGTGACGACTTTTCGTTTTCTGCCAACTCATTCGTACTACAAGAAATTCTTGAAAAGGAGTCCAAGGCAGAAACATTTTCATTTTTTAGCTTTTCTAGAAACCTTTGGTACACTTCATTTTGCCCTGCCTCTGCAGCAGCTGCTAAGATCTCTTCTAATTGTTGCTCATCAAGAGGAGCCAACTTTTGAACAACTAATTTGATAGCACTCCCAGGTCGTCCGGCTTTCAAATGGGAGAGAATCATCCAATGAAGTATGACACGTGAAAACCTCTTAGTGACACCAATCCTATCCAACAACCCAAAAAACATACAAATGCTCTCATACTCATTGTTTCTTTCAAAAATACTAAACATATCATTAATGCACTGAAGATCGAGGCTTTCAACAACATCCTTGTTTCCCGGTGCAGCAAGTATACACAAGGCTCTCCAAGCTCCATTCAAATCTTGCTGAGAAACAAGTTGTTGAACTCTCTTCAACAGATACGGAACTACACTGCGTTCTCTCATTCTTCTAAAACGTTCTGTACTAGTGAGTTCCAGTTTCTGCTCTTTCTGGACCGTGTTCAAATCATCTTTTTCATTTTGCATGGACTGTAAGCTTTCGGCGCCCCTTAACCATCTCACTTTCGTTACTGTCCCAGAATTCACAACGAAGCCTCCGCCATTATTCGTTTCTGAAATATTTGAAAAGCTTCTTCTACAAAGTGTCCACCAAAACTGACAATGCCGTCGAGTAAGGAATCGAGAAACCAGCATCCCATTCCAGAATAGAAAGTATCGTCGATCTACTTCATAACCCATGTGTATATACACCAACTCTACGACTCTTTAGATTTGTATCATAATAAAGAGGAATTTGTAATGGAGTTTTTTCCAAGTTCCTTAAAATACATTTATTGGACTTTGAACTACTTGGTTCATTCTACAGTTTCTTGTTGGTGAGAGACTGCACAAGATGGCTCATTTTGTGAGAATAGTGTGTGAAACTTATTCGTTATTTTTCCACATTCAATACATTCTGGAGACTTGCAAAGCATACATTTCTCGAGAGTTGAGATACCACCACATACTCTTAAGAATGAATCAAGCCATTCAGCAGTTTGTTTAAAACCAAAAAGTTAGAAAACGAGAATATTCAGATAATCACAGGACTTGCACATTCAGCTGTCCTTATACCTTGTGAAGAAGCATCCATAGCGTATGCGTTCATGCGAGGTTGGAAAAGTTTTCCCTATCGAAAAACGCACTCAGTCTACAAGTCTGAACATCACTGACGTAGTAAATAGAACCTTGAGGGTGCTGGTTGTGGAAGTGAACCATTATCTTGATGGCCTTCATTACAGTGGCCCATGGCTTCAGCCTAGCTCAGTCATGCGCAATTACTGATCCGTTTCAGTTTTGAGAACGACTCAATCTTTTGAATAATATTAATCTCGTATCAAAACAAGTTGAGGGTCCAATTGGAGGCCATAGATTCGACAACTTCCTCAAAGAGAAAAGCCTTTTGCAACAACGTTGAGTTCACAGCTCAACACGACACTGAAATCATAACGGAACGTACCTCTGCCCAACCAGGTTGAAGTCTAGTATGGTACATTTATGCTAAAGAAACTGATTCTGGTAATCATTTGCCAGTTTGTTTGCAACTACACGTTTTCAAAAGCATAAGAAGCCAATCATGACTGATTCTCACGATTCCCGCCCTTCCCCTTTCCATTATCTGCCGCCCAAATTTTCGTTCTTTTTGTTGTTGAAAACCGGTGATGAAAGCAAACCCTTAAGAGAAGCTAGTGAAAGATATGGAAGCAACCATTTCACAAGTTAACTCTTATACAAGTCGAAATAACATAGAAAGCCAAGTTGGTTTCGTTTCGGAGCCAAACGACATAGTAGAATATGCTTTAGCCTTGTTGGACCACAACGGAGTTTCTTTAACTGACCCAAGAGTTTCAAAACTGTTAGGGTTGGCCAACCAGTTAGACGACAGTGGGTTACATGAAAACTTGACTAGTTTGGAGACTGGAGAAGACATGAGCGGCGTATATAACGTAGACTCTTGTTCGGAACCACTGTTGTCAAGCTCGCAGACGACCACTACTGACCCGGAGCGTATGGATGGACGACAACTGCAGAAGTTGCGTGCACAAATACAGACTTATAGACTATTGCGCCAAAACAAACCAATTTCAACCTCGCTTCTTTTATTGTCTGCTGGTGAGTTTGAGAAACGAAACTATGAGCAAGCGGAGAACCAACTCTCTCAAGAGACGGAATCAGCGGACGGCATTTCTGCAGTTTCGCGTTCGAAAGCCGTACTTTCCAGTGCAAGTACAGCAGCCAAACTATTTTCAAATCATGAAGATTCAAGTACTAGTTGGGAGGGAGAATATGAAGAACATACGAGCTACTCGAATTTAATGGAAAAACGCGAAAGGCTTCTGGAGAATAGAATAGAACGTAGGCTGAAGTTACTTAAACTTTTGCCAACTGACCTACCCCCACATGTTCGTATCAGGGCAACAATAGAAGAAAAAGAGTTAAAACTGCACAAGTTACAGGAAAATGTCAGAAAACAGGTTCGAAAAGAAATGGAAAGATTACTTTCAGGTCCTTTCAACAGTTCGGTATTAAGCACATTACGAAGAGAAGCGCAAAGAGGAGATCATTATAATATGGTGAGTAATGTAGCAGCAGGGACATATATGAACGGCTTGCCAAGTAACATGAGACGATCTGTTTCTCGTGTTGAAAGACGTCACAAACAGGAACTGGAAGAAAGGAGGAGAGCGAGACATCGACAATATTTGTCATCTTTGATGGAACATGTTCGAAACTTTCGTGACTTTCATAATATTGTTTCCAATATTCAACATCGAATGGTACGTGAAGTAGAAAAATACCATAAAGAAAGGGCAAGAGAAGAAGAGAGAAGACAGAAGAAAGCACAACAGGAAAGATTGAAAGCTTTGAAGGAGAATGATGAGGAAGCTTACTTCAAGTTACTTCAGAATACCAAGAACACACGTTTGATGCAATTATTGAGACAAACGGATATTTATTTGTCACAAATTGGTGCGCAGGTTCGTCGTCAAAAAGAACTTGCAGAGTCGGAAGAACCCTTAAAGGCTCGAGTGAAAGAACGGAAACACGATTCGGCCCAAGCAGCTGCAGCTCAGGCTCTTGAAGAGGCGGAGAATACTTTGAGAGAAGGTGGCTCTGCAGCAGATACTTTAGAGGATATGAGAAGAAGACGAGATGAATATTATACCATTACACATTCGATTACAGAAGAAATAACTGAGCAACCGAATACCTTAGTTGGTGGTACACTCAAACCTTATCAACTTGAAGGATTGCAGTGGCTTATTTCATTGTTTAATAATAACCTGAATGGTATTCTTGCAGATGAAATGGGTCTGGGAAAGACTATTCAAACAATTGCTTGTTTGTGTTATTTGATGGAGAAGAAGAACATCAACGGTCCATTCTTAATTGTTGTACCTTTGTCAACGATGAGTAACTGGATTCGAGAATTTGATCAGTGGGCACCTCATATCGTTAAAGTTATCTATAGAGGTGACCCGACCACTCGAAGACAAATACAACAGCACGAAATGGTGGCGGGTACCTTCAATGTTCTGTTAACTACATATGAATATGTCATTCGAGATAAGAGTGCATTGAGCAGAGTCAAGTGGCGTTATATAATCATAGATGAAGGTCATCGAATGAAGAATGCACATTGTAAACTTGCGATGACATTAGGCGTAAAGTATCATTCGAGAAATCGTCTTTTGTTGACAGGGACTCCTCTCCAGAATAACTTGCATGAATTGTGGGCGCTTCTGAATTTTCTGCTTCCTAATATATTTTCGTCTTCAGACAATTTTGAAGCATGGTTCAATGCCCCGTTTCAGTCAAGTGCCTTGGGAGAAACTGCAGAACTGGATGAAGAAGAAACGATGTTAATCATCAATCGATTGCACCAAGTTCTAAGACCATTTTTACTGAGAAGAATGAAGAGTGATGTGGAATCTCAACTGCCGGAGAAGACAGAGCATGTGATCAATTGTGAACTTTCAGCTTGGCAGAAAGTCCTGTATCGCCAGATCTCTTCAAAGGGTGGGATCGCAATTCGAGAAGGCTCCGCAGCTGCCACTTTCAACAACCTGATTATGCAGATGAGAAAAGTTTGCAACCATCCTTTTTTGTTTTACTACGACGAAGATATTGATCAACTTCCTCGAGAATATGTCATTCGTGCCAGTGGCAAATTTCTGTTCTTAAGTAGGGTTTTACCCAAATTGAGAGCTTCTGGACATCGGGTGCTCATATTCACTCAAATGCGTAAAGTTCTGGACTTTCTTCAATCTCTACTGGAGTTTCTTGGTATCAAGTTTCTCAGGTTGGATGGGACAACAAAGTCAGACGAAAGAGTAGATTTGTTAGAGGCATTTAATGATCCTGATTCTGAATACTTTGCTTTTCTTCTTAGCACAAGGGCTGGAGGTTTAGGACTTAACCTTCAAAGTGCCGACACTGTCATTATTTTTGATTCTGATTGGAATCCTATGATGGATATGCAGGCTCAAGATAGAGCACACCGTATTGGTCAAACTAGAGAAGTTAAAGTATTTCGACTGGTTTGTAGTGGAACTGTGGAGGAGAAGATTTTAGAGCAGGCTCAGAAGAAATTGAACATGGATGCGCAAGTCATTCAAGCTGGTCAATTTAATAATCGAGCTTCAGACTTGGACCGACGACGTATGTTGGAAGAAATTCTAAGACGTCAGCAAGATGATTCTTCGCGTGACCAAGCTCAAGACGATGAAGACACCAATAGGATGCTTGCTCGAAGTGATGAAGAGTTTGAATTATTTTGTCGCATTGATAAGGAACGCAACAAGTCCCATCCAATTGAACTACTAGAAGATGAAAGCGAACTTCCTCAGTGGATATTGAATCCTAGAGAAGATGACAATAATGTTGGTTATACGGAAGCGAAATTAGATGGACGCATTGGAAGATGGAGAAGAGCCCGAGAGGAAGTAATGTATAGTGACAATTTGACGGAACGTGAGTGGGATCGCATTGTGGAAGAAGGTGGTGATATAGACGAAGCTCTACGGAAGAAGAAGGTTGAATTGGAAAAGCGTCGCAAGTTGGGCAAGCGTGGACGTGTTTCATGGCGAGACAAAGAAGAAGATGCTTCAATGGATGACTTGAGTGATTCAGATAGTAAGGCCCAAAAGAAACATCGTCGTTTATTAGTCAAGACTGTGGAGGAGGAGGAAGAAGAAGAAGAAGAAGGAGAAACGGATGACGATGGATCGGATGTTTCAGAGGAACGTGAAGATAGCGAGTTTCGTTCAGGTACGAATGGTTACGACAACTCTGAATATGATGAAGCTACAGATGATGCTATAAATGGTACAGACTCTGAAGTCTATGGTCGCCATTCCAGACCTTTGAGCACATCAGCTTCAGTAGATGATACACAAGAAAGTTTCTCTACCAAAGACTGGACTAGTGATAATAATAGTAGTGAGAATGAAGACGATAATGAAATGTTCAACCGAGTTCCGAAGCGTTTAGAGTTTTGAGTTGTTTTGATCACGTTGGACAACTTGAGCAGTTACAATTCAAAAAGGTCCTAACAAACATGTGAATGGAATAAAAGGTCATTGGCAGAATATAATGTGCTCATTAGAAAACAGCTATGAAGCGATATCAGATATGTTGTATTGGAGCAGGTTATGTGGGAGGTCCTACAATGTCTATGATAGCTTACCAATGTCCTCATATTGATGTTACGGTAAAAGAACCAAGTAACTTTGAACTTGTCTCACTAGGAACAGGTTGTCGATATTTCTCAAGCAAGAATCGACTCCTGGAACTCACCTTCAGGGGACTTGCCGATTTATGAACCAGGGTTGCGTGAACTTGTTTTGGTAGGTTCAGTGCCACCTTATTATGTCAACGTTCCACTGAATTCCATCTTAGAGTGTTCGTGATAGAAACCTCTTCTTTTCGATGGAACTGGACGAAGCCATTGAAAACGCAGATATGATATTTGTAGCCGTCAACACACCCACCAAAATGGTAACTTTGGAATATATTGTTGGAGTCTCAAGTTGCTAATAACGACTCTTATGAAGAGCGGATTGGGAGCAGGTCGTGCAGCCGATTTGACTCGTTGGGAATTATCTGCAAGAAGAATAGCTGCGGTAGCAACGACTCCTAAAATAGTGGTGGAGAAAAGTACCGTTCCTATTCGCACTGCGGAAGCAATCGCTAGTGTTTTGACCGCTTCGGGAAGGACTCATTTCTCAATTTTGAGCAATCCAGAGTTCTTGGCTGAAGGTTTGGAACAAGCTTTGAAGTACCTTCTTTGCGTTCATTTTTGTAAAGGAACGGCGATACAAGACTTGCAGAATCCTGATCGAGTTTTGATTGGTACCAATACAGAGGACCCTTGTAGTGTGGAAGCTATGAATGTACTGGTGGATATTTATAGTCACTGGGTTTGTTTATCTTTGAGAGTTTCTTGGAATAGATATATATAGAGTCTTATCTAGGTCCCTCGTAACCGAATTCTTACCACCAATGTGTGGAGTTCTGAACTGAGCAAGTTGGTAGCTAATTCTTGTTTAGCCCAACGTGTGTCAACTATCAATGCAGTGAGTGAAATTTGTGAAGCTACTGGAGCAGACATTGATGAGGTATCAACCTTTTGTAAGTGGAAACCAGTGTGACCTATCGAATTTTTAAAGGTTGCGAATGCTGTGGGTTTGGACAAGAGAATCGGTGTAAAGTTTCTCAAAGCTTCCATTGGATTTGGTGGCAGTTGTTTTCAAAAAGATATTCTTAGCCTTGTCTATTTATGTGAGAGTTTGGGTTTAGATGAGGTTGCCGAATATTTTTATTGGATAGTGAAGTTGAATGATCATCAAAAGGAACGTTTTGTTTTTCGTATTATTCATGGCTTGTTTAATACAGTTACTGGAAAACGTATCACGATATTGGGGTTGGTGACTCTTTAAGAATTGTATTCGGTTCCTCAATCCTGCATAGGTTTGCATTTAAAAAAGACACTGGAGATACTAGAGAGTCATCAGCTATCGAAGTTTGCCGTCGTTTATTGCATGAAAACGCAATCTTATCCATTTATGATCCAAAAGTACAGTCATCGCAGGTAAAAAAGAGCAATCAAAGGAATGAAATTCAAAAGGTTGTGTAGATCCTATCGGACCTTGGCCATTGTACTCGATTGGATCCTTTGGAATTGAACCAGCATGTAAGTATTTATGCTGATCCATATGAAGCTTGTAACCAAAGTCATGCTTTGGTGGTTTGTACCGAATGGGATCTTTTTAAAGTATGTCGAGCCAGTCTTCATTTGCATAGTTAGAAAATGACATGTGTGCAAAGGAATTAGACTTTGAAAGAATATATTGCCAAATGGAGAAACCGGCGTTTGCTTTTGATGGTAGAAACATATTACCGCATGAAAGAATGAAAAGTCTGGGTTTCGTAGTTTATGGCATTGGAAAGCCTTTAGATAAACGACTCAATTTAGTATAAGAATAGAAACAAACATGAAAGGCTACATTTTCAAAGTTTCATTCATACAAACATCATAGTTGCTTATATTCACTACGCATTCATTACCAAAATTTTCGCAACATTAATATAAAAGAAGAGTTGTAAACTCGTTCCATCCAACAAGATACAAAACACCATTTCTGAGATTGCATCATACGACTTGAAACTGTGCCACCACTTCTCTTTGATAAAAAAGGAAACGCTATCTGTGCCGTATTTGCAATATGTGGACCGATTCCTGCAGTTATCGTTCCAGGAACTGCAGTATTCTTTACATCATGGAAGCCTCTTAAAAAAGCAATCATAGCCAATAATAGAGTAGATAGTGACAGCACCAAAAGACAGGCAATGATAACTTCTGGGTGAAGAAAGACGGCTGCCAAGTTTCCAAAATTTCTCATTGTTCTTCGGACTCTTCTTCCAGTAAAAGGACGACGTCTAAGAGCCTTTTGAACGGAAGCATCCAAGCTCAAGTCACTAGCTCGTTCCTCATGCATCCGTTTGGACAATTCAGCGTGAAGAGGAAAGGCATCCTCGATGATCGACGTAAGGAGAGAATTAAGGGCAAACTCGTACGGTTCCAATCCCTAATCGAGAAAAAAGTTAACAAACAGACCGGACATAAACAGGAAACTTACTAGCTCTGAACGACAAACCGGACAGCTATTCATATTCAAAGGTCCATATACAGCTTGTGATATACAAGAGCGACAAAACGTGTGTGAACACCTTAGGGTTATTGGTTCATAAAATACATATAAACATATTGGGCAGGTAAAATTCTCCAATCTCAACGAACCCGGAAGAAGAGGTTGAACACAAGAGTTTCCAAACTTGGGCCTTTGAAAAGAAGAATAGCTTTCTTTGGCCCACTTTCTTTGTGCACCGACAAGATGTGGCGTTGTTGTATGGGGAGAAATTCTTTCCTTGCTGGCCAACTCTTCCAAACTATTCACAAAAGGAACGTGACTACTCACTATCTGGGGTGTTTTATACAACTCTTCCTTATGTTCATTATATTGATAACGGGTAACTGGTTCATAATCTCTATTTCCAGAAACAAGTCCTTCTTTGAGACTCCATTTCCTCTGTAAGCCGTCCCAATCTCCTGCACAAGACACAGGTTCTCTTGAAGAAGAGTTTATCATTTGTACATCACAAGACATAGTCCTACTTCTACTTTTTGGTTGTTGACCACGCTTTTCAAGTGAAGCAAGGGAAGAAATGGCACTATGTCTTCCTTGTGTGGTTTCAGTCATTTCTCACAACAAATCAACAAACCACATTGAGGATCCTGTTGTCTAATATCGCACCCAACTTGAAAATCATTGAATATTTTATAGTGATTTTACGGCGTTGGCTCATGTAAAGAGATACTCGTGGTCTATATTCTGCCAAGGAACCCTTTATTATGCAGTACAAGAAGGAAGAAGATTCTTTTCTAGAGTTTGAGAATCTGTCTTCAACTTCTGCCTTTGAAGAAAGAGAATTACCTATAGATAAGACAGACTACAGCGCACTTATTCTCGTTCAGGAACTTGGGAAGGACCTCATTCCTTCTTCCAAATATATATCTCGCTTGGAACTTGTTACGGAGTTACAAAAATATGGAGATAATGCAACTGGAGGTTCATTGTTTAACTTGAGAGACTTGAGAAAGGTGGACCCCGCCTTTCAACCCAATTTTTGTTTATATGTTGTTGATAGTATTTTATTGGTCAATCTGAATCAGATTGCCGCCATTATATTACCAGCAAAAGTAATTTTCCTGGACCCCGAATCTTCTCCAGCTAAGAGAGCTTGCAATAACGTCGTTCAACTTTTGCAAAATGAAGAAGAAAGACTTGCCTTTCCCTTTGCCGTTTTGGAGGGCGTCATTCTTACCGCTTGTTTATCGGTCGAGCGTGAAATAGCTTTATTAGAACCTCGAGTAATGGATGCATTGAGCCAAGTATCCAAATATTCCAATTATTCGAGACTTGCAGAACTTCGTTTATTTCGACAGAAACTTCTGAGTTTGAACTCCATTGCTGACAGAATGGACATTTTGCTCGAAGAATTTTTTGATTCCGATTTTGTGGAAGAGACATTGTTTGTAGAGAAGAATGGCCTTGTGAAAAGAGAGATTGGCCAACTTTCTAGTTTGGATGACCTTAAATGTGTTTTTGAGCCCTATCTTCAGGTAATGAAACAGTCTCTGTTCATAATGGATGACTGAATATAGAGGTTATAGAGTTTGGATTTGCAAAAGAGTATTTGTGGCAGTTTTTTGAAAGCACTACAAAATGTGGAGCGTACTTTAATGCTTGGGTTTGACTTTATACGTAATAAGCTTTTTACTTTGGATTTGCTTGGAACTATTTTGATTCTCAGTTTTACATTGATCAATATGGTTGGTGCAAGGACTGTTTGTACAAATGGAAGCTAAGCATGGTTTCTCAGGTTGTGGGGTTTTTTGGTTTCAACTTGACACTTCCTATTTACAATTTATCAGACGGTAGTCAATATTACTTTTATGCGATAGTGGGTGGTTTGACAGTCTTCATGTTGGTGAGTATTATTGTAACCATTTTGTGGATGAAAAAGAAGGAATTTCTTGTATTTCATGAAAACATTCATCGCGAAGTTGGTTCGAACTTGCAGTTGGATGACTCTACTTGATAATAAGCAAGTTGTACAAGGAGAGAGAGGAATACTGGGGGGTTTTCCACTGATATAAACAAATCATTTTGGGTGCTGCCAAATAACACTACATTTTTATATATCTGCACGAGATAAACACAAAAGGCGTCAAGCAACATAACGATAACTACGTTGGTTATTGTCTCGTTCTAAAAATTCACGTTCGATCAAACTTTCGATTCGTCGCTTAATTTCTGCTGGTTCTGGAACAAAATGAGTTTGCAACTGGCTGATTACTTCCGATACCAAATTGTTATGATCCAAATATCTTCTCGCCTTCATAATACGAACAATGGCAGCTTCAATTTGGGGCTTCCGATCGTCATCCACTCGACCTTGCGTTTCTCTTTTCTCTTCTTCCGTTTCTTTTTCTGCCATGATGTTGGAAACTTTGATGCGAACCAATTTGCATGTAAACTTGGAATGAAATGAAAACATATCGGTATCCAATACTTCCTTTCCTTTAGGCTCCTTACAAAGGATGCGATATTTGCCACATGCCAAACTTTTCAAACAACGAATCAACTCACTTTGTGGTAAGCCCGTCTCTTCTTGAATTTGACGAAAACTCAACTCATCATTGTGATTGAATAACAATAAGATAATGGCTTGGTGAGTGGAGACCATAAGTTCATGGCGTCTCGATGGAAAATACGCACGTAATTCTACGTTTCCTAAACTAGTTTGCCACGAAAGCAACCGGCCACTATGTCTAGCAAAATATACTTTCTCAAAAGCCTATATACAAAAAATGTTTTCAAATCTGCAAAAAGAACGAAACCTACACCACTCACTTGACAACAACGCTGCATCTCCAAAGGCAGTCGCGCAGAAGGTTGATTCCGAATTGGCCAACAACCGGTAGTTAAAACATTCACTTGAAACTCAATGCCATTCAAACTCAATTGGAGATCCTCCATAGCGGAACGAAAAGCTTCCACTTCTTCAGCACTCGTCCGGATATCAGTAAACATGACTTCCAATTTGGAAGTAAACTGATAACCACATTCACTCTTTAGCTTCTCGATAAATATTCTTTCTATATCTTCGGAAAAATTCCTTCCTGATAACAGGCGTTTGGCAAGATGCTGTTTGTAATATCTCTCAAACAAATCCTTCTCTCTTACGGCACGAAACAATAAAATTACTTGTTCAAAGCAGCTTTCCAATTCTGCTTCTGAGGCATTTCTAAAGTCAGTTCGTATGCGATGATCCAAATAAAGAGAAAGATACTCTGAAGTTCTTATAAACTGATTAAGAAACCACTCAAATGAGTCATTCACCGTTTGAAGCAATTTTTTATCGACGCAAGTTTCTAAACTCCACGTATCAACTTGGGAACTCCATGTGGTACAAGCTGCTTGTCTGCTACCAAAGGCATGACAAACGATGTTCATATACTTTTGACGAAGACGAATGACTGCTTCCACCCAACGAATGGGATCATTTCTGTTATCAACATCGTTTAAAATAATATTGCCTTGAGTACGAATTTCCTTCTTCAATCGCGACCTCAACAGTTCATCTCCTCCTTGAACTTGATGAAATAGATTGTACATAGTGGCGAGGTCCTGTATACAATCATTTCGAACCAAATGTATGAAACCAGAATTTTCCATATCCAGGATGGTTTCCATATGCCTAGTAACAAGTTCATCTTGTACCACTTTTATCAACTCTGAGGGTGAGTTTATGACAAGATAGTTCTGGATTCTATCCTGTTCTTCCACAAGTCTTTGCTCCACTCGTTTCAGATAAACAGGACAACTACAAATAGACAACTGCAATTGAGCTTCTCCATAATAAAAGTCAGCAGTTTCTTTCAACAGACGTCTTTCAAAGTCACAAAAGATTTCTTCCCCTTCCTGTTCACCATTCAAGTCTCTCAACATGATTATCAGCGAAGCCATGAGTTGTCTATTGACTTCTTCTCCTTTCCTCTCCAACTGAATGTGTCCCAATATGCCATTCACAAGTCTCTCATAGATAAGTGGTGACTTTATGAATACTTCTCGAAAGAGCGCCATTCCCAAATCATACACAGGCGTCTTTCTCTTTGCGGCAACATAGGTTCTATCCATATACATTAGAATATCTCGAATATGAACCATGGACACTTTGTGCCATTCCCATTCCTGTTTGACTCTTTCAAGAAAACTACTTTCTGCGTGTGCCGCAACTTGCTTCACTACTTGGTCCAGTAACTCTGTTAAACACTCCTCTAAACCATTGTACAGCATATCTCCGTGTTTATGAAGAACCAAGTTGTAAGCATTTCTGTAAAGTTCTTCATAAGACAATACACCTGTATTATGTTTACAAATTTCCTTGATGGCTTCCTTGAGTGAGTCCCATGTCCTTTCGGCATATTTTGGGTCTGCTTGTACGCTATGTTTGAAAGGAAGTATAAGAACACGTGAACCCAGTCTCCTCGACATGTATTCTTTCTATTTCACAACTCAAGCCATCATCGACCCATTCCTATCCTATTTGGAACAAAAATAGAAGAAGAATACGAATGAAAAGAAAATTCTTCTCCTCATGGAGAGTACTTGTGATTTATGTGGATGTAAAAGTATCAAAAATAATAATATACGAACTCCATACTTGTAACAAACTGATGAATTGTTTGAGAATACAAATAGGAAGAGATACATAAAATACGATGTGAACCAACTAGAGCACCATCACAATCATATACAATGAGTAGGCGAGTCAGCTATCTTACCTTGCTCCAATCACTACTTGACGACAAGAAATGGAGCAAATAAAGACACAAGAAACACAATTCATTCAGTAAACAAGCCAAAGTCAGTACAGGTCTCCAATAATAAATTTTAAGTAAAGTGAAGCGACCAGCTTGTTTATGACTTGTCGTTCCACTCGCCAACCCACTTTGACTTTTGAGTTACATGAAAATAGCTTTTTCCTACTTACGCAATCATCTGTAACCAGTGACTAAAACCATCCAATACGATACAAAATAGAAATATCAACACATATTGCTTATACAAGTGAGATAATAAAGTCAACAAAGCAGCTGTGGCACAACGATCCGTTAGCATGTCCAACAAAGCACCCAACTCACTACCTAATAACCAAATATATATATATATATATATAATAGAAAGAGAGTGAGTGAACAAATCCCCAAATGAAGCACATCTCATATACTTATATCCAACATACTTTGGTGAAAATAGCGAGCTGCATAGCCATCAGCTGCGTCAAGAAGGAAACTTGTTAAATATAGCAAAAAGAATCGATTGCTTTGTTCCCATTGCCAAAACGCACCTATAGCTAACAGTATTCTCAAGTAGCCTTGCTTCTTGTAAGACTTCCTAGATGGACTGACGCTTCTTGATCTTACCGATGATATTAGGAATATAAAGAAAAGTATTCCTCCTCATTTTGTCTCTTCAAAGAAATTTTTCTGTTTGCCACATTCGTTCTCTTTCTCTCTCTCTCTCTCTTATATAGATCAATAAAAATAACTTTTTATTCTAAGAATGGTAACATTTCATTCTTCGAATACATTCCTTTTGAATATCTTCCATTGTAGCGAGACAAGAACCTTTACAAACTGAATCCAATAGAAACCCAGGAATGGAAGACTTGGGTTTGGAACTGACATGTAAAGATAAAAAGCAACACAATTCAGCTTCAGTTGAGAGTTAGCGGTAATATCGACTGATTGAGAAAACAATACATACCTTCTTGAAGAGGCTCTACAGTCCACATAGCTTGATATTCCTTTAGCATGTTACTTTCAATCAACTCGATGCGCAAATTGTGAGGATAGAACTCCTTTACTCGCAACAACTGCTGAGACTTTTTAGAAAAGAAAAGGAATCCATGCTGTTCTATGGTTTGTATTTCATATTCATCTTCAGCTATTTGTCTCTTCACACAACTTTCCATGACATGTCGACAAAAACACTTGAGATGATCATAATCTGAAATAACAGAAAATGCAGTTCTACAGTCACAAGGAATTACTACTGAACTATATATAACACGTCTAGAATGTGCTTTTCGTTCCAATCGAACAGCTATTTGAGCATCTTTAGGTACACAAGATATGATAGAAGATAGATGAAGACGTTCCCATGTACTATCTTGCAAACTTGTGCAACTAAGGGAGCCATTTGGTTTACAAGAAACAAAACCTGTGGACAACTTCAAAGAGAAGAATGCTTTGTTATGCCAGTGCACTTGGAAAACTGCAGCACAGCTTTCATTTTCACCATCTGCAACTAGAAACGGTCTTTTCGAGTCACTCCAATCGAGTCTTAAATAATGACCATTCCAAGTACTTCGCAAACGACATATAGATTGGTCTTTAGAATATTCAAATGAAATAGAATCTCTAATTGCAGCAAAAGGTCCACTATGGAAACAAACCTTTCCATGGTCACCAATAGTTAAGAAACGTCCACGATGATCTAAAATACGCACAGTAATGTTGGTTCTAGGAGAATTTGCATAACTTAAAGGAACGGGTATCAGACAAAACTGCTCCCAACTCTTGGCTACCTTACGATCAGCAACTATAGCTCCGTTGCGTTCCAAACAAACATAACGTAAACGTTTGTCAGAGAAGTCTCCACTTTGTCCACTACAAATTCCCAACGAAATAATCCCTGTTCGACGTTCTTCTATCCAAAACTCACTTTGGGTATTTTCGGTTTCTACTTGTTCCTTGGAAGCAACAAAGAGATGACGTTGTTGCTTTTGAATATAAACAAGCCGTCCATCCAAAGAATATAATTTGCAACTCTTTCCTTGAATAAACGCAATGAAACAAGTCTTTGGAAAAAATGCATCATCGGTTACCAAGTCTGAGGAAACCGAACCAATTTTAGAGCCCTCTTGAATATCTTGAGAATAAAACCAAGCTTTCTTCAAGTCACTCGAAAAGATATGAATACATATCACTTGAGTGGAATCAGAAGAGTTCGTACAAGCCACAACGGAAGAAGGGTGTTGGGCAGATAACTCCGAGATTCTAGTTGCACTATCATGGTCAGACTCGTCGTCTTCTTCCTTATGATTCTGAAATAAAGAAGAAACTGCTTGATATATTCTATTCATAAATAAGCTTGGACGATAATCAAATAGAACAACCCTAGTTGACTATTGTTTTATCAAAGTAGGCTTTTCGATGAGAGGAAGAAGGGTGAATCATGATCCAAAACCAATTCATCTATTCACAACTATACTACTTGATGAATGTTTATGGTTAGTTATTCAACAACTTGTTTGAAAAGATTTATCTTCATTTATGCTTTACAAAACTTTGTGCTATTATTGTGGGTAGAACCAAAGTCATTCATTCATTACAACGGTTGGGCAATGCCTCCGAAAAAACAAGAACCGCAGAAAAAAGGAAAAACGGTCGAAAAAGAAAAACAAAAAATTGTAGAAGATAAAACTTTTGGTCTGAAAAATAAAAACAAAAGTAAAAAGGTGCAGTCTTATGTACAGCAAGTGAAGAAACAAGCAGCACAAAAGGTCGAAGGAAACAAGCCTCGGCGAAAAGAAGAGGAAGAACAGAAAAAAATGTCCAAGAAAGCTTTATTGGAAGCTCGTGCAGCAGAACTAGGACTCATTATGAAGCCGGTTAAAGAAAAAGAAAAAACAGAGGAAATATCAGAAGAGGAGAAAAGAAGACAAGAGGAGGAACTGGAACGCCAGCGAATCGCCAACTTACCAATAGAAGAACAGATTGAAGAACACAGAAAGAAGTTAGACACTACCAAAAAGGTGACAAAAGAGATCTTCAGCGAATGGCTTCAAAATAGGACAGAGCAAGTTTCGGACAAGAAAAAGAAGAGTCAATCAGCGAAAGGAAAAGCTGCACCTTTGACTGGTCGGGAACTTTTCACTAAACAGAAAGAGTTGTTTGTTGATGATGAAGATGCAGATACTGTGAAATATGAAAGACCGTTGGTTTATGAAGACAGTGATGAAGAAGAAGATAGATATCCGTTAGAAGAAGAGAAAGAGTCAAATCAGATGGAAGAACGGCAAACTGAAAAAGAAGTACAACAACTCACAGATAATCTAAACAGAACCTCGCTAAACTATCAAATGTAGAGAATATCTTTAAAGCTGTTATAACAAGACATTTTGAATACCTAATAAAGTTTAGAATACGTCGTAAGCTTTTATTGTTCTGCTCAAGCGTTGTGCTTCATATGAATAATGTTTTCGCTCTGCGTAGTATATCTAAACGGGTTAGTCTGTTTTTTGCCAACCTGTGTATCTAAGAGAACGACAAAGTTTTTCTGTTTCTGTTTGTCCTCTTTTTCGTCTTTCACGAGGAGAATAACGACTCATTTTGAAGGACTCTTCTATTCCGGAGGATATTGCATACTGTTCTTCTCTTGCTATATATACACTACTGCAATTGTTATATATTGCATCTTGTTGACATTTCTCTTTTTCTCTCTGATCATGCGCGATATTTTCCAATAATATACTTTTCCAGTTTGAAGGAAGGCCAAGATTGAACATCCGAAGAATAGAAGCATCCAAGTTACTTTGTTGCCAATTGAGTTCTCCAACAAGAGAATAAATGGATTTGTGACGAGTAATAACCAAAAGCGGAGTAAAGGCTTTCACCTAAATGAGATAATAGGTATATCAGATATCTACTTCAGTTCTCATTACTCACTACACTACTCGTTCTCCAGAATCTTTCTTCCAATCTTCCATTCTCAAGTCTTCTACCAAAAATAACAATCGAACTTTTGGCTTTATTCCAACGTAGGCACCAGGAAGTTAATACCGTGACAGGAGCTTCCTCTTTGGTGGACTTCCTCATTCCAACAACACATTTCTTCAATGAGTTTGCTTTCCTCACTCTCTCTCCTCTTTTCATTCAAGCGGAGAGGAAGCCCGCCAAAATTTAATTTCATAAAAAGCAGAGGTGTGTGTCTTTATTCAGGCAAATTGTTTCGCCATAGAAATGTAAATGAACCATAAAAGTATATCAATAGCCTAACTCTTAACATTGGCAGGTGCTTGAGGTTTGTTTATCGCTGAGTTCGACAGTATCCGGCAAATAGCTACAAAAATGGCTTTGAGAACACTTCTCATATTCAAGATGTTGCTACTTACAACTCCTCTTCCCGTTCACCCCTTCTTAACGCATTGGTTACTACAACATCAAAAGCCTTATCTACCGATATGTTCTCCTTCGCACTTGTTTCAAAATAAGGAATGTCTCCTTTAGATACACACCACTGTTGAGCACGTCGTGAAGGTACCTAGAGTCAAAATAAGATTTCCAAAGCGATATGACAACTAACAGACGAACAGAACGTTGACCTTCCAAATCAGACTTATTCCCGAGGACAATGAAAGGAAAATGTTGAGGATCAGAAGGGCTTGCAGAGACCAAAAACTCGTCGCGCCAAGTTTCTAAACTCTACGCTACCAAGTAAAAGAAACGCACTCAATGAATTTGGATAACTCACTTCAAAGCTTTTCACATCAGTTATATCATAAACCAAAACACAAGCATCAGCACCACGATAAAAAGCACTTCCAAGGCTTTGATAACGTTCCTGTCCAGCTGTATCCCATATTTGCAAGTTCACCTAAAAACAACAACACGATGAGCAAACAATAACAACAGCAACATAGTGAAACAACATTTCTATCATCTACAAACATGTCCTTGGTCAGAAAATCTGCTCCAATAGTGGCTTTGTACTGTTGACTGAAACGACGATTCACAAACCTTTCCAAGAGAGAAGTCTTTCCTACACTGATCTTGGTTAAGAAAGCTGATCCACGGAGAAAGCATACAATTACCCGCTATCTCCAAGAACCACTACTTTCAACAACTTTGGCCTCGTTATAGAACTACTTGTCATTGTGGTCCCTTGAAGGAAAAAACCAACTGGAAATTGGTGGAGTCTTCAGTGGGGGGAACGACTTGTCGTGCAAGTCACATAAAATACTCAGAGATGTCCATCCTGTTCGAGATTCTTTACTGGATTTTCGTTTTTATGTTAACTGCAGCGTTATTGTTTTGTGCAATATATACTCTTGTTCTATTTTCTGACCTTATGATCGATCACATCAATCCTATCGAGTTGTGTGATAAGGTGAACTTTCTGATTTATCCAGAGTAAGAGTTTTGGATTCTTTTTGACTCGTTGTTGTCTAACTTCTTAAGATTCTTTGGACACGTATTCCTTACCATAACGTTGTTGGCAAAGGGGCATTGGCTTATAGCACTTTTGAATGTCCCACTCGTAGCGTACAACGTTAACCGTTACCGCCAGAAAAAGCATTTATTAGACAACACCAGAGTTTTTAGTGTCGTTGGAAGAGAACAACGCATTTGTGAAGTCAAAATGGGTTTCTTTCTACTGACTTTCTTTGTTTACTTGTATTGGTAAAGTAGCCTGTTGCTATATTAAAGTGAAAAGACTACTGAGTTTCTACTAGCTTTGTTATGTCAATGATAAAACTGGAATCAGATACAAGTATTCCTGAGAAGCTTGTGCCCTAGCTAAAGTAAATAAGTACTAGGAACAGAACAACTGGATATAGCGGTGTATCTATGTGTCGAGCTCTATCAAAAATAAAATTATTTTCCACTTGTTTTATTCGCATTAGTTCAAAAGTATTCACTGGGAGTGCTTTAGTGACGTGATTGGGTCGAGAATATATGAAAGCAGGTCTTTCGTTGATATTGTCGTCTTGAGAAAGTAAATAACATTTCTGACCCTGTCACCTCATTCGAGCTTCATCAGATATGCCTTGAATAATTCCCAACTACAAATATTGTAGAAGAAGCTTATTATGATATTGAATATACGCAACACAGTTCCATCGAAAGAAAGTAGATTTGAAGAAAAGGGAGGCAAGTCTCAGTGATTATCTTCCAATTGGTAACAAATGGATGGAAGAATAATCGAATGAAATACCTATGATACAAAGCAAACATGTCACTCGCAAGAGTTCCAAGAAATCATTCCAAGCTAATGCACTGCCCAATTGGAAGAATGACAAGAGTACTTGACTTGGAACAACTATAATTGTCAGTAGCGAGAGAATACGACATCCAACGGACTTGATAAGAGCATCACACAATACACAACTGTTTTTAAGGAGTTGATGAGCGTATACACAATACCAATGTGAGAAATCATAAGAAGAATAGGATCCATAAGGAGAAAAATGCGTTTGACGTGAAAGCGCCATTTTTGGGCCAGCAATCGATTTATCCCATTTGTTTGTGGACCCGCTATATCCGTTTTGATTTGAGAAATCCCGCTTTTTATATTCTCTGCTTTTCAAATACTTGAATTCAAGCAATGTCATCTGTTCGAAGGGCTAGCTCAAATACACCAACTACTCGTGCTACTTCGAGTGGTGCTTCAGGTTCTGGCAGAAACTCAGCAGTAGGGTCAAAGTGGAGTACTGGTAACCTATCCGGTTCTGCAAAGAGGTAAGCAAAGTAGTCGAAAGAATACAGTGTCTAAGCCGCGCCAGAATTCAAAAAGAGTTGGCAGAGATAAGTCTGGATCCCCCTAGTAACTGTTCAGCCGGTCCAAAAGGAGATAGTTTGTACGAATGGGTTGCAACGCTAATTGGTCCTGCGGGTTCTCCTTATCAAGGAGGTAACACAGAAATATTAACAAGCCTTCTGTTTATTTGAAGTATTTAGGTGTCTTTTTCTTGGATATAACTTTTCCTCCTGATTATCCATTCAAACCACCAAAAGTAGTCTTTCGTACGAGAATATTTCATTGTAATATCAATCAACAGGGCCATATTTGTTTAGATATTTTAAAAGACAATTGGAGTCCAGCCTTGACTGTTTCGAAGGTAAGACAATAAAGCGGAGTATGCAATCAGCGTAGATGAATTCGATTAGGTGTTGCTTTCTGTCTGTTCTTTGTTGACTGATCCTAATCCTCATGACCCATTAGTTGGAAGTATAGCCCACCAGTACTTGACGGTATGTATCTGATATGGTTTTTGATAGTGCATGTTCAAACACTTTCCATAGGATAGAAAGGCGCACGACGAGACTGCTGCAGAATGGACTCGTCGCTTTGCAACGTAGTACATTGAATAATCATTTTTATTTCTTTCAAAAGATAATAGATCTTGTGACCTTTTTCTAACGCTTTTGAAAATAAATTGATATCGTGTGTGAAACACGAAATAAGATAGTTCGTGGTCGAATATATCATAGAGACTTTGTCTTTAGGCAGCAAAAAAGGGTTACTCATTTTTGTTCTGTTTTCGTAGGCTTCTGGAAAAACCTAGGAAGTCCCTAAACTTGAAACCTGAACGAACGGTTTCTTCAAACATCTTGATGTCTTCGTCACCGAATTCTTCCGGATGCTTTCGCATACAGGACTCCATCCTATCGAATTCTGGTTTGCATATAACTAACCATCCAGCACTCAGTGAAGAACTGCTGAAACAACCAAATAACTGACACTTACAAAGTCCTTTCCCTTCAATACGATTCTCTAAATAACACCGAAAAGAAGTAAGAAACTCACTTTTACAAGAGCTTTCTTGAAGTTGTGCAATACAAGGACACTAAGAAGATGGCCAGTTTACCTATCCATTCTATATGTTCCCTTCCAACTTACTTTGATGTCCTTAGGAATCTTGAAATCGTCGTCATCGGAAACAATTCCGTTCATGATCAATGACTAATAAATCAATTACGAACTCTATCAAGTCCTTATGTGTATCAATAAAAATGGACTAGGTTTCTGTAGTAAAAACCCTCGAGATTGTATTTGATAATTCTGCCGGAAACATTTTGATTTTCCTTGGTCTTTATCATTTCATATTTAAAAACTATAGAATAAACTTTGTATCTAGTCACCCTTTTTACTAGTCTGCAAACGTCGTCAAGTTTTCAATTGCAGAAATATAAACGGCTATGGCCCATTTTTTCAATTTTGTGATTGGGGAAGCGCCAAGTGCTCGTCGTCATACCCAACTTGAATAGCTCCAACAAACTGCTAATTAGTAACGGCAACCTATTATTCCCAGTTAAAGTGGTGTTTATGTATTTTATTGACAGTTTATAAGCAGTTTTTGTTAAAGAAATGGGTGCTTGTGTCGATGGAATTCCGCTCTCCGACAAAGATGATGGAACCAAGAGTGAACCTTCCAGTAACCAATTTAACGCTGACTTGATAATAGAAAGGCTTTTAGAAGTTCGTGGACAGAGACCAGGAAAACAAGTTAATCTGAAAGAGGAAGAAATAAGAGAACTTTGTTTGCGTTCACGAGAAATATTTCTTTCCCAGAAGCCTCTTTTAGAACTAGAGGCACCCATTCGTATTTGTGGCGATATTCATGGTCAATATCATGATTTATTAAGACTTTTCGAATACGGGTATGTTTGTTATGCGACTGGAAACACAGGAAACTGAACCACGTAAGTGGATTTCCCCCAGAGTCCAATTACCTATTTTTAGGTGACTATGTTGACAGAGGGAAACAAAGTATTGAAACTATTTGTCTTCTGTTAGCTTATAAGGTGAAATATCCCGAAAATTTTTTTATTCTTCGTGGAAATCACGAGTGTGCCAATATCAACCGTATATATGGTTTCTATGACGAATGTCGTCGAAGGTAGGCCTGAATATGATAAAGTCTAATATTGAGTTTGTTGAAAGTTGTCTAGGTATAATGTGAAACTCTGGAAGACCTTTTGTGACGTATTCAATTGTCTTCCCATCGCAGCAATCATTGATGAGAAGATATTCTGTACACATGGAGGTTTATCTCCTGAACTGACTTCTATGGATCAAATTAGAAGAATTACGAGACCCACTGATGTTCCCGACCAGGGATTATTGTGTGATTTATTATGGAGTGACCCTGAAAAGGACATCAAAGGTTGGGGTGAAAATGATCGTGGCGTTTCTTTTACGTTTGGAGAAGACGTAGTGGAGAGATTCCTGCAGCGATTCGATTTGGATTTAGTATGTAGAGCACACCAAGTAGTAGAAGATGGCTACGAATTTTTTGGTGATCGTAAGCTAGTAACCATATTTTCCGCTCCAAACTATTGTGGAGAATTTGACAACGCAGGGGCGATGATGAGTGTAGACGAAACGCTCATGTGTAGTAAGTTGTCAGTTGTTTGCACCTTTTTAGTTTTTTGTTGAACAGTTTAAGGCTTTCAAATTCTAAAACCAGCTGAGAAGAGCCAGAAACTACAACTGTCTGGATTATGCTATCCGATGTCTCCCCAAAGCTCTTCTATAGCCAACTCCAGTGTTTCTCCTGTGACACCGCCAAAGACGAAAAAGAAGAAATAATCAACTTTTTACACTTTGTCATTATCTTTTCCTATTTGAAAGAAACGTAGAAAATAAAATCAATTCCTTGCTTGAATGGAGGAAGATGGAAAAAGATTTTTTTTGGGTTTGGGAAAATGAACTGTCAAAACAAATCACCAGTTGGAAACAATAATAATAGACAGCTCAGAACTGTTGACTCAGAGCTGCAGCTTGATGTTTATGGACCCAACACTACTCCAAGTTATCCACTGTTGAGTGCAACGCGCCACCCAATTTCACCCATTGTCTCTCCTGGCTCAACCCTTTCTTTACAACCTTATTCTTCCTTGGAGGATAATTTTGTTTGGCGTTATGGCCCAGAAGGTCCTTTATTTGGAAGATTATGCGATGACCTCGTAGCTCATCTAATTTCGTTCATTCCAAGTGTACAGGATAGAGCAGCTTTCAGGGAAGTTGCCACTCGCTGGAGAAGAATTATCAATGAAACACCCGAGTTGTGGAGAAGAGTAAGTATTTTTTCGTCAAAGTAGGATGTTTACGTATAAGTTTTTCCTTGTAGGCTTCATTTCGTGGCTTTCTAGCAGGAGATAGATTACATCAAGTAGTAGCTGGACATGAAACCCACATTTGTGTTTTAGACCTGACCGGCTGTCGGAATGCAAGGGAGCCAAGTGTGGCAAGGTTATTTTGCTCGTGTCCTCATCTCGAAGAAGTAGACCTGAGTGGAATATTTGGTATAAGGCCAGAAACATTTCATCAACTTCCGAGTCACTGTCGTTTTCGTCATGAAGAAGTGGAAGTAAGTTTGACACCGTACATTCGTTGTCGTTCTTTACTCATTTATGTAGCAAACGTTTAAGAAACTTTTAAAATTTCTGTTACATATTCCTTCGCCTAGTGTGTTGTTGGTTATTACCGATGGCTCTCTTCAGTTGGAATCAAGAAACAGACAAGGTTAGTACTCTGTTTTCTTCTGTATGTGGCAAGTGAACGTCGTTAACTCGGTTTATACTAGTTGTAAGAGTGAGATATCTGGAACCAACGCAATTGTCAGACAATGAATATGGTTTCTCGTTGTTTATTCGTGCCATAGGTTTACCAGACAACTCTCAATTTCTATTGGATGTTTTCCGATGTAGTAAGTAGAACACGAGGTTGCTCCATTCTTCAATCAAGTTTTATTCTCTTCCGTAGGTGAAAATCGATACGAGTTGCGTTGGTTGAAAAATAACATCGGACGTTATAAAAATGGTTCGTTGATTGTGATGCAGTAATCTTTTGTCTTTTGTTTATATGTTCATCCAACTTACAACTAATCAATTGAAAATAAAACATAGTTATCCTTTGGAATGCCGCACCTAGACGGAACTACTCATGGACTCCCATTGCTTTAATAGCAACTCTCTGTAGTCAGCTTCTAATTTCACTTGAAGCAACTAGCGAAATCAAAGTCAATTACAGTTACTTCCAATCACATTCTTACCTTTTCCAGTGCCACTATTATACCATCCGAGGATAGTTCCTTAAATATGCGAGGACCCAACGTGTAAAATATCTCATCCTCGACTTGTTCCTTTCTCAAATACCACATTTTCACAAGATCTTGAAGAAGAGTGAACTTCCCACTAGAACCTTGGAATGCTCGTTCCTGATGAAGTCCCAAACTATACAAAGACTTTAACAATTTCTCTATTTTCTCTTTAGTATATCATATGTGCGTCAGTAGCTAAAAGGCGAGGCAAACCTTCGCTTAGACGAGTATTTGGACTGACAAATAAAAGCGCAATAACAACTGTTAAAACACCCCAAAAAGAACACTCATCGTCATCTTTCCAATCATCTTCCTCATCCGTTGTCAACGTGTTAATCAAAATATAGACTCTATTGACGGTGGAAGATTTGGAGCGGCTAGGTCCTGCTTGCGAAGACAATGCGTTCACACTTCCTTTCCCGTTCTTGCTTTCCGTCGAAAGTTCCACAATTTTCAAACCAAAAACTTCTTCCAAACGAGCACTTGCTTCTTTCAAAACGTCGTTTGTTTTGAAGCATTTTCCAACGTACTGTGAAATATCGTCACGACGAACAACAGCTCTTTTTCCTGTGGCTACCAGCAAATGTCGACAGACTGCGGAAACAACGCCTTCTCTGCTACTGGATGCATACTTTTGTTCACCTGAAGAAAGTTCATTTACTAGTAGATACTTTATTTAGTTCATCTTTGTACAATTCCTTTTTTCATTTACAAACCCTGTGAGTTACTTGCTACTCCTCTTTGAGACGACATGTTGGCCAATCCAAATTAAGCGCCATTTTCTCAACTTTCAAAAAGGATGGAATTCAACTCTCTCTTTTCTATCACCTTTTTGAGTTGAAATATTTGCCATAAATGACCTTCGAGATAACAAGGTGACCAAAAATTATTCTCGTTTCGAATCTTGAAATGGTTCTGAAACATTTTTCCAAAAAACAAACTGCATATTGTTATGCTTCCAACCCTTCCAAATATCTTGAACAAGTGACGTCAACGACTTCTTCACAGATGCATGATCCATGCCATTTGCAACATTATCAGAAGATTGAATATCAGCGTATTCGTCTCCAGGAAAATACCCAAACTGTCTAGTCACTTTGGACCAACTCCTGTTGAACGAAAAAATCGTCTCCTTATTAGATACGACTGCTGGATAGAATGACGTTCTTGTTTTGTATTGTGGATTGAATCTAAACCACATGTCTCTTAGTATCATGATTAAAACCTGAACAATTGCTATCATATAACGGAACAATGAGAAGAATAGGCTAAAAACGGTGGCAAAAGAATGCAACAAATTGGGTGGCGATATAGAAATATCCTCATCACTGACAACTGGTGCTGCTACAGCTTGCTTGGAACTTTGGTTCTCTGTTTCCGTATCTTGAGGAATATTGGAATTCCACTGATTGGTGTCCATTCCGGTTTGAGGAGCTGATTGGGTAGAAGAAAAAACCATAGAATACATGCTGCCTTCTTTCCGAACAACTGTTGGCTGATTGGAAGGATTCTCAACGAAAGAGTCAACTGATACATCTTCTTCTCCCAAGATTTCTTCTTCACTCTCCCACTCCTCTCTACTAGATGCATAAATGGAAGAATTCAAGTTCTCCGTGAATCCTCCGTCATCACTATCATCATTTATTTGTCTCACATGTGAGTTTGTTGGCCCCTCTCGTAACCATTCTAATGCGCTGTTGGTAATAAATGACATCGATTGTTTTGCAGTTTGAGAGGCTGACAATATAGGCTCCAATACTTCTATTTTACGACTGTTCGTAGTAGACGCTTTTAATATGTTCTCGAATTCATCCACTCTTTGAGGCACTTTGGTTCTGAAATAAAGTCCAACTGAGGAACAGATTATTTGAACTGTTGCCAAATAGTATAAAGCAACCAGTTTCCGCTTTAACAAAAAAGCAATACATACACTTTCAGATAGTAGAATAAAACAAGGTAGAAAAAAGGTGACGTTATTCACTGCCTTCCCATCTACAGCGTTGTGACAACGTTGTTGATAGCTCAAGGTTGACCATTCAATAAAAGGAGGAGACCCACTAGTATTGTGGCAACAACGTACAATATTGGTTCTCCTGTACCTTCCCTTGTAGCAGTTACTATCAAACAACAGATGTGTCGTGGTAGGGTAAGAGGAATACACCAGTTGCCGCTTTGTACGATGTATTAGGTTTAATAAGGACCCGGGTAAGCGGTGACTACCACTTGATATGTGTAGTGCAGCAAATGAAATAAAACCAAAAGCTGGCTTTTGACAAGTCTTGCGACTCTCCCCTGTCACCATTCTCTCACGTAAAAATGGATTCAATCATCATCCATTTTGAATGAAGTTGCGATGTTGAAAGGAAAGCCATTGGTTTTCTTACAACGATTGTTAGACAGCATTCAAAAGAATCAATATAACTTTTGAAAATTCCTTCAACCAAGACTTTGGATAATCGAGTGTCGATCACAAGTTTCTTAAAAAGATGACGTTATAATATGAAAACAATACGAACCAAGCAACTTAGTTGGACTTGAACTTCCGGAGTTTCTTTTGTATATTCAATTTTATATATAGAACAGTGTAAAGTAAACATCACAACAAAACTTCTATCAGTAAGAAATCCTACACAAAGTTATACCATTCCAAGAATCAGCTCATCGATCAATATCATCTTCATGTAGACAAATACCTCGACTCATCTATATTTACTGATTCGTATAGTTATATACTGCATTAAGGAACTTCCTTTTGGATGAATGCAAACCACTACGGTCACTCTCAATGTTTGTTTTACTCAATGACTCCGCCTTCATCCAAGGATGATTCAAGCTTTCTTCTACTGTAAGACGTTTGTTTGGATCCACTTCGAGAAGTTTTCTTGTAAGATCCTTGGCGCCTTTGGAAATATCTTTCCAATATCTCGAAGGAAAGGAAAATTGCCCCCTAACAACTCTTTTGAAACATTCCAACTCATTCTTCCCAAAGAAAGGCATCTTTCCAGACAACATGATATACAGTATAACACCACATGCCCATAAATCCACGGGAGCTCCATAGGACTGTCTCAAAATAACCTCAGGTGCAATATATCCTATGGTTCCAATGGTGGTTGTTAATGGCACCGAAGTACCATTTTCTCCAACAGTGAAATTTGCCAAACCAAAGTCGGCTATTTTGATTTCCAATGGCCAGTCTTTAGATTTAAGAAGAATATTTTCAGGCTTTAAATCTCTGTGAACAATTCCTCTCTTATGAAGATATCCGACACCATGCAATATCTCTTTCATTATATCACGAGCATCCTTCAAAATTACAAATTTAGCAAATATCGAACGAGTAACTAGACCTTATTCATACCGACTCAGAAAAATGACCAGCAGTAGCTATTGCATTAAAAAGCTCACCCCCTTCCATGAATTCCAGTATGATGTAGATCCTTGTTTTGGTCTCAAATATGTCATATCTAAATGACAATATAAATTGCGATGTATACAATCTGTTTTTTTGTCATACACTTACGTTTGTACCACATTCGGGTGTTCCATGGAGCGTAAAATTTCTACTTCTCTTTGAAGATGCTCTAATTCTTTAGCTTTGAAGTTATCTTTCTTTATAATTTTCAGAGCAACCTTTTCACCGCTCTCTTTGTCATAAGCGACTCTAACGGTTCCAAAGGCTCCCACTCCTAGCACATCACCGATACTATAATAATCTTCCACATCCTTTGGGAATAATATTATGTTTGAATAGAATAATCACATATTTGAATGCTTACTCTAAAACAAGCTCTTTTAAATGCCGTAGTCCACTTTTTGTAGTCTTTTTCATTCTCTGCAAAAAAGGATACGACTCTCTTGGGTAGTTCTAGGCGTATTTCATATTTTCGGGGCCCTTCTCTTACTTTACACTCCGTCAGGTCCAAGTCCCACGTAGCAGGTTCGTTCTAAATGAGATGTTTCGTATCCTTTCCAGACAAATAACAAAACACTTTACCTCTGTTTTGTGATTCGATAGAGTACCGTTTGATATTCTCAGAAATCTCTTATTCTTTGTCCTAAAGAGCTTTCCTTCTTTTAGTAACCATCCTTCTATCAATTCTGGAGATGCATGTCTGAAGGAGGCTCTCTCTGTACTAATCATATCAACGGACCCTTCACCACTTGCTACAGAGAGAGTTTTATTTCTGCAACGGTTTGCTGAGTTCTCACAAAGACTTAACCAGTTATAGGTAGACACGAATCACTTGTGCATTTTTTGGCGCCAAGCCAATCGAAAATCGTGTCCAATGGAGTAGTGAAACAGCCTTTCCGATTGATTTTCGAACGACGACTTTTACAGATTTTATGTTTATCTATTGAATAATACTCCCTGTTTGGAATTGTCCTCTTTAGCTAAGTTCTCTACGCTACCAAGCCCTTGTTTTACTTCACTCATTCCAGTTTCACTACTCTGTAATTCTGCCCGCTTTCTAAGGATTTCATATTTGAGACGGATGGCAAAGGGATAAAGGATGACTTCATCAGGTGTCCTCACTAAATATTCGTCCAAACCACCCCATTCCTTTACTTTTTTCATAGCACTTTGTGATATTCGAAAAAAAAACCATTTATCAAAAGTTTTACTATACAGAGAAAGACGGTGTATATTGGGGCGAAAGCTTCGTCGATGTCTGCAACCCACACACCACGTCAATATCCTATCCCAAGCTTGAAAGCAATCAACTTACTTTTGTCCAGATGGCGCAGCTTTTTCTCCAAACTTTGTCATCTCCCCATCAAATAAACCTCTTCCTCTTCGTTTACAAAGTCTGGGAGGACGTACGCGAGGAATGGGTTCCATATCAACAATTGTCCTTTGCCTTTCCGCTGATGACCCAATAATAAGATTGGACCGCCAAGGAAACTGTCGATGTGTAAGTACACTTAAACTTTGTATTGAGAAAAGGGGAACAGGATGTCCACAAAGAATAACTGTTTTAAACAGATTAGACCTGTTAAGGTTGAGGACGAATTGACTTTACTGATCAAACCCTTTTCTTATCAAAATTGGTTGTCAACTTATTAACTAACGTTGTTTACAGGAAATGCGGCGACTCGTAAAGTTTAGAAAAACTTTCTCATAGATAAGCAAATTCTATTTAACAAAAGTATCTATCTTTCTGAAACTTTCTCATTTTATTGAAGTAGAGGAGCCAACTTGAAGCATACAATCAGACCTTCACGTATGTCTCTTGGTTGGTTTCTATTCGCTTTCAAAGGACTCCACTTTAAGCACAAGTTCTTTCAAAAACTGCACAACCTACAAAATAAGCTTCCGACCATAGTTTCTTAAAACAGGGTTCTTACTTCATCCTTCTTAGACTCGAAGTTCTTTCTCATCCTTTCACGAAACTGTTCCGTTTCACGGTGAAGACGTTTCGTGTTTTCTTCTGAAAGACCTGAGTGCTAAAAGGCTTTAATTATATCACCACGTACCATCCTGCTTCCTACCTTGTTTAATTCTTCTTGATATTCTCGCTCCTTTTCTTGTCTGTATGCGTTAATTTCCTTCTGTGCTTCCTGTGTGGCCTGCTTTAACCTACTTTCCCTGTCTAGTAGTACTTTAACGAAAATAACAAGCAAAAACAGGGCTTCCCACCTTTCCTCGCTTGCTCAACGACAGAAGACGCTTCTTCTTCCGCTTTCAACAATAGTTTAATAGTCTCGGGACCTGAAGTCATCACAATGTGGAGTTGCTTGGATTAAGACTGGGAATCTAAGAAAGGAAAGCGTGAATGTGATTGGACTTTTTTTCATATGCACACATATATCATATTATCTTTTGTCACTCGAACAAAATAAATATTTTCATAATAAAATGCCTAGTTCACTACTTGCGTCAAGCGCGTTGAAAAGTTTGCATTACATATTATACACAACAATCAACATCTCATAAACTGTGGCTAAAATGCAAACATCATGCTATTGCTGTACATTCAGTTTTGACAAAAGATAATTAATCTGGTCTCGATACGCAGTCTTCAAGTCTTCTACATCCGACTCCAATTCGTGTACCTTCTCATCTCGTTCTCCCAGGATTTCCAGAGTGGCGCTGTAACGGACCTTCAACTCTTCCAATTCCCGTTGTAAGGCACTCATCCTTTCTTTTTGTTCATCGTACAACTCTTTATACTCTTTATATTGATTCAATTGGTCAATGGTATGTTGATGTTCTCCCTCCAAATGATTGAATGCCTCATGCAACATTTCCATATCCCCAAACAACTGTCGCACTAAGAATTTCAAGCGTTCAAAACTGTATGCATTAAAATTCATTCCTTCCAACTCTTTAACGGCATCACTACTACGAGCATATACGGAAGCCTTATCTACTCTTTCTTGAGGATTATAATGATGCTGCTCAAAAATATCGCGCTTCTGTCTTGCAACTACTAAATCAGTGGTTTGAACACTGCTGTTGACCAAGGCTGCATTTTTTGACTTTTGACTATGCTTCCATTGTCTCTCCGCATAGAGAGAAGATTTCAAGTCACTGATTTCAAAACGGTATTGTTGGATAAGATCCTCAAAACTCTGACGAGATGAATGAAACTCTTGTTTCACATTTTCAAGTTCTGTCAGTAACCTATCACGTTCAGTGATTAGTTGTTGGATACGAGCAGCTTCTTCTTGTTCTCGTTCTTCAATTGCTTTCTTTTCATGGTGCAAACAGGAAATTTCTTTCTTTAATGAGTTGCACTCCGTTTCGATCTGGCTCTTCTCGGAGTGAGCAAGTTTCAGTTTTTCATACAATGAATCCTCCACAACTCTAGATTGTTGAAGAAGTTCCGCGTAGTGTTTGTGAAACTGTTCCATTTCGGTCGTTCGCAACTGGTCCGCTTTTGGAGACGATAAAGAATAACTTTCTAATTGTTCTTCTAGGTCCCGGCATCTCCTTTGATATTGTTCCAATTGCTGTTTCCATTCATCTTCCTTAGAAGAAGCTGATGCTAAAACTTCGTCAACTCTACTACGTAGTAGCTCTATTTCCTGTTCCAAGCCTTTTTGTTTGCGGCTTGCCTCCATAGCGACCGAGTTTAAAAGAGACTCAGCTTGTTGACGCCATTCCTTTTCCTTGCTTTCCAAATCTTGTTGGTATCTTTTCTTCCAATCTTCCAATTCCTGCTTCATCACAGACAAGGTTGCTTCTGTTTCTTCCAATTTCTGAACACTTTCCATATTCTCTTTCAGTTTCTGTTCCTTTTCACACAAAGCTTCCTGAAGCGACTTTTCACTATTTTCCAACGTCGAACATCGTGCATTCAGCTTTTGAATCCTTCCTTCCAACTCTTGTATCTTGTTTTTCTGACTCTCCTTATCTTTCTCCAACTCTTGAACTTTGCTACGAATTTTTTTAATATATTGCTCTTTCTCCAGTATTTTTTTCGATAGTTTTTCCCCTTCTTCCAAAATTTGTTCAATCTGTGCATCCTTTTCTTTCAACAGCTCCACATCCGTGTTCTTCGTTGTCCTCTCTCTTTTCAGAGACTCCCTTTCTTTCACTACAGCTGCTAGCTTTTTCTCCAACATAGCCACTTTCGAAGCTAGTTCCACTCGCCCACTCTCCGATGCGGAAGCTCTTTCACTCTCCTCTTCTAATCGTTTGGAAAGTTGATGATTCACTTCACTAAGACTTCGTAACTGCTCACGTAACAATTCCACGCTCTGTTCAGACCAAGGATCATTTGAAGAAACCACACCCCTTTCTTCACCAATAACAGACAAGGAATGACTGGTAGAAACCTCATTCTCGGTTTCCAACGTCGTTGTTCTTATCATAGGTGAGCTCGAAACTTCTTTGTCCACTAAAGTTGGTGAACCAGCGTAAGAACTAACAAATTGACCTTCCAAACTTTCTGTTGGGTTCTCCAAAGACGATGACTCTTTTGAACTGTGAGCTTTAGTACTTACGTCTTCCCAAATATCATTGTCCAGATCCACTTTCTTCCGAAAACTCATTCCAGAGATAAAAAATTATCCGTACCACCACCAACAGCAACAAAAATGACTAACCAATTTATCACCAAGATAAAATAATATTCTGCAGAGACGATCCCATATCCCTTAAGCGATAGCGGTATCATGTCATAAAGTTAAAAAGAGAACCAAATTTTACAAAATATGCAGACATAGAGTCGAGATAAACTTGAAAAATTAAAAAAATAATTTTCATTTAAACAAAATTATTCTGTGAATTAAAATATCTCTGGAGCAATTTAACTTATCTGCATACAGCATTAGTTCAATTTTTTTGAATTCATTATTCATATTGCTACTTTGTTAGAAACAATTAAAATTAAAAATTCTTTTCAAAATACAAAACGCACGCCTCGATTAATTTTTCTTAAAATTATTTGCTACTGTACAGTTTTGATGTTTTTCTTTACGATGAAATGACCATTATTTCAATTACAATTTTGCTTTAGAATTATGCGAAGAATTAACACTCTCAATTCTTTTGTCGTAACATACAGCATCGCCTTAAAATGCTTTTAGTTGTGAAACTGTGTAAAGTGGCACAATAGATAAAAAATGATGGTTCGTAAGACGTTTACCCAATTTTATATGCATACAGCAAAAAAATAACGAGTTATATCCACACTTATGAATCTATTTATTTGATATCGATGTACATGACAAGATGCTGCCGCTGCTGCTTCTATCTGGTCTATATATGAAAATAACAATAAAGAAAAAAAAGTTCCACCTGATTCAGCATCTTGATTCAATATTCTAGTTTAAAGCCCACAGTCTTCTTCAGCTAAACTCAGGATGACAATGACTCCTGTTTTATTGATGTTTCTTCTTGTTTCTGTTGTTCATGATACTTGACGGCGTATTCGTACGGAACGATACCATGCCTGAGAAACTCAACATGCCTCAAGATTCTCTTTCGTTGCTTTGGCGGAACTCCTTTTTTTTGGAGATCTAAACATCCGAGTTAGTAAAAACAATGCCACTACTAGCTACAGTAGAACGACAACCTAACGGTTTCACTTCAAGCAACTCTTCAATGCGGTTAAAGTTATTTGCAACATCTCCACACTCTATGCTTTCCAAGAACAACCGGACATCAACAAAACCCCCTACCGAACGGATACTTCGACCCATCAGCGGAGAAAGTAGACATCCAGTTAGCCTCATAGCGAACAACGGCTCCTCTTTCAAGGGTTGCTTTCACAAAGGACAAATGATTCTCTTAAGGGAATTGTAGAATTGAACGACGTAGAGGGCATTGGTAAAGAAGAGGGATTACTGGAAAAGGAGGATAGGTTGGCATGGAAGAGGAGCAAATTCAACAAGAAGACAAACAGGATGAAACTGTGCATGAAAGTCCTGAAGATAATTCTGAAATGCATCCATTACAATTCTCTTGGTCTCTATGGTACAGTTCTTCAGGCAAAAGATTGACTTTCCAGTCGTATGAACAGTCTCTAAAAAAGGTTGCAACGTTTCGAACAGTTGAAGAATTCTGGGGGTGAGAGATTGGCACCGACTTGTAAAGAGTTTGCTTTTTCTAACGTTTATTTTCCTTCAGTGTCTTTAATCACATTCCGCAGCCTTCACAAATTGCCCCTAAAGCAGATTTTCATATTTTCAAGGACGGCATAGAACCGAAATGGGAAGATCCCATGAACGAGTCTGGCGGTGTATGGCAAGTTTCGTTCCGAAGAGACCCTTCTGCTGGCAGTGATGCACCTATCAATGATGCTTGGCTTCATACGGTGAGAATCTGTTGTTTATCTGTATTGGTTCTCAACACGATAAAAGGTTCTTGCTATTGTCGGTGATAATTTTGAACCTGCTGAAAGTGATGACATTCGTGGAATTGCATTAGCCGTTAGAAGCAAAGAGTTTCGATTAGCTTTATGGACTGGTACAGCTGAAGACAAAGAATTACAAGAAGCCATAGGGTATGTTGATATTACTGCTTGAGAGCGAAATTTTTTTGGGATGCATCACTCACATGAGTATTGTAGTCGTTCATTTCGAAAATTTGCAACGTATTCTGGAACAGTTATCAAAGAAACCATTTCATTTACTTCGAACAAAGATGCTTTAGTCGATGCCGATGCGAAACCTTTATACGTTGTTTGATAAAATAAACAAGAATATTCATAGAATTTGACTTGCATCCATGTTTAGATTTTGTTGAAAGATGGAGACTTGGAGCAATGAGTTTGATAGAGTACGAAGTAAAAGTCAAAATATGTATGAACACCTCAGCTCGGCAATAGAAGAACTGCAAAGTTATTATCAGGTTTGTATTTTTTGTAGTGACAACTTGAGATAGCCAACTTTTGTTAGTTGCAAGACAGTGTTCATTTTGAACCCCAACAAAGGAAGCAACAACTCCAACAGTTGAAGCGAATAGCAGAAGCCAAACAAAAGGAGTGCAATGCTGAACAAAAAGAAGTATGTTTTTATACAAGTTATACAAAGTTGCCTTATTTTTGTGGAGATAGGTATATGGGAGTCTTTCTAAACTTAGTAAGAGTGTAGATAAAACGGCACAGCAGTTGTTAGAAGGAGCTTGTTGTCCTTGTACCAAACTTCCTTCACATTGGGTTAATCAAGCTATTTGTCAGGTATTCCGTTGTTTTCTATTATTTTAGAGTTTCATTTTCTTTAGCATCTTTTCAGAAAAGGCTTATTTACTGTTGGAGAACAGTTTGCTGATGAAAGCGGTATACTTTTTCAAGATGACTTTACAGAGCCCATCAAGGAATTATATGACATTGTGAGTGCCATTGATGAATATCGTTTGGAACCTGCGATAAGGTATTTCAGGATTTTTCAGAGTTTTGTAAAAGTTAAAAGTCTCTTTTAGTTGGATTATGAAACATGCGGTTCACTTAACAAAAGGTGGGGATAGTTTATTATTTCGTTTGCATGAGTTGCAATATCTACAGTTATTAAGAGAGAGCAAGAATAGAGAAGCTATGGATTATGCCAAGTAAGTAGTTGTATGAAAGACTGAGTTACCTTAAGTATTCTTTCCCAGTAAGCATTTTCCGGCTTTTGCAGAATCCTATTTGTCGGAGATTCAACGACTTTGTTGCAGTTTATTGTTTATTGATCGGATAGAAACATCACCCTATGCTGATTTATTTTCGTCCAATTTGAAGTTAGAAACACAAGTAGAGTTTACCAAAGCATGTTGCAAGGTTTTAGGGATTGCTCAAGAGTCTCCATTATATTTAGTTACTAGTGCTGTACGTTTGTCATTTGATGAGTTGAAGCTCTCTTTTATTTTCTTTTAGGGTATTGTTGCACTTCCAGTTCTTTTGAAAGCAGCTCGTATATTTCCAAACAAAACGGAATGGAAAGGAACCGATCAACTTCCAGTAGAAGTGGAATTGGGTAAGTGAGTTGGGCTTATGAAATGAGTCTTATAAGTTTCTTCTAGGCAAAGCTTTTCAATTTCATTCCATATTTACTTGTCCTGTATCTCGAGAACAAAGTACTTGGGATAATCCTCCCATGTTATTGCCTTGTGGTCATGTTTTATGTCAAGCTTCCATTCAGAAGCTTCCTCGAGTAACCTCTCGTTTCAAGTGTCCTTATTGTCCTTCCGAACAAACGGTTAGTCAATGTCGAGCGATAAACTTTTGATATGTCTATTCATCCAATCGTAACGGGGTTCCATACAATGGTCATCAAAGTCATGAAAAGATTCCATTTTTTCCTTATCTAACAAAAACTCTTCTGTTTTCTCCAACAAAGATATGGGAATCGATTCCAACTTATCCTTTTCTATTTCCTTTGCATTCTCTCGAGAAGAAGATATCTGGAAGAATCGTAAAGGAACTTGACTTGTTCGAACATCTGGCACTAGTTTTCTATTATCCGACTACAACGTTTATTAGAGTACACAAGACTTAATACTCACTCTATACTTACAACCAACAACAATTTGCAAGTATCACATTGTTGAGAGACTTGGTTGACTAACCATAAACCATCCGTAGGTTCCGATGCATCAAAACGTTCTCCAGCAATATAACAACCTATGAGTGCAATATGTTGCTTCTTTGCTATGATTTGGGCAAGTTGTATTCCCACTTGTAACATAGGATTGGATTTCAGGTTTATGTGACTTAGTGGGAGACACTCATCCACAGTTATAGTACTTGAATACTTGTCTTCTGTGTAGTTGATGGTTCCTAACAATACACCACATACAGCTTCAGTTGCATATTTGTACAAGTGCATCACAAGTTGAATATAAGCCTCTTCTTTCCTCCACAGAACAACAACCTCATTCGACATTCCTTTTCAACAAGAAAGAAAATGATCTTTTATTCCAAACGAGTTTGTAATCTTTCCTTTTCAATGTAAGCAAAACCTTTGGGAAAAAACTCCACAATATGTTGTTTAGTAAAATAAAACATATTTTCTGCTTGTTGAATCGTATCCTCGACTTGATCAGGATCCACTTTTCGAATAAACTTGGCAGGATTTCCTCCCCAAACTTCACCAGTTGGAATACTTTGGTTAGCACTCACCACAGAGTGAGGAAGGATAACACAGTCCATATCAATATGTGCACCTGGTTCAATAACCGAATGAGCTCCAATACGAGTACGAGAATCTATAGTACAAGACTGCAGAATACTATGGGATTCTATCACTACCCAACTGCCAATATTGATGGGCTTCAGTTCTCCACTTCGCTTGGGAGGTACTACAGTAAGCACACAGTTATCTTCAATTACGGAGAATCCTGAAACAACAATCTCTGCAAAATCTGCTCTAAGAACAGAGCCATACCAAACTACCACTTTTTCTGCCAAATCAACTGCACCGATGACGCTAGCAGAAGGAGCCACAAAGGCGTTGTTGGCGTGAATAGGGCGAATGCGGTCTTTATCTAGAGCCATGACATTACGATGATTGGAACCTATTATGAATATATGGGAAAGAGTGAGTTATGTTGCTAGGAATGGGTCACTAGACTCACTCAAGTCTGGTAGAGCTACTCCAGAACACCAAGTTCTTTTGGCTCGCCACATCAAGGGTGTTGACTTGAGAGAAGACAAGTAGTGCATTCCATCAACTTGAATCCTTTTCAAAATAGTCCAACGGAATAAAGTTTGACTCAGTCTCGAATATAACAACATGACAAGGAGGAGGAGGAGGAAATGTATATGCAATCCAAAAAGAATGAAAAGCCTCAAGTGGTTCTGTCTCTTTTTCTTTTTTAAGCCGAGTGGGTTGTTCTCTTTACTTTTCACTACGTCTTCTAGTACTTAGACGTGTACCTAGTGGACCACGACTAAAGGCCCAAGAAACTTCTAAAAGTCGATCGTGTAACTCTGCTCCATTCAGAGCTTCAATAGCAGACTGTGCTTCTTTAAAGTGTTGGTATTCTATCAAAGCATAGCCCTAAAATACGGCTTCAAAAAAATGACAAGTAATATGGAAGAGATAGTACTTTGGTAAATCCTGTTCGGCGATCCAAGTTTAAGTGAATGTTCTTCACTTCTCCCAGTTCCTACACAAGTCTCCATAAATATCCCATCATCAACTCTATGCACTTTGCTTACAGAAAATTTGTCATAAATATCTTCTTCTGTACATTCCTCGTGCAGATTACAAGCTATCAAGATGTATCCTTCCACAGCTAAACCACATAAGTAATACAAACCAAAAACACTCTTCTTACACTTCTGTGGACCACTACCGTCTCTATCCGTTCCAAGACGTTCAAAGACACCACCTATGACACAAACTCTTCCATCAGGAAAGGGTCAAAACACACACAAGTCTTCCAGTATACCTTTTCCAGTATAACGACCTTCTTCATCAACATCCATAGCTGCACCAATACCTCTACCTCTTCCACGTTCTTCTCCCTTTGAGGTTTCTGAAACTACGACTTGCATTCGATCTTCCATATTCTTCTTCTCCTCCCACACACACACACACCAACAACAACAACAATAATAATAATAGATAGACTTGGGATGATAAATTCAAATGGAGCTCTTTCAAGTTTTTAGAGTAAGAAAACTTGTTAACTTTTTATCTACTCAAACAGACAAGTTGTTTATTCCATTTGAATATCACTTTGAAACAAAAATAAAGAATAGAAATGGATAAAAGCTCTGGTCTTCTTTACCATCATGATATGTATCCTTCACTATAATAAGCAATAGACTACTTTCCAATAGATACTTGATATCTATCAAGACTCAAAAGACAAAATCTAATATATTAATATTTATTTCTCAACTCCTTTTTCCATTACATATACGAAGTGGTGAAAGATGCTATGGGATTCTTATGGTTGGTATTCTTTAAGGGCTTGGCTGTGGTTGTTGTTTGACGTTATAACTTCACGTCTCATTCAATTGAAACCAGTAGAACAAAGAATATTGAATGATGCTGTAGTGGTAATTACTGGAGCCAATTCCGGAATAGGCAAGGAGACTGCAAGACTCTTTGTGAAAAGTGGCGCCAAAGTCATCTTAGGTATTTGTCTCTCGCTTCCTTTACCTCATTATTGACACTGGAAAAAGCATGTAGGAACAGTACGCTAGGATATCAAGTGAAAGAAGAATTTTGTGCCAAAAATAAGGCATTGGAAGCCAAAATATGGGTCTTGCCTTTGGACCTGCAAAGTACTGCCTCCATTCGAGCGTTTGTCGAACAATGGAAAAGTTTACAACTACCACTGGACTATCTAATACTGAACGCTGGAGTATTGGGTGTTCCTTTGAGTTATACAGAGGATCATGTGGAGATGCACTTTGGGGTGAACCACCTGGGACACTTCATGCTGACCTTGTTGTTGATGGAAAACTTGATACAAACAAAGCACTCCAGAGTGGTCATTGTTAGTTCACTAAGTGAGTTCAAGTGTGTTTTTTGTTTTGGGAAACCGAATTGATTTATTGGTTGTAGCTTATTTATTGGGTTCCTTGCGTTTGGATGACATCAACTACAAGAACCGTCGTTATAGAAGTTTTGAAGCTTATGCATCCAGCAAATTGTGCAATTTATTGTTCATGCGCGAGTTGTGCAAAAGATATAAAAGTGACCATCTAAGTATTGTCGCTGTTCATCCTGGTGATGTTCATACCCAAGTAGCTCGGCACTTTGGAAAATGGATTTATTATCTTTATGATAAAGTGGCAAGTGTATTTCTAAGAAGTCCAGAACAGGGTGCATTATCTGTATATGCTGCTGCAGTTGATCCTTATTTGAGTTCTTTTTCAGGAATATTTACGATGAATGTGGATCAGTTAGTTCCTTTGGCTGCGAATGCTACTCATGACGCATCAAGTAAATACTTGTGGAAAAAGAGTCTTTCTCTTATATCTTTTCATCCCAACGAAGTAGAAATGTTGCGGAGTCTACGTATTCTTGATGAAGATGAATATTTGCAATGTTTAGCAAATTGCAGTAGAGAAGAATCATAAAAGTCTTTAGAGATGATGCCAATCTATTTTTTCGCGTTGTATTTTCTTTCCTTGAAGCCCATTGTAGAATTCTCTAGCATTCATAATTCTTTTTCCACTTGCTTGTATTTCAAGAATATCCAACTGACTGCCATCGTCACAAGTCACACGAAGACCATCTTTTTCTGGATTGAGAACTATCTGATGGATTCCTAATGCAGGAAAGCTATCTCGACGAACCAAACGTGTTTTATAAATTTTCAGTTTTTGAGTTCCTTTTTGTTGGATATCGAAATTAGCAAAAGTTCCAATGGAGTCACCAAAGGCTCGAACTTTGTTATGAACATGCCAAGCGTTTTCATGGAAAGACAACCAACCTTCTTCTTTCTTCAGCTTAGGAGCATAAGTAGCTTCTTCTTCGTTTTGTTGCAAGGTTTGTACAGTTCCATTCAGAATGGAGTTGAAATGTTGCGCCAAAAGATCAGTACCTTTTAGAAACAAGTCTATTAATAAGGGTCCAGCCAATTCATCTCCATTTAAAGAAACTTTCTCTTGTGCAATAATAGGACCCGCGTCCATCTTGGTTACTGTGAATAGAATGGATACTCCTGTTTCTTCTATTCCTTGTTGTAAAGCTCTTTGCACTGGAGCAGCACCTCGAAACTTGGGTAATAGACTTGGATGTATATTGACAACTCCATATTTGGGTATATTTAAAAAGTTTGGCGAAAGTAGTTTTCCATAAGCAGCAGTAATAGCTATATCAGGCTCCCATTGTTGTACCTTTGATAGAAAGTCAGTATCTCTTATATTCTCTGGAGTCCATACGGGTATTTGGTTTTGAATGGCAACCTCGTGTACTGGAGAAAGATTCCGTTTTCTACTTGGCTTCTCACTAGGTGATTGAGTGATCACTGAGACTATTCGAGCATATGGATTCTGTTGAGACAACTCTAGCCATCTTTGTAAGGATTTTGCTGCACAAAGAGGTGTACCTAGAAAGAGGATGCGAACTCCTTTGTTGGTGTGAAAGTTTCTCGACATGTCAAGTGACCTGTTCTTTCTGGGAAAAGGTGAATAGGAACGAAAGTAAAAAGACAATTTCTTTGCATCCAGCGAATAAAAGCAGCGTCTTCCCAATAACCAACTATATGTAGTATAACAACGATGGCAAGTAATAAAACTGCTACCATCCATGTTGGTCAATCCTCTCATCTATAGCCATTCATTCTTTCTTTTGTTTGCTTTTGGAGATTGTGGCAAAATACAAAAAGAAGAAGAATAGATCATGTGTGGATGGTTTTCTCATCAAAAGAAGATAAACCACTCTCTATCCTATGCTTGGGTTTACTCTATTTCCTTTCGTTCGCCGTCAACTCGGTTTTCATTGCTTCCAGTTGATAGTTTTCGAAAGAAGACAGGTCGACTGATTTGCACTCGTTGCTGTTCAACTCTCAACCATCACCCACATTCTATAGAAAGAAGATGGGTTGAGAAACTTCCAAGAAGATGGGTTTTGAACAAGTTGTTTCAAGTTGTCGCTGCTTTATCTTTGCAATCTATAGGCAGTTCAGTTGAAGCAGCGATGGGTTCCACGGTGGACCCATCTTCCTCGCATGAAGCAGCTTGGAAACCATTGAGTGTTCCAACTCAATCACTATTGTTTGGTGAGTATTTATGTTTGGATATTGATCAATGCTGATGGTATTTTGAATAGATGTAGATATGGATAGTAAGAGTCATGGTTGGTTGATCGGTGCGAATGGTACTATTTTGGAAACTCACGATGGTGGAGAACATTGGGAACCACGAACTTTTGATTTTCTACGTATGGATGAAGAAATCAATTATAGATTCGAGTCCATATCTTGTTATGGAAATGAAGGTTGGATAGTAGGAAAGCCTCCCATCTTGCTCCATACCCAAAATGGAGGAAAGGATTGGGAACGAATTCCATTATCTTCCAAATTGCCTGGAGAACCTGTATTGATAACAGCGCTTGGTCCTAATCGAGCTGAGTTGGCAACTACTGCAGGTGCCATATATACTACGGATAATGGAGGAAAGAATTGGAAAGCCTTGGTAAAGGAGACTATCGATGCAACGTTGAATCGAACGACAAGTTCTGGAGTTACCGGTGCTTCTTATTATACGGGCACTGTGATTTCTATTACGAGAGACTGTAATGGATATTACTTGGCTATATCATCTCGAGGTAATTTTTATGTGACTTGGCATCCTGGACAAGAATATTGGACTCCACATCCTAGAGACTCCTCTCGTAGAATACAATCGATGGGATTTGTTCAAAATGATATTCACAAAGGTTTATGGATGGCTAATAATGGAGGATTTTTAGGATTTTCTCCTCCCAATCCGAGTTTGGATACCGTTTCCAGCATTCCTTTTCAAAGAGTGGATATTCGAACAGGTGGTTATGGCATATTGGATGTTGCATTTCATCAACAAAAAAGAAACGAAGTCTGGGCTTCCGTTGGTAGTGGTATTCTTTATCGAAGTTTTGATGGCGGAAAGCATTGGGAAAAGGATCCTTGGTTGGATCATTTGGGTAGTGTTTTGTACCGGATTAAATTTGTGGAAAATTCAGGTTTCATATTGGGAGCTAAAGGAACTTTGCTTCGTTATAATGGCTAAATAAAATGTCTCTATTGAGATGAATATATATAGTTTTTTTCGTTGATGTGTATACATTTCTTTCTCCCATTTATTTATATGGATATATACAATATATATATATATATATTATCCTCGTCTACTGTTATCCGTTAGTGACTGTAGTTGTTTGTAAAGTTTGTCTTGTTCTACTCGCAATGTCAACGTTTCTCTTTGCAAGTTTTCCATTCGCATTTCCAATGATTCCAATCTCTTCCATATCTTTGAAATGACGTCGTCTGAGGTGTTACAAGTCGTAGTTGTCGTTCGTTGTGGACTGGGAAAAGAAGATGCAACTTTGGCAGCTGATACAATATTTTGTAATTCGATGGTTCCCGTGCTTTTCACTTTGCGATGGGTTTTATCCTCTGCGGCCTCTTTGGAGCCTAGGAAACGCACACATATAGGACTCGCATATACTCCATTCGTTTCACTTACCTGAAGAAGAAGTGGAAACTGCTAAATTACGTGCTTGTGCATCCTTTAAGAAAGATTATGAGTTATTGTACCAAAAGAAAACTGTACACGAACTAACATAAATGACGGCCATATCGGTAGTCATTTCCGACATGGAATGAATCAAGTTACCGTTATGTGCGGCTTTCAACCACGCTGGTCGACAAGGTAGATGCAGTGTTTGTTTGATTAACAACTTTACCTAAAACTACCGTGAAAACAAGTGAAACGCAAGTGGTGCATAACTTACGTCGTCCAAAGTACGACAAACATCGGGAGTAAATTCCATACGAACACCTTTTCCATCAACTGGTTGTCCATCTTCGTACAAATAGACAACTCGTGCACCACTTGGTTTCGTAGTATTGCTATATGCAGCGGAGGTCTTTTGTGAAGCGTTTTTAGAAAAGAACGCTTTCATCCAAAATCACAAAAGAGAAGAGAGTAATTTGATGAAGAAGGAATCATCAACGGTGTCGTCAATGCCTTATCAAATATCGAGCAAGGCACGAAAAAGAGAAAATGCTCGAGATGATACAAGTTGGAGTGAATCTACGGACAGTCAGGATGATGAGGAAACTTCGGACGCTAGTGAAGATGACTATGCCAAGAGACTTACAAAGAAACTAGACTCGCAGATTGCACGAACCTATCAACTGTTGAAAACAAAAGACCCCTCTATTTATGATCAACAAACTCAATTCTATAGTGAGGAAGAGGAAGACTCGGATTCATCGATGGAACCCTTGAGTTACGACGACGACAACAAGCCCGTTGCGTTAACTTATGAAAAGAAGATTGATGTGGATAGTATGAAAGATGCGTCTAATAAGGCTCATTCTAGAGTAACTTTGAACAAACCAAGTAATAATATTTCTCTTTACGACCCCGAACAAGTGAGACTGAAACAAGAAATATCGAATATTGCGGACTCGCTACCACAAGGCACTACCGATGAGTTTCTCACAAGAAAGGAATCTAGTCAGGATAAAGACACTTTGGAAGAAGAGCATTGGATGCGTACTATTCAGGAAGCTGAAAGGAATCAAACTGCGGAAGAATATTTGTTACACTCCTATTTGGAAAAGGAGAAGCCTGACGAAGCGGAGCGATTCTTGAGAGACTATATTTTGAACGATGGTTGGATAAAAAATATACACGAAGCTCCAACATCAAATAGTGTCATTCATAATATAGAAATAGATGAACAAGATGCAGAATTTGTTGAGAAACAAGAAGACTTTGAAGCCGCCTATAATTTTCGATTCGAAGAACCGAATTCCACCGAAATAGTTTCATATGGTAGGAATATATCTTCTTCTTCTCGACCCAAGGAAAACAAGAGAAAGAAAAAGAGAGATCGAAGAGAAATGAGAAAGAAAGAGAAAAAGCAGAACAAATGGAAGGAATGGGATCCGCTGAAGAAAGAGAAGAGGGAAAAGATACTTTGCAGAATAAAGCAAGTATTGGAGGTTTGTGAGAAACAAGGGGTCTCTTATTTCTCATGGATAGAACAAGATGACGACTTGGATATCAACCAACATAAACAAAAAGTCAAGGCCATATTGGATGAACAAGATGAATCTTGGTTGAAAACGTACTTGGAATCAGAATCTAGTGCACCAAGAAAGACTAGCGAAGGCTTAGAAGGCTATCGTGAAAAAATATTGGAAATTGATCGACTGATTGATGAGTATTTTGAACTCGAGTTGGAAGATGTTGTTGATGATGCACCGATTCGGTTTCGATATCGTCCAGTGGAACCGGAAACTTTTGGACTTGAAACAACAGATATTCTTCAGATGGACGAAACCGAGTTGAATAGACTGGTTCCTCTGAATTATGTCACTTCGTATGTTCAACCAAAAGGTCTTTCCCGTATTCGAAAAAGAGTAAAGTGGATCAAGAAACACAATTCACTTTTATCCAACAACAATAAGACCACAGATAGGAAGAAGAGAAGGATAAAGAATGATGAGTCAAGTTCTCGAGGTCATACTTCCAACGAGACTAAAGAGAGTTACAAGGGACTGCAACTTTCTATAGAGAGAATGAAAGCATATGGCTTGAGATCTGTAGAATGATATGGTTGTGAAGCCTTATAGAGACTTGTGGATATGACCTTGGAATATCCTCAGCAGCTTAATATAGATATGGCACTGGAATTTCTATGAAAATATAAATAAACACAAGATAGTCTTCTGCCTACCATCCACCACTCAATTGGGTTAAGGAAGAAGTGGATACATTTCAATCTGAAATTGGGTTTATGGCGAAGAGGAGCCAAAGTTGTCAAGGTCCGAGTGATCACAAAGAAGGAAGAGTCATGGCTTTGCTTGGTTACTGTCAAAATCTCTTCATAAAAGAACTTCACAACAACTGTCGAAATAGTCAAGTTGATATTTGTAGTATATCAAGGAGGCAGTATCTGGGAAACTCGACAATATCTTACAAAAAGCCCCTCTTTTATAGAAAAATGGTTTTACACTATTCTACAGTTAAATGTACTTTATCTTCAATGGATACTTCCGGAGCAAAGGAAATTTCAACTACAATATCTGAAAATGGCGCTGTTTATCCGCCATCACCTGCTAAAGGAGAAGGAAGAGGAGATGCAGCGCTGGAGAACGATGAAACCAATTCATCGAACAAGTCTAACACGGTATCGAGTGGGAACCAAGAAAACGGCCATCTTACAGTTTCACAAGTTACAAAGGACAGTTTAGAGAAGAAGAAGGACGATGAGGAAGCACCTTTACAAAAATTCTTGGCATCATCTCCTGCACTCAATTTCGTACTAAGGCTTACAGCTCAGGAACAACAAATATATAGAGATATGCAGCTTGTTACAGATGCTGAAAGCATTCGACAACGTGGAAAGGAGTTTGTTGCCAAAGGACAGACTCATTTGGCTATTTATTTGTTTCGACTAGCCATCGTAAAAGAACCATCTTTTGGGAAGGCTTGGCAAGACCTCTCCAAAGTGGTTTTAAGAAAATTTGGTATCTTTAAAGCGAAAGAAATATTACTGGAAGCTGTGAAAGTGAATCCTAATAACCAATTCTTGTGGAAATCCTTGGGATTGTTCGAACAGAGAACTGGTAATATTGAAGGTGCTCGAAATGCTTTTCGAACGGGAATTGAAAAGGATCCTTTGCATCTTCCTCTATACTCTGCATGGGCACGAATGGAATTTTATTTAAATAACTATGAAGAATCTCGGAAAATATTTCAATCTGGAGTGGAAAAGGATCCCAGCAATTCTCGATTTTATCTTACTTGGGCACAGATAGAGTTACGTGCTAAGAATTATCCAGAAGCTGCTCGTCTTGTCTCTCTTGTGGAACCATTGGAACCCACCAATGTCTATCTTTGGCAAACTTATGCTCAGATAGAAAATGCTCAAGGTCATCTGGAACAAGCCTATAACTATTACTTGAAGGCTCTTGACTTGGATCCCAACAATGTAGTTGTTTTAGAATGCCTTGCAAAATTGGAAGCCAAAAAAGGTAATGTTGAAGAATCGAGAAGCATTTTTAGAAAAGCCATTCAGTTGGACGAGAAGGATGCCCGAATATACGCATGTTGGGCTAGTGTAGAACTGGATTGGAACAACACAGATAAAGCTGTTGAACTTTTGCAACAGGCTCTGAAGATCAATAATCTAGATTCCTATCTATGGTTACAGTATGCAGTCATTGAGCACAGACGTGGAAATGTTCCAAGGGCACGAGCTCTTTTCAAACGAGGTGCGGATATCAATCCTTTTGATTGGTTTCTCTGGGAAGAATGGAGTCACATGGAAGCCAAAGAAGGAAATCAAAAGGAAGCAGAACATCTTTCCAAGAAGAGCGTCAAAGCAAGGTTGCGAAGTATTGGAAATAATCTATCAAGATATGAGCGCGAATCCACTTATGGAAACTCCTTTCAAGCAAGCTATGTGTCATAAGGAAATTCACAATATCCATAGTAAAGCAGTACATGAAGACCTTTTGAATAGTTTCCAAGGTTGATAAAGTTGAAAGTAGGATGAGAAACACATCTTCATTACTTTTTTCAAAATAAAATGTAATTTGCTTATGACTGGAGAGGAGAGTAATCCATTTTCAAGTGAAGTTTGTAGTTGGGCCTAGTAGCAGTGATGATCAACTTGACAATATTGGACCAACTTGTATGTGAACACTACTTATTAGAAAGGAAAAAGGATGACATAGAAACAGAGAGTGAATTGTATTTTAGAGAGTTTGTAGAAAGTATAGACAGTTTGCATAGCAAAATGGCTGCACGTCTTGCTCTAGAAGAGATAATAGATAGTGTCGCCAAAGCAACTACAACCAAAGTAGTACAACTACTTCGTGAATGGCAACCCAAGCTTTTAGAAGATACTAGGCTCCACTTCCAGTTCTTAATCATGCAACTTGCAGATAAAATTGAACAACATGAAGAAGAAGCGGCGTTGGAGTTTTGTAGGAAGGAATTGGCTCCAAAGGCACTGAATGCATACTTGGAAGCTTACGATGACTTTAAAAGAGCGTTGAAATTCTTTTTGAAGCCTGAGAGAATACCTTATGAAAGGCAGATACTGGCAGGTAAGTCCAAGCTTTTTCGTTGGCAATTCTGACACTCATACACATTTGTAGATAAATTGTTTGCAACCTTTCAGGCACTCAGTGGTACTACAGACTCTTGTTTCTACACTTGTTTGAAATACTTGATCAATATTGTTTGTGCAGAAGTGGGGACATCAAAGACAGAGTATGTATTGTTGTTTCCACAAACTATACTTTGCTGATTGGGTTACTTCTTTGTTGCAGGCTTAACGAGGAAGCTTATCAAGCCATGGCTTTGATAATACCCAACTTAGCGGAGCGGCCACTACCTATTGAAGGTTATCGAGAATTTCCAGAGTCCGATATTCAAACTTTGAAAGATGCCTTGAGGAACCGAATAACTCGAGACGATGCAGTTCTAGCCCTAAAATATGCCAATGGCGACGTAAAGAGAGCTTTGAAGAACGAGTTGAGTTTGATTCACTTTGACGATGATTTAGTATCTTCCTTGGTTGAAGACTATATTGAGTTGAGAGGGTTGAGAAGAAACATAGATGGCTCAAAGTTTAGCCATCTCCTAGTCGAAGACAAGATTGAGGATTCGCTTTCTTGGCAAGTTGTTATACAGATGATTCGGTATTGTGCTGAACGTCGAGATGTTTTTACCATTCTCAAGTTGTTACGGCAACTATACCCACAAGTGCTCGAAAAGTATCCAAAGCTTCAATTTCGTTTATTACAGTATTGTCTTTATCACCTATTGGAAGAAAGAAGATGGACTTGTGGATTGCAAATATTAAGAGAAGATATGAGTAAAATGACGGAGAGATTTCCTCAGCTGTATCCGTGGTTGAAGGAGAGTGCTTTTATTTTATTTCTTTATGATTTGGAAGGATATCAATTTCTTGAAAGGAAAAGACTTTGGAAGCGCTATTTTGAGGAGCATATCAATCTACCAGCAATAGCAAGTTCCTTATGTACCATTGTGATGGAGGCCAATTCCATTTATGAACCTCAGTTGGCTAAGAATTTACGTTTTTATTTGTTCATTCATAAAGAGTGGTGTGCAAAGAATCATTTGGATGATCCTTTTGCAGAATCCTTATGCATCGATGCTTTAACACAGGTGGATAGTCTGTTGGAGCAAACAATTAATGATCAAGACTATATTTTTAACATAGATTTAAGTACCGCAATGAAGAAAGATAACTGTGTGGAAGATACTACAAATAGTCAACAGTCCACAGAAGAACAAGTGATATTGACTTTGATGGAATTTCTTGCTATTTCACGTGCTGAGGCAATTGCCTTGTTTAATCAGTATACTGGTCCGTCAAAGGATCCTGCTTATATTCTAAATACATTGTTATCAGAAATGTAAATAAATGGTCAACTACTATCAAGAAATAGATAATACGTTATTCATTGTCATATCTTGAATTTTGAGAAGACACTTTTTTCCAATCAGTGGATAGCACCTTTCCTTGAGACTCTACAAAGGACTTTACCATAGCTCGACGAGTATCTTCATCAGATTTCTCATAAATATCACGAAAGAAAGCTAAAAGGTCTTTGCTTTGATCTTGCTCTTCGTCATCGTCCTCTTCAACTGCGAATTGTTTTGGGAACCTCCCTGACTGTAAACTTGCTGTCTCCCTTGAACTGTAACTGGACTGAGTATTATCTGAACTCTTCAACGTTGCCCCACTGGTTAATTGTTTCCAAAGTAGACCCTCTTCCTTTTTCTTCATTTTCAACTCAACTTTTTGAGGAAAGTAAGTCACCAGCGACTGTTCAGCCACAACAGGGTGGGAAAGTTCCCAAGTTTGTTCATAAATACTCTTGTCTCGAGCACTAAACAAATTCACTGTTACCTATCCACCCAGCCACGTGAGAAAAGGCAATCATTGTCTTCAACTCTTACGGTCTGTTGAGTGAAGGTGACGTTTGACTCGTCACGGTCCACGTCTTTTATATACAAGGTAAGAGATACAAAACTGCCGTTTTGAAACCAGTCCTCCCTGTATATCTTCAAATAAAACCTCTTTCAAGCAAAACGAAAAAAAGTTTACCTGAAAAGACTCTTTTGACTCATTGCTTCAAAACTACCACCCTTGGAAAATCTGTTGCCATAGAGAATTACCAAAGTGATCATGGAAAGTGAGTCATCTCCTTCATCAAACAAGTTGCTGTTAATGGTGGTTCTTATTTTCGTTTCATTTCTTCCTATAAAGCATAATTTTGATTCTCCATTGAATCCTATCGCTTCATTTGCCATTTGTGGTGTCTTTTGCTTCTCTGGTGGGGTCCCAACGTGTTTGGACACAAAGGAATGGCCAAATCCTTTCGTTATGACAAATTTCTTCTGATTGAAATAAAAGTTGCAAGTCTACAAGTCCTTTACAAATTTCTCTTCAACTGCTATTTTTATTTTGTTAACTTCTCTCTCTTGTCGATGAACAGGGCAAACAGAATACTTGTCTGTACCGTTCTAGTCATTTTGGCAAAAATATGTATCACCTCAGCTACCTGTTCTGATACGGTCATGTCTCAGATGCAAAATATATTTGTCCAAAATTTCACTCAGAATCGTGCACTAGCTCCATTATGTCTTAGAGGTGCTTTTCATGACTGTTGGAATGGCTGCAACGGAGCATTATTGCTACCAGAAGAAATAAGTAGAAGTGAAAATGTCGGCTTGGAACCCTTGAAAACTTATTTGGATCCATTTCTCAATCAGTTTACTTGTGTCAGTGTGGCTGACCTGATCAATTCGTGTGCTGTTACTGCAGTCAAGTTTCTAGGTGGTCCAGATGTCCCAGTTACTTTTGGCAGAGTAGATACTGGAGTTCCTGACCCCAATGGACTTCTTCCTGCTGGCACATTGAGCGTACAAGAACTCATTTCTGCTTTTGAACCTATTGGGTTTGACTCGACGGAAATTGTTACTCTTTCTGGTGCTCATTGTGTGGTATGTATTCAATGTTCAAGTAGGAAGACTACTAACTGCTATCTACTAAGGGTGTATGTGAAGGTCAACCATTTTGTCCTGGACAAAATACAACTTTTGGTAATCATTATTACGTCGTAAGAATGTGTTTTAAAAAAGAATCCAGTCATATCTCACTCCTTTTTATTATAGCAACTTCTCAATGGAGAATTCGAAGGAAAGTTACAAACCGATATGGACTTGCTTCAAGATAGTACCATGAAAAGTGTCGTGCAACAGTACGCAGCAGACCAACAACAGTTCTTTGATGACTTTGCGAAGACCCTTGGAAAATACATATCCAGAATTCAATGCAATCAAACGTCAAATGGACCATGTCCTTTGGATAGTAGCAGTACAAGTTCACAACCTTCAACAAACAACAATAGTCCTCAGCAACCATCAGAATCGGCTCCTACCTCTACTGCTAGCAGCAACCCCGAAGAATTTCCTCCCTTTGGACTACCTAACTTTGATGGTCCCACTTCCTTATCTTCGCAAGGCCAAAGTAGCAACCCATCATCTGGTGCAAGTTCAGGAAATTTCTTTCCCGTCTTCATTTAAGATGCTTTTCTAGCAGTTTGTCCAAACTTCCAAAGAGATTGTTTCAGGACATGATTATATCCATGTTGTTCTGCATATATTTTCACGAAGTAAAGCTAGCATAACACAATGTTATTCTTTCTGTCTCTTTGGTGATCATTCAAGTTGAATGGATTCTTTCAGAGTAGAATGATGTAAGTACGCACTTCAAATTCTACATCATTCTATAGTTTGAGGTTTTTAATCATGTATTATTTATCATCCAAATATCAGCGCAACCTCTACCACTTGTTGATAGTGTTCTGTTCGTCTCACCCAATGGCTTTGTGTAAACACATTCCACTGAAATCCTTCCAATGGACAAAAGTGGATTCATCTTATTATCAACGTGGCAGCATGAGAGGGTGGACACGATGAAGAAAAATTGCTCGACCCAAAAATAGCATTCTTGTCCACTCGGCGATCCACAAAATTACACGTTTTTTTAAGGATTGAAGACGTTCGTCTGGAGTCTTCTTTCATTTTTGGATTGGAAAATGAAGTACATCGTTGACAAGAGAAGAGTTGTCTTTGTACTCTTTGTACTTTGCGCAAGTCTTGCAGCGGTGGCTAGAGCCCAATGTTCCTCAGAAACTATAAGTCAAATGCAAAGTATATTTGTACAAAACTTTTCTCAAAATCAGGCTCTAGCTCCTATGTGCCTACACGCCGCTTTCCATGACTGCTGGAACGGCTGTAACGGTGCTTTATTTATGCCTGAAGAGATAGATAGGCCTGAGAACGCCGGGTTACCTCCTCTGAAACCGTACCTGATGCCGTTTACTTCTCAGTTTCCTTGTATCAGTATTGCAGATTTGATAAACTCTTGTGCTGTAACAGCTTTGAAGTTTCTCAATGGACCCGATGTACCGGTGTACTATGGACGACTAGACAGAAATGTCCCCGATCCAACTGGTCTTATTCCTGAACCAACTATGAGTTTATCTGCTCTTATTAATGCTTTTAGCGCCATTGGATTTAGTAAAGAAGACGTGGTCACTTTATCTGGAGCTCACAGCGTGGTAAGTGGATGAATCAAAAATTCAGATGCGAGTCCTTATATTAAGAAAGGGAGTGTGTCACGGTATTCCGATGTGTCCTGGTCACAATACCTCATTTGGTAACCACTATTACCAGGTTAGTGAATGTGCATTGATTTCTTTATCCGCTCTGTTCTGAGTAGTTGAAATAGGAACTGATTGAAGGAGATTTATCCGGCAAGCTACCCACAGATGTGGAGTTGTTGGAGGATAATACTATGAGGAGCTTAGTACAGCAATATGCCAACGACAATTCTCAGTTTTTCTCGGACTTTTCTCGTGTCTTTGGCAAATATATTTCTAGGATACATTGCAATCAAACCTCTACAGGTCCTTGTCCTTTGGATGATATCGGCAATAGCACAACTAGCACTTCTACTAGCAGCGTTACCAGTAGTGTTATTCCAGTAGTTGCTTCTCCTAGCAGTTCATTTCCATCATCATCTAGCCCAATTATTATAGGATCCCCAATCGTTATTAGTTCTTCTTCTAGTAGTAGCAGTAGTACATCCTCAAGTGAGTCGTTCCCTCCAGTTCCCCCTATTTCTGGACCTTTTTCCAATCCACCGTCTAATCCAGGTGGATCCGTTCTTTCTGTGTAAAAGAGAACATATTAAACAGAGCTTCCTGTGAAAGAGATGGTCCAAAGTGACCCATTATCATTGTCATAAAAACAAAACATGTTATGATAATCCATTGAAAATATCTTTCTAGTAATGAATATGCAGCGAAATGAACTCTCTAGTAGACAATAGTATTTTTTCTCTTCGCGTTTTCTTTCTCTGAATGTTTTCACTCCCTAAAGTCTTGCTTGATTGTGAAAAGGAGGGAAGAACTATAAAGTATTTGGCAAAATTGTGCTCTGTGAGAAGAGATATTCATACACTGTATATAAAGTTATGCATGTCTCAAGAGGGTAAAGTGATTGCCATTTCACAAAAAGGAATAGAATCATTTTCTTCCCTTTGCATAATGGCTCCAGTTTCTTCTTCAAAAACTGAAAATCTTGGTATGAAAACAGTTTTCTCATCACTCCAAACTTTGAAGCAAG